TGTTTGGAACACAGTCAGAACAGTTGACTTTAACACAAGTCTTGCCTTCGACACTTTTAAGTAGCGCCAATCAGATTTGAAGGGCTCATGCTTCTCTTGGCCACCCCTCTGGGCGTGCACATGACATCTGATACTATGATACAGAACTTTGCAGTAATATTTCACCAACTTTAACCATTTAGATCATAGAAGAATGGTTGTTTTTGCATTAAGTTTGAAGCAACTGTACAACTCCTCAAACTAGCCTAAAAAAACACAAAATTAATGTGTTGCGCCAAATGATTTGATCTTTTTAATTCATAATTTTAAGTTAGGTTGATGGACAATATGAAGTTAGGTTTTATTCATTTGCAGAGCTGTAGCTTCTCTTGGCCATTTTCCACCCTAGAGTTAATCTTCATAAATGGAAATGTTTTTTTGCTCATCCTGCTGTTACACAGAGTATTTGTACATTCAGAACACTTGAATTCATCTTCATGTAATACAATTTGGAAAAGTCTACCCACCAGAGGAGCCACAAACTAAACAATGCATAGTTAAAACACAAAAAGTCAAACTGAAGCTGCACTGTACAAGAGGGAAAAAAAAACTGCCTTGGCTACGTTACCAGGACCTCAAGGGAAAGATTATGGAGTTTACAAAAAGGGAAAGGAGAAAAAAACCACAGATGTCGTCAAAAAAAGAGGGTTTATCCTTGAGGTTAGGCTTCTGCGTAGATGAACGTGGGCTGCAAGGACCGCATGAACACTGAGTCTCTGATCCACACAGAAACTCGCAAGGATCTTAAAGGATTGTGTGCACACATATAAAAACGCACTCAGTATGTTCTCACGAATGACACATGTGCACAAACATACAACATTCGCATCACAATTATTTCTTTCATCACTTGAGACCCTGTGACCCTCCCCTCAAATCAGAGGCCGTGGCTGTGGACTTGTTCTTGACCAAATAAACCGGCGTTTGATGAATCCTCCTCAGCAGGGATGCATCTCTCTGAGGGAAAGCATTCATGAGATCCCTGCACCACCCACATGCAGTTTACCAACCCTTGACCTCACATTAACAATTTCTGCCGGCTCTGTTACCGTTGGTGTGTGTGTGAATTTAAAGTGTACATGTGGTTTGGTCGGTCTGAAGGCTTTCCCGCCCTGCAGACCCTGTTTCCACTTTCTTCTGGAAAATCCTTCCAGACCTCGGCAAGAGTTTCTGAGCCAGTAGGTTAGCCTCTGTTGATAATTTTGAATAAAGAATAACAGCGCTCAATAACGCTTTTAGCTACTTTTTCAGCTCCACAGTAGCAACAAAACAAACCAGCCTGAGGTTTTTGGTCTTATGTAAAGTGCGTTCTTTCTGGGAGTGTGGACACAAGACCACAAGCTGGATCCTGCTCTGGACCTTACCCGAACAGGACAGTTAAACACTTCAGGAAATATGCAGAAATATGCTTATGCTATTACATCTGACGTTTTAATGTGACACAGAAGCCAGGAGACTGTTGGCTTAGTACAGTATAAAAACCCTGAAGCAGGAGGGAAACAGCTAACAGCGTTTAGACCATTTGCAGGTTTTAACTTCTTTTAATTCATGACAACTATTTGTAAAAATTAAAAGTTGGAGTTTCTCCTTTTATTTTAGGGTTTTATGTATTTAACCGGAGAGAAATAGGACAGTGGATAGAGTAGAAAACTGGAGGAGAGAGGTATGGGGAAAGATAAGGGGCAAACTTGAAAACATGAAATCTTACAGGTGGAGAGTCATGTTTTGAATCCAGACTTGGGTTTAACTCGTTGGAGGTGGGATTTTGAATTGACAGAAATTTCAGGAAAGTAAACTCAAAAACAGCAAAACTGAGAGGCATCTCACTTTTGTAGTACTTAAGGATTCTGCCTCGGAGTCAGAAAGTTCTGGGTTTAAATCCAGACTTGTCCCTGTTAGATTGAAACTGGAGAGACACCTTTGAATTACAAGAATTGATTGGGAAGTAGATAATTTTTTTTAATAGACAGCTTAGTGGTGAAGTTGTCTCGGTTGGTGCCTTAGTGTCAAAGAGTTCTGGGTTCAAATCCACACTTGGCCCTGCCTGTTTGGAGGTGGAAAAGCTTTGGAATGACCAAGATGAACAGAAAAGTAGAGGAAACATAAAAACTGAGAGGTGCCCCACAGTCAGAGTTTTGGGTTTAAATACAGGCTTGGTTTGGGCCTTAGCTGTTTGGAGATTGGATTTTGAATCACCAGAAAACAACAAGACTAAGGGGTAGCTACATGTTTTGGAGATTAATGCTGTGTTCCAGTTACCTCAGAAGTCGGATGTCGGAGCTGGGAATGACGCTACACCCGAGTTGACAGCATGACAGTTAACAAGTTGGAAAACCAAGATGGATGCCTACAGTTACCCGTTGTCAACTGTTGTTTTTAATTGTCAGCTGTCGTTGGCCGTTGTCAGTTGTTGTTAGCGGTTTTCAGCTGTTGTTAGTTGTTGTTAGCGATACTAGTTGTAAAAAACGCATAACACAGTATTTTACTCTTATAAACACCATAGCACCGTGTTCACAGTTAGATGTTGGGCAGTACAACATATACCACTAATTTAATTTCACCAAAAAAACAAAAAACAAAAACAGAAGTGCTAATAAATAAGACATTGCGAGAGCTTTTACGGTTACTCTTTACTGTTGATGCACTGCGCAGCATCTGCAAGTCAGAAATCCGACTTCAGGGGAGCGTTCCAGATGAATTTCCAGCTCGGAAATCCTGACTCCTGAGGACAACTGGAACACAGCACAAGGCCGCTGCCTCACAGTCATAAGTTTTGGTTCAAATCCAGACTTGGATCTATTGGTCTGCAGTTTGGCTTTTAATTTACAAAAACAGGCAGGACAGTAGGGCAAGGCTGAAACAACAAAACTGAGAAGCACCTCAGTGCTGCAGTAGTTAAGGATGCTGCTTCACAAACTAACAGTTCTGGCTTCAAATCTAGTTTGAGTTTGTTTGTTTGGAGTTGAGAAAAACTTCAATTACTGGAATAAACAGGAGAACAGAGCGGATTACCTTGAGACAACACCATGCTTTTGAGCTACCAAAACCAAACAGTGAAATGAAAAGACCTGGAAAAGTAAGCAGGCCTGTGGTGTGATCAATATGCTTTTAAATCTTTTGGTACCGGGAGATCACAGTGGAGAGGGAGTGAAAGAAAAGAGTTAGAAAATGACACAATTTAAGAAAAAATATCTCAACCCAGATTGAGCAGAGAGAATACAAAGGTCTTCACTTCATAAATATATATGTGTGTAGTCTTGGTGGAGCTGAAAACTATGCTGAGGTTTCTTTACTGTTCAGAGGAGAACTGTTGAAAGCCTGTGTTTTATTTTCACATACTTTTGCTCTATGTTGGCATTACTCGTACAGTGTGAATGCTGAGAGGTTAAGGGGAATGGGGAAGTTTGTTCATATTAACAATCTACAAGTAAAGCATTATCAGGTCAGTTCATTAACAGACAGACAAAAGAGGCAGAGGTAAGAGGCGGGGATCATGTGGTGCTGAGACTTCTAATGTTAGGTGTTGACGGTAATTAATCCAGATTCATCCTGGAGAGCGATCTGGGTTTAGACGGATGGTATGCCAGTCAGATTGTTGCTGTGACTGGTCAGAAGCCAGAGTGATTGTAGACATGCTGGGATGTTATTTTTTGGATATGTAAGCCTGATGTGGTGAGACAGGAAGCCAGGGAGAGCTTTGCAAACACAGTGGAACCTGGCCAAGGTGGAGGAGAGGGTTGCAGTGTGAAACACTGGCAATCAAACCGACAAGGGAGATTTGTAGAGCACCCAAACATTTTGTTTGGTCAGCGGTGTTGGGACAGAGGCCAGACCTTCCTTTGGTGGAATGTGGGAGAGAATCGGTAGTTTGTGAAAAATGTAAGGGATGAATAACTGCTGAAAAATGGAAAATATACTTATTTACTGCACTCTGAGTTGTTTTCTATCCATAGCAACAGGCTACAACATCCCAACCAAGTTAGCATCCTAATAAAGGAACAAGTCACAGCCTGCTACAACACAAAATAAACGCATGAATGCAAATCATTTTCTGAGTTTTCACAAAACACTTCAGTTCCTTCACGAATAAACCTCCTTGCAGCCTCCTGGAATAAGCAATTGACTGCTAATGTCCACTTTAACTCCTCTCCTAGCATATCAAAAGCAGTGCAGTCCTTAATGGTAGTTATGGTCCACAGTCTGCATGTTTTATTGGTCTGTTGTTGTAACTTTTGGAAAGATAGCCTGTTGTATGTAACCTGCTATAAAGAAACCCTGACAACCTGCAAGTAAAACAAGCACCAAGGAGGTCAACAGTCACCTTTAATCACATTAGAGAATTTAAAACAGAGTATATTTTGGTTTAAGCATAGGTATAGTACACACAAATGTGTCTTTTATATTAACATTTCATCAATTTTAAAACCATTTCACCAGAAATAATTCAATAAGACAGAGGTTCAGTGATATCGAGTGCTTCACCCACTCATTTAATCTCAGAGCCCCTCACAGCTCTGAAACTTGTTCCTTATAAAAGTTCAAATGTTCTGTTTATATTGATTTATCTACTTATGTCTTTATTTTCAACATGAATTAATACATCAAAAGTAAACAACCTTGATATTTTTTGAGAATAACAAAAGACCAAACAACAAGTCAGCAATCTGAATTTTGAATTTTACAGGCAACACAAAGTCTCAAATGAAGTCACAAGAAGCATAGTCTTATTTCTAAAACTCAGCAATTAATATACTATTAATGGACTGTGACAATCCTTTGCATGGCCCGTTATCTTCCATTTACTATTGACAGAAGTAAAACATGGTGTTTTTTTCATGAGTGAAGAAATGAGCACAGATTTTCTCACCAACAAAACCAACAACATCTCAGCCCCATGTCTTCTTAGTCTCTGTCTTTCTGTCTAACCTGATTGCACACACTCTCAGAACCAACCTCGCCATTTAGCTTGAGTTAAAAAAGGACAGTTTATCCAGGTATGTTAAGGCCTTGCAGCTCACTAGACCATAGTAGGTCTTCAACAGGGAGCATCTCCTACCCTTCTGTCCAAGGTCTACCCACACCCTCTCAAGTTCTTTGCCTGCCATCCCAGCCGAGCTGAACAGGTAGTGGTAGCAGCAGGCATTGTAGCGAATATGTTTCTCCCCAGAAAACCTTGCGCTGTGGGTGGGTGCAACTCCAGCTTTCTTGGCACAAAGACCCACAAAAACATCTGCTGGTACAGGCGCACGGACTACTCTCGATGCTATGTACACTTTTCGCACCACATCCTGGGAGACAATGTACGCCGTGCCGTCACAGTATTCAGGGAGGTACTTTTCAGGGTAGAGACCTGGGGGTAGGTACCCAATACTGTTAGGGTCCCTGTCAGGAGACTCTCTTTGGATTACTCTCCCAAGATAGAGATCCTCAGGGTGCCTGTGGAGCCCAAGAAGGTATCCCCCAATGGCAGGGAGGTTGACGAAAGCAGAATCTTTGGTCAGGAGAACAAATCGTGCGACAGGACAGAAAGCGATCACCCAACGAAGAGCCAGAACCGTCTTTTCTCTTGGGCTGCGAATGGATGAGTCTTCAACAGCATGACTTTGCACTATGTCACCATAGTAGTCAGACTCTGTCATAAGGGCGTCCTGTGCGGCGAATGTTTGCGTTGATCCCAAGAAGAAGAGTATCCGTACAGGGAAGCCTTGGACATTTGTTTGGTTGGCCCAGGTTCGCCTCACTGCATCTCGCTGCGTGCTATTCGCCGTCGAACTGAAGACTATAACAACGAGGAAGAGATCTGAGTTCCTGCAGGCGTCAGGGTTAGCGATAGGGTAGTTCTGGGACACATTCTCCCTGGCGTTACTCAGGTCTAGTTTCCTAGCTTTCTCTCGTATGTCAACAACTATGCCATCGGTGTAGACCCCGGGTGTGGGCTGCAGGAGGTACTCCTCCACAAAGTCTGCGCCAAACAACAAGGCATGGAAGAGGAGGACATTGAAGAGGAGGAAGCACCACTGGTGGGTACGCAGCCTGCACAGAGACCACTGGAAATGAGACAGAAAAAACACAATGAATAAATAATCAAAGATAAAGTCCATCAAATTTGGACAAATATGTACAAGCTGGTTATAACTGACACCATACCTGCATCACACCTCCTTGAACTGCCTTGTTGTTTCCGTACATTTATTAGCTGTTTGTGATCCCACCAGAGTCCGTTCAGCAACAATGAGTGCCGACAGACAAGGTCTCTACTTTCATGAAACTCAAGCAGCATGTAACCCTGCACCCAGAGTCTAAGTCACATGCTTCATCAGGATGAGTGTGGCCTACATCATGCATACAACATTAATGATACCAAGAGGAAAAGTTTGTTTGTACTGTGAAAACAAAACTCGTGAACGTAAAGAAAAGCTTTGATAAGTGATGTTAGATGGTTTTACCTTGTAAAAAGATTTGAAATTATTGAAATTACTTCTACTCCCACATCTTTATTAATGGATTCATACATATTGGACCACAGAGCGCACTTCTATCATGTTTTAAACTGTCATCCATAAGGGCCTGTGTCCACTACTTACACTTCTTTGTCCTGTCAGAAACCTGGACCTCAATTTCACAGTGTTCTCACTGGCCCGACTATTGCCAGCAGGCCAGTTGATAGGTTTGCCTATAAACTTTTACAATTTACCTCAAGTGAGGTCTGTTTCCAGTTTAGAATAAAGAAAATCTAATTCTTTGTGCACTGAAATGCAAAGTTAAACTACGTTTGAGCTGTTCTTTGGTTCTGCTTTGTGCACATGTTCATAAAATCCACCCAGTCTCTCTATTTCAAAAGTCACTTAACACCATGTAAAAGTTTTGTTTCTGCTGACCTCCAGTGTTGAACTCTTTAACTTGCTGCTACAGAGCAGCAGAAATGCACTCCAGGGTTTAGGTTTATGTCAGTTTTAATCAAACACAACCTTTTGAACCTAAACATTTAATGTCAAGCAGTGAAGACATGAAATGAAACCTGCTTGGTGCACTTTATTTAAACCTGCTGTGACACACAGGTTAGCTCGCAAAGTTGTTGCCATGCCTGCTCACTAACAACACAGGTTTTATTATCTGAGCTGTGGTCTGATGAGGAGAGACAGAACGCTTTGCTGACACAGTGGAAGTCAGCCAAGAGTTTTAGTCTTTGAAGCACGGTGACTTAGAGGAGCAGGGAGATTTCTTCAGCCTTTTCCTCAACTGCAGATTTAATTGTGCTTTTACTCAGTCTAGGTTAAGTTCAGGCTCAAGTCATGAAGATCTTAAGGTACAATTATAAAACAACCCTAGAATTGTAAGAATAGGAAAGAAATGTCGTAGTAATTTGCAACTATCTGTGATATGCAATACCATGTGCAATACAGCAATTCGTACACCATTATCATGTGCAATATGGCAATTTTCATACCTCATTTATCCCACTGACTTATCCTCCATTTCATACATTCAGAATCAGCACCTTTGTAAATATTGCACTTTGTAAATATTTCTCTTACACTTTTATTCGTCTGTAATATTTTTTTTGCATCTTTATTTTATTGTATTCCTCTCAGTACTTATTGTGTGTTTTTATCTGTACTCCTTTGAGTCAAGTGGTCCTCTCATCCAGGGCATTTCATTGCACTGTTGACCTTAGTTAACATGCACATGACAAATAAACAAATCCTGAAAACTTATCATAATCTTCTCATTCAGTTTGTAAAGAGTTCAGAAAAAATAAAATCTCTGTAGGACACAAAATCTTTGACAAAGATGGCCAAGGTTTGCATACTTCAAGCACCAATACCTTTCAGAAAAAGAAAGAATTTGCAGCAAATTTATTGTTTAAAAATAGTTAAACAATGTCATTGCTTTTATGTGATGCCATCTTTTATCTTTTTTCTTTTTTCTTTTATCCTTTATATCTTTTACCTCTTTCTTATTTTGACTTACTGTCCTTTTAGCCTTTGTTTTACTTATAATCTTTTCTTATTTAACTTTTTAGGCCTTTTATTGATTTTATTGTTTTTTCCTGCTCATTTTTGTTATTGCACTTTATCATTGATATTACCATCATTATTATTTCATTATGATTTTGTTATCATTGCTAATATCTTCTTTTTATATTAACTATCCCGTTTCCTGCTTTCTACCCCCCCCCCCCCCCCCCCTTTTTTTTAATTACATTTCTTTTTCTTACCTATTGTATGTTTGTACGTTGGTCCTCATGGTCTCATTTTATGTTGTAGGGTTCTTGTATTGTTTGGGTTTCTTATGACAAATGAATTTGGCCTTCCATTCAGAGTCCTTGTTTTTAACTGAGCTTTTCTTTTTTATTTGTTTTTATTTTCATGTGCTGATGCTTTGCAACTGTTTGTCAAAGCACTTTGTAGACTTTTGTTTTTAAAAATGCTATAAGTATAAATGTATTATTATTACTACTACTATTTTACTACTACTACTATTACTATTACTGCTATTATTATTATTATTATTATTATTATTATCCTATGACACTGTGCATGCATGATCAATAACTACAATGTCTGGTAATAAAAATGTTGTAAAATTCATGAGCTGATTTTTCTCTCATACTTTGTATTCGTGTCCTCAATTACTAAATATAATGTGGAAATAAAAAAAAGTTTATCTATTGAAAACCCTTTAAACACTTTTCTCAAGATTTGTTCAAAACAGACTCAAGTTACCGTGTTTGAAGAATAGTAGGTTTCCTGCTCAGCCCAGCAGGTGGCGGTAATGAGCAGTAGCGTCTTTTTCATCCGCCAGGCGCAGCAGCAGAAGAAGAAGGAGGCGGACTTTTTTGTCGGTAGTTGTTTCCCCAAACATCCAGAGTCATGGCTGCGACCATTGAGAGTTTGCTGGAGGAAATCTCCGCCGTTGAGGACCCGATAGAGGAGCTGCAGAATCTAAAAACAGCTTTAATCTCGATACCTATCAGCGCTTTGAGAGACTCCGTGAGCGGGCAGCGTTTCAATGTGATTTTCTCGCTTTTAAACTCCAATGACAGGTGGGTTTGGCTCAGTTCACTCTGTTAAACAATCTGCTGAGTCAGTCTTATGTCAATATTTGATTATATAGACATTCACTGTTAATTTGAACGTAAAATGAGCTCAGTAGATGTGAATTTTAAGGGGTAAGCTGGCGTGAAAAAGCCGCTTTTATCAGCTTCAGTGGTAAGCTAGCTAACAGGCTACTAGTGATGGGCACGACATTTCTTTTACTTGTACTGAATCACTAGAATCAGTTCACTAAAAAGAGTCGTTTTAAAAGATTCGTTTACCAAATCACCGAATCATTTGGGACCAGGAGATGAGAGTGTTTGGCTGTGTTGCTTTAGCAAACAGGTTTGTAAAAATGAACTTGTTTATAAGTCATGATGTTTTAAGTGTACTGTCCTATGGTATGCTATTTATCAGGTCTGCTTGTTAAATTGGGGTCAGTGAATGATTTGTTCACTGAATATTTATAAGAATTCACACTGAACATGAACTGTTTCTCACAAACCACTGCAATGATAGGATGCTGCAGGTTTGATGCACTACTTGTTACATTTGCAATTGTATGCAAGTTGTTGAGTTGTCAATTTAGTAGTGAAAAAGAGGGTAGTTTTGTCCGACAAAAATGATTCCAGAGAGTGTAGTTAAATGCGTGAATCGTTCACCAAGTGATTCAGGCGTCGGTGCATGTGGTCCCCTTGTTCGCCACCTGCTGTAGAGCATGACACGGGAGCGGATTTTCACTCCTGTCCTGTCCCACTCCCAGAAAAAAAGTCCCGTCCCGTCCCAATCCCTGACAGGAGTAAAAAAGTTAATCCTGTCCTGTCCCACTCCTGTAGAATGACTCCCACTTCTATTCCGCTCCCACTCAAAATTACTCCCACTCCTGTCCCGCTCCCATTTGAATAAAACCAAACATGTTGAAAAAACGTTGCATTTTTTTTATTTTAGGTAAAAGAGCAGTGCATGATATGCATAAATAAATATACATTTTTAGGTAAAAGTGGCAGCGGAGTCGGAGCCGCAGTCACTCCCAGGGACACCGGCTGCTGCTCTGAGTCACTTTTCACTTCCGGTGGAGACAGGAAGTCAAACCACTGTTGTAGTTCTTTTGTGTTGCTAGCGCGGTCAAGAGTGTTGGCTATCACTGAGAGATGACTACAAAAATGGACACATCTGTTCATCTGGTTGTTTAACACGGCTGAAAATGATCATCTATTAATGTTGTTCCTGCTCCTGCCCGCTCCCGTTGCTTTTTTTTCCCGTCGCGATCACGGGATTAATTAAAAAATGACTCGCATCCCGTGGGATTCCTGTGGGAATCACGTGACTCAGGGGAATTCCTGAAAAATGTCATCATCTAATCTGCTGGCCTGGCAATGCTGTTTCCCACTTCAGCTCAAGTGAAGTGAAAAACGAACAAATCACTCGAGGAAGTGATTCGGTTCAGTACGTTCACTTAAAAGATTTGGTTCTTTTGAACGAATCGTTTGCAAACGACACAACACTACAGGCTACAGTATATAGTGAGGCGCAGAGGTGGGCTGGGTCTTTTTTAAAATTTTTAAATGGGTTTAATGTTGAAACAACAATAGTAGAAATACTTACAAGACTGTTTTCGATCCCATCTGTGTCCACAGGGAGCAGGTTGATCTGTGTGTCGACATCCTTGAACGCATCCTCATGGCCCTCAGCCCTGTGAGTCTGGCCCAGAACTACAGAGTGGAGCTGCAGGGGGGTCTGAACCATCCCAATGCCACTGTCAAGATACTGGCTTTAACACAGGTGAGCTGCTGGGAGAGATACAGCACACATACTAACACATCGAGAAATTAAACACAATTTAATTTCAGTCACTTATTTTGTGTTTTCCTGTCAGATTGGTAGAATAGTTGAACACCCTGATGCTGCGACTGAGGTCCTAAATAACCAGGACATCCTTCGAGCTGTGATCAACTGCATCGGAGAGGAGAAGATGGCTGTGGCGAAACAGGTGATTTCTGAAATGTGAAGTATCCTGCATGCATTCAAAATGAATCTACAGCGGTTACAGTAATTTTTTCTCTATGTAGGCGATCCAGTCGTTGTGCAAACTGAGCCACTCCAAGCCCGGACTGGACAAGTTGTTCCAGGGTGACCTTCTGAAAGTTATGAAGGATGTGATGGCCAAAAGTGACATCATCAGATACAGAATTTATGAGGTGTGTTTGAATGTTTTTCACTTTGGCAAAGTTTTTGGTTCATGACCAGAGATTGGGGGCTCATGTTTAAGACTGACTGGGGTCACATTTAAGTCAGACACTGTTGTGCCTCAAGACATGACTTGGACTTGAGCTTTGGGACTTGTAGGCATGACTTTATATTTTGTGTACTTGTCTTAATAACAACAATGTGACCACACCACATCACCTACTGCTGCGATGACACAGCTTCTTACACCAAGTCCATAATGACTTCAAAACCAAACTCAAAACATACCTTTTTAGTCTTGCTTTTAACTAAATTTTATGTCATAAACTTTAAGTGTTTTAGCATTTATCTCTTTCTAGTTTTAATGACAGGATTGTCCTTTGTTGAGTTATTTTGGTGCTCTTATTTTAGTGTCTTCATTTCATTTTATTTATTATTTCTTAAATTTCATTCTATGTTACTTTGCTTTTAGATTTTAACCTAAACCTCCAGTGTTTCCTTATCTTGAGTTTTAAAATGGTGTTTCCTCAGTGCGCACATTCCTGTTTCCACGAAATCAAGCCCCTTTTAGGTTAATACATTTTAATACTGTTTCTGCTGTGTTTAGATTGTGGTGTTGGAATGAGGGGTTGAGCTGGAGCAGTTTTGGGTATTCTTTGTTTCTTTTATTCCTTATTCTAATAAAGACTGATTGATTGATAAATAATCATATCAATAAAAAGTAGGGGTTACTGGAAAAGACCACCCCTACCTGATACCAACCCTATCTGCTGTTTGAGATATTGCAAATATTGGTTCAAAGAATTCGTCAGTTTCGTCACTCATGATCTTGTTGGGTTTTGAAAGTAGTCTGTTTTGTTTCAGTTTTATAACCAGGTGAAAAACTCTTGAAGCATCAAGGCCGCTTGTGAATTTAGCCTCGTCAAACCCTTATTGCCTGTAGTCCACTGCAGATTGGCGTAAATCATACACTTGGAGGCGGATGAATGACTGATCAACTTTCATTGAATTTTTTTTCCCTTGGTGTTATTACTTTTTCTTTTTACATGATTATCCTGCAGTCATCAAGCTGACACTATAATAAGATGGAAAATTGCTCCACATCTCTCCATGCAGGCTAATTTTAATCTGTTCCCTTGGAAACAGCTAAATTACCAAATGGGAAAAAACAAGTTCGATGCCAAATGCAGGACTTCTCTATTGTGTACGGATCAAGGCTTGTTTTTTTTTTTGACATAGTTTATAAAATGTTCACATGCTTCTGTAGTCCATGAACACATGGAATAATACAAAATGACTTTTCTTGCCCTTTGCAGCTGGTGGTGGAAATCTCGTCTGTTTCTCCCATTTCCTTGGGTTACTGCGCCAACAGCAGCTTCATCTCTCAGCTGATTGGAGAGCTGACAGGAGATGATGTGCTGATCAGGTAATGAACTGATTCACCTTTAAAACACAGAGGGAGAGAGAGAGAGAGGTTATGAGGGAACAAGTAAATGAAGAGGTGTAAATTTTCTGCTCTGAAACTGTTGCTCTGAGTTATAAATGTTGTATTTTTCCTCCAGAGCCACAGCCATCGAGATGGTGACCACTCTAGCCCACAGTCAGCATGGCCGGCAGTATTTGGCTCAACAGGGTATAATGGACAAGATCTCCAACATGATCAGAGGAGCAGAGACTGACCCGTTCTCTTCCCTCTACCTTCCTGGTAAGTCTAAGGAGAAAAGTGCTCCAAGAAAAATCGGAAGTACAGAAGATCTGGTCTTTTTCATGCTGCTACAGCCAGCTCTGTCTTAATTTACTTAACACTACTGCTCTCTGTTTGAATCTAAAGGAGTTTGTTAAACTGTTTTTTTATGTTGAAAGATCTGATCAGCGTCATCATTAGAGAAAGTATCCATCCTTGAAAGTTTAAATCTTACCTCTCCAGGTTTGGTGAAGTTCTTTGGAAATCTGGCCATCATGGACAGCCCACAGCAGGTTTGTGAAACCTACCCGGCCTTCCTGAACAAGGTGTTTGAGATGGCAATGGACCCGGACCCTGCGATGATCGGTGTGGCTCTCGACACTTTGGGATTACTCGGAACTACCGTTGAGGGGAAGCAGGTCCTCCAGAAAACAGGTTAGCTTCTTACGGATGAGAGCAATCAAACATGACTTCCATGCAGGCCATGTAAATGAATGATCTGAAACCACTTTTTTGAAGAGCGATCAGCAACATAAGATAAAGTTGAAGGGTTTATGTGAGTGTCTCCTCAATCTGACTCCATCAAAGTGGACAGATGAGCCCATCTTCTCGTGACCGGAGGTGTTTTAAACTGATATTAAGTCTTAATTATCAGGAGACGTCACAGTCATTGCATCGACAGAAGAGACATACTGTAGGACCTCTCTTGCTGTCCCTCTTTGCAGAGCAGGTTTCAGGTGCTGCAGGATTTTTTGGCATAAATAGGAAGGGAGCAAATACAGATTGGTCTAAATTATTGACGTTATACCACTGTTGCCAAAAGTACACTCTGTCTTCTTTGCTGGGTATCGTCTATGTGCGGGAAACACCGGGTTTTGTAGTGTTACCTGAAGTCTATATCATACGTCTTAGTATTGTTTTCTTCGACTAGGACCTGATGCATTATTTTGTTCTCTCCCACACCAACATGTCTTAGAACAACATATAAACTTGACATGTAAACCCCCCCTGTTTCTTTCGTGATTTATCTTGTGACTTGGAGTTTGTTCTCCTTGATTTCTGTGTGACTGTAGGAGAAAAGTTCAAGTCTGTGCTGTCCAGAATGAGTCAGCTGGCCAGCTCAGGAGCGACAGAGCTCAGAGTGCGCAGCTTAGACGCCATAGCACAACTCCTCACTCTACAGGTAGCGTACACACATTATTTTTGATGCTGCTTCTTGTAAAAAAATGATTAAAGTTTATGACTCTGTGGTGTTTGATTGCAGCCAGAACAGCAGACAGAAGACCTTTTGGCCCTGACAGAGTCCTGGTTCCAGCTTTTGTCTAAACAGCCCATGGATATGATTCGCAACATCAGCACCCAGCCATTTCCAGAACTGCACTGTGGAGCTTTGAGGATATTCACTGTGAGTGCTCAGCTGTTACTAACCGCCGTAATCGCTCCCTGTGGTAGAGATGGTTGAATTTCCTTTTAAATAACAGCACTGTAAACATTTCATGCTCTTTGCCCATAATTACAACGAGCAAAATGTCACAAGTAACGCTGTAGTATCTCTAGTGTTGACATCAGCTGATATCTGTGTGTGTTTCCCAGGCCGTCGCCGCTCAGCCGTGGGGTCAGAGGTTAATGATCAGCACTCCGGGCTTCGTGGAGTTTGTTCTGGATCGTTCCACGGGTCAGACGAAGGAGGCCAAGGATGCCAAGTTCGACCTGGTGGGCTCACTCGTGTGTTCATCCACAGCCGCAGAGATTCTGGGCAGCCAGCACTACATCCGCCTAAAGACGTATCTGAGAGAGGGACCGTACTACGTTTCAGCGGTGGCCTCAGTCAGCACAGAGGGAGCAGAATAAGGAAACACACACGCACACACACACTTCTTTGGTTTCTGGTAAATGCCTGAATAATCTGGGTTTACATACAGGACTTTAATAAACAGACTCTCTAAAGAAGTACATAATTTGTTCTTAAAAATCAGGCTGTGGTGTTGACAAGAATACAACTGTTACTACTGACAACACACTTAAACAGTTTACCACATCAAGAAGCAGATGCCTGTTCAAGAATAGGTTAAGAAGATAACAGTAATTTATTTTTAATACTTGCTGGGTTAAATTGGTTCATTCCAACTCTTCATTCTCTCTCTCTCTCAGAGTATTTGTAAGACTTTTATTTTCTTTCAGGGTGAATCTGGTATTGTATTTTGGTAACACCTCTCACTGATGGCAAGTTTTGGCGGTACTAACCAAAGTCTTTGAAAGCTGTTAATCAAAGCGGCTAATTTTATTTTGTTTTAAAAGTTTGAAGTCTGTTTGGACCAACTTTATTTTCGCCAAACAGGATTGGGGGAAAAGCAAGAAGAGCGACACAAAAAGTTTGAAAATGAAAGAGTGAAGGGTTGAAATACAGTCATACCATTTGTAGGTGGTATTTGTAGTTTATTTAGGGGCACCCAAGTTCAGTTAGTTTCTCTGAAGGCCTACTGTGAAGGCTTTAGAAAGGTTTTATAATGTCATTAAGGTAATCTTAGTTTAAAAGAGAAATTTTCGCACAGACAACCTGAGTTATAAGCTAAGGTTTGTGGCCTGAAAGTTTTACAAAATAACAGAAAAGTTCTTGCTGCATTATGGGAAATGTAGGACATGTGTCTTTTCTTGCTTCAGTTTTCGCATATGACACTCCTGATAAAGTTCTCTAAAGATGAACATTCAGAATTGACGTGTGTGCCGATGATTCACACAAATCAAACCTGGTGCAAAAGTTGACCAGCAGAATAAGAGTTAGACGTTTGCCAACTCCAGTATATCTCCACTTTGTTGTTAAAACAGATACTTTAACTCATTTTTATTAAACTTGGTTCTCAAGTATTAATCTAACCAGCCTTTAAGAGGTCCTTTAAATGTTCATCAAAGCACTTACACATCTAACTTAATAACACGATACAGAGATCTGAAACAAACTCAACCAACACCATCACTTCATAAATCCAACACCTGCTTTGAATTTCATTTTGGTTCAATTTGCTTTTGTGTCAAAAGTTTTTTTGTTTACTTAAGGAACAAAAAGGAAATAATTTTTTGTAATTAAAGAGATTGCACTCTGAGTTTACATTGCATTATTTGTCTGTCAAAAAAAGCAAAACAAACAAAGTCCAGGCTTTTTTGAAGACAGTTCACTGTGGGTGTATTCAGGATTTTCTCACAGAGAAACAGAAAGAAGTAGTGTCCCATTTTTGAGTGTAGCTTAAAATAAACATAGTTGACAAATAATTAAAGACGGATGTAATTAAGCTACCTGTCAGTGTTAAAGTAAGTGACACGCAAGAATACAGAAGCCTTAATTCAGCTGTATCTGTTGCGGGTGACTGTGCTGTCAATCTCACTGTTGTCATTATAAATTAAATACTCAGAAATAGAAAAAATGCTGAAGCCGTTTTCCTCAGTAAAATCGTAAAACTCGTAGTGTAAAAATTCTCCTTTACAGTTGAAAATACTATAACAAACGTTCAATTGAAGTAAAAAGGCTGTATACTGTAGAGTTAAAGGTTCTTTCTGTAACAAAAAGTCCTCATGGGCAGATAGATGTAGAACGATTTGATTGTTTATACTACGTAGCTCTTCATCATTGCAGCAATTTGACTGTGAGTGACCTTGCTTCCATTGCAGTTGATTGTTTCAGTGTAGCGCTTTGCTACATGATCAAAAAGTCAGGAAGGTTTAGAAAGATAAATTAGAGAGATCAATTGGAGTGTTGGAGTGGAAAAAGTTCTGCTTCAAAAAAGGTATCATCCCTCTAATGACAGTCTTTGGGCGTGTTTGGTGAATTATTGGATGTCCTCTGGTGCAAAGCTGCACATATAAAACCATTTTGAGAGATGCTCAGTGTGTATAAACTTGAAGAGATTTTTAATCTTGTGTAAATTGACTATCATCTTCATGAGTCATGATCTGTTAATTCATGGCTGTTTGGTATTTTCAGAGTTTCAGTGTGAACAGAGGAAAAGTTCAAGGTTAGCAGGGCATAGCGGGGACTCTCAGGCACCAGATGGTCACAGTCACAGCACAGGAGGGAGGTCTGACTTCTTATTAAAAAGATTAAACTCGGCGAACAAGCCAAGGCCTCCACTAAAATGCTGCTGATTGGATTGAGTTTGACAGGAATGCATACTTTAAGTCAATCAGCCTTTACCTCTGCTGAGGTGTGAGTGAATCCCTGGCTGGTTTGATAGCAGTTCTAGCTGTTCTGTATTTTTGGGTTGTGTGTTTCTCACCTTCCTCCTGACAAATATCCCACAGATTCTCTGTGTGCTTCAGATGAGTTGGCTGGCCAATGAAGCACATATCCAGCATGCCATTTTGGCGCTGTGGACAGGTGCTAAATCCTGCTGAAAAAGGAAAACAACATCTACATAAAGCTTCTCAGCAGATAGAAGCATGAAAGCATCTGAAATCTCATAGTAGACTTTTGACTGCTTTGACTCTGGACTTGATAAAACAAAGCAGACCAACAGCAAAAGATGACATGGCACCCCAACTCGTCACAGACTGTGGAAACTTCATGCTGGACTTCAAAGACCTTGGATTCTGGGCCTCTCCAGGATTTTGGACTACTGAGCAACAGTCCAGGTCTTTTCCCTGTTAGTCCAGGTGAGACACTCATTTTAGTTAAGACATCTTCATGTGGTCACTCGTGATGCTCCGACTCCACCCTCACTTGGCTCATAGTGAAGCTTTCCAAAGTTGTTGAATCAACTTTTCCAGATAATCCTCTTAAAGCCACAGTCATTCCTGTTGCTTTGTCACCTATTCTGACCACATTTTTCTTTTCCTGCCAACTTTCCAATACGTTTAAACAATACAGCCAACCTTTTATCACTGGCTGACCCCTACTTTCTTGGACGCCATAAAAAGTAATTGATATGAGTTTTCGTGAATGTCAAAAACACCTTATAGTAGCTTTAAATAACATCAAAAATACTGAACGTTTCTTGATTCTCCTCTTTGTTGTGATGGTTTTATTAATTTGTAATATTCCTTTAATCTGAAGATAAATTCCACCACAAACCTCGATGGGGTAATTTCTCAGATGTGTTTTTTGTCTAGCAGAAAAAAAAGATATCCTACTTAAATCTACATCCATCATGAGCTCAAACTCCTCAACAACCTCATGTCAATGTCTCCCCAGTGAATCATATCACCTCTCCCACGTCTCCCCCTGTACTTGCTCCAGTTTGCGTCATCAAGTAAACAGAGAAATAATTTTAAAAAATAAAAAAACATCCAGACTGTCAATCTCCACATTTTATTTTTACTTCTTCCTCTGGCGTTCCCTCAAGTGTATTGGAAGTCGTGTAGTTATCCTTCCCTCTCAGATCTTTATGATTTTAATCACAGATTTTTTCAGTGGTGGCCGCTTTCTACTGATTGTCTAAATACAGCACAGACATGAAGTGGGACATTTTTCAGCCCTTTAATATTCAGCTTTGTATGTACAGTCACATGCTGTGCTTATACCATCTCCTTCGGTATAATAAGTGGGGTGTTAATATGACAAATTTTCTGACTTTGTATGTGTTCCTTCTCACAACTTGCAAAATAACTATACTTTTTAAATAATAGAATATTTTTTTGTTTGTTTTTTAAGCATTTTTATACATTGAGTAGGTAACAGCAATTTAAATAGGAGAAAATATATTTTTAAAAAAAAAGATTTTTTTGTAATTTTTTGTTTTTGTAGTTTAATCTGGGGAACCCCAATCACTTCTCTTTAAAATGTAATTATAGGATAGACTCGGAGGATTATGGAAGCAAATTTGTATCATAATTCAAATTTGCCGGAGCTCCTGCCCAGCACAATGAGACCATAGACTGTATGGACAACATGGTTCCGCCTTCTGCCATTATACGGATTTGAACTCCACCACTTGTGCAGTAGCATTGTACATGTTCGGCAGGAAAGTCGCTGAGAGTTTCTGTGATGAAGCTCGGCTCAAACAGCGTATCCCCGGGTGCAAATTTTTTTTCGTAGGATGGATGGCAGAGGCGCGATTTATGACCCATACTGCAGCCTGCCGCCAGAGGGTGCTGTTCTCGGAATGGCTTCACCCAGTGAGGAGGCAGATTCCATTCCATAGACATTATATACTTTGACGCCTCATTACGTGCTGGAGCGTAATCCAGTGTTGCCGCCATGTTGGATGGGTCTCTGTACTTAAGGCTCGCTCAAGAGCCAACGGGGTCAATGGAGAACGAGCAACTATGCCTGTATTTTTGCACTCTATGGTTGAAAAAAAAAAAGATACAGTATTGAAACCCAGTCACGTAGGATTACATTTCACAAATAAGATTGAAATTTTTTTTTATTTTTGATGTGTGGCATTGTCCTGTATTATGGCTACATCCTTGCCATTTGTAACAAACCAAACAGTGTGAAAATCGGGCAGAGATTCGGAGAGTTATTATTAATATGGTTGGGCATTCCTACCTACCTTAACGCAATGGAGGCGCTTAGGGGACCCATCCAAGATGGCGGGCGAGCTGATACGTGAGCTCCAATAGGCAGCATCAGGCTGTATTATGTCTATGGTCCATTCTATATACAGTCTATGACCTTTGAATTATGATACAAATTTGCTTCCATAGTGGATAACTCGCTCTTTTTTTTAATCTGTGGAGCTGCAGTAACGCCGAAGCTCCACTAGATGGTGCTAACCTCTACACACAGAGAGAGTCGGGTGATAATTCAATAGTTATGTCAGTAGGTGTGCTGAACATCTACCATAGGAGGAAACGCTGCCAGCACTGATGTGTGCACCGCTGCAGACCTGACTGTCCTTTTGCATGTTTTCTCTTCCATCCAGGACCCCCATATGAAGTGCTCTGTATCTGCCAGTTTGTGTGTTTAAAGAGTTAACCATCCAAGTGTCACTTTGCTCGCTGCTCCTCGTCTGCGTGGGCGCGAGGAAAAAACTCTTCTACACCTCCAAGATGCACCTGAATAGGTGAGAGGGGGCTTTGTATCTACAGAGAGAGAGAGACAAAAAAAAAAAGCCCCCCCACGCTTTTTCAAAAGAGCGCGTCTTTCTCTCCGGGTGTGTTCACTCCTTTTTGGCAGAGCTCCCTCCGATGCAATTAACCCAGGAAGAAGACTTTGTCACGGGGGACTCAACGCCGACCACCGCCGCTCCACAGTCCGACGGCAGCGCCGGATCTCCGGCCAAAATGTGCAGTGAATGTTACGTGAACCAGTCATTCGTGAACGATGACGGGACTGTGAACGCGAACCACAAACCACGGTAAGAAGGGACAGCGGGGAACAAGTAAGGAGGCAAACTTTACATATTATTTATGAGGATAAAAGAGGAATAAGTTAGTAGATTTTGTCATTACTTCTCATATTTCTTCAAGTTGGCTTGTGGTATGTTTTTAGAGGAGGGTTTTGTTTGATAAAAGTTTAAAATGTTCACATTTATTTCACATTTTCTGTTCAGTTCAGCGGTTTTTATTGTAAAAATGCTATTTTTATGTGAAAGCCATCAGTTGTTTTCCTCAGGTTCTCTGGTCTGTGCTCAGCTCTCTATGTACCTCAGTTTCGTCCTTGAAAACTTGCAATTTATCCACAAAAATACAGTTTGATTACTGAAGCAACCTTGAGTTATTTAATTGGGTTGGCCAGGCTGCTTTCTTAAGGGCACTTTTCCACATTTTGATATAAAATGTAGAGAAATAAAACATGTTAACTATTTCTTTTAAATGAAAATCATTCTCACAAGCTTGTTAAGCCATCTTTCCTGTGCACAGAGACTCCCTAAAGACTCTCCAAAGATCTCAGATCTGTTTTTTTGCCTTTAGCTCTGTTTGGTTATCTTTGGTTGATCAATTTCATGGAGCCTCATGGGAAATATAACCTTCATCTATAATACAGCAAGTTTGACAAGTGTAATGGAGGACCATGGCAAACAGAGAGACGTAGTGATGGAAAGATGGATAAATAAAGAAGATGAAGGGTTTTCATCACACTTTGACTTACCCTGTGAAAAGGCTTCAGGAGGAATTCAAAATGAGAAGATGCTGAGATACAGCACCCAACATCTAATTATACTCCACTTATCGTTTGCCTATTACTCAGACAGTGATTATAAGAAAAGGGGCTGGACCAGGTGACTCAACATCTGCAGCGCTGAAAGTTGTGCCTTTCTTCTGACCAACCAGATCTGGATATTGATTTGAAAAGTTTGGAGTCTATAATTAGGAAATAATTTTATATGAAACAGTGCCGCATAATACTTCTCAATACCAAACAGTATGATATGCTTTGATAATTGTTGGATAAGTACCCAGATGCTTCAAAATCCTGTTTTACTCAAACTGATGTTGCACCATCACCCCTCTGTGACTTTCATTTGAATGGCAATACCTTACAAAAGTGTAAATATTGCACATTGATCTGGCAATACAGAAATGTTCTTGTGCCTTCGAAGAACAACGAGACTTTGAATTATGAGTATTACTTTAGCCAGGTATTCTGAATACAGTAAATTGACTTTAGTGTTATCCTGAATTGTTTGAACCTAATCCAAATCACACAACAGACTCTTAGACTGCTGTGCAGGCAAAATAAAACATGAATAAATTTACATAATACATGGTAGCTGCTCATAAACAAAGTATAAAAATGTCTGCACTTCTTGGGAACAGTCCAGTTTCTGCTAGAGCTCATGTGAGAATCTCAAAGCTTGTATTGATTTTGGCGCCCCCTCTGGTTAAAGTAGCATCTCCTATGTCTTTGCTAAGTTTAAGTGGTACACGTGTAAGTATGGAGCCCTTAAACTTGCCTTTTTGTGAGGCATCACAATTCAAAATAGTCTGAATCCACCGGTTTGGCCTTTAACAGTATTACAGTTTATGTTTAGTATGGGAAATCTTAATCTTTGCTGTAAGTCAAAGTCATAACTGCCAGATGACGAATGCAGTGGGGCTAAATGCGTTTTCTAAGTTTCTTTGAGATGTAGTGGGGTAGGTTTATGATAATATAAAAATGAAAATACAAGTGCTTCAAAGATGAAGACATTCACAGTAAAAAGTCAGCTGAATATCCTTGAACATGAATTTACAAAGTAAGTGAGTCAAAAGAGAATTAGTTGTGCGTTGTTTTGATGATTTGTAAACCCTTGCAGACATTTTTAAAGCAGGAATATTAAACACAGGTTGTTCCAGCTTTCCAAATTTTAAGACTTATGGCTTTGATTACCTTTAATTGAGCACAACTTTGCACCTACAGCAGGCAGACCGTAACCCGCTCAATATAGGTGCAGTTAGTTTACATTGTGCTGTAGATGAACACACAGCTCGTCATGATCTCTATTGTCTGTGGGACTCCAGGGTGCTGTTTGATCAGCTCATATTACAGAACAAGCAAAAGAGATTAATTACATGGTAGTCAGCAAGCACAGTATGAATTTTCTGAAATACCCTTTACTTGTTTTTAATCATCTTTTTTCCCTTTTTTCCCCCCAAACTTTATATCCCCTTTATAGCCCACCATCTACACTATTTCCTCCTATGATTCCTCTCCTTGCATCCTCTCCTCTCCCACTCTTAGAACCTCTCAAGAATTACCTGTCCTTTAAACTCCTTTCACCTCCTTCCTCCTATTTACTTCCTTTCGTTTCCTTTCTGTTTCTTTACCGTCCTCCTCTCCCTTCTCCAGCTCCTCTCAAGCCCCGCTCCAGACCAACGTCAAAAGTAGTAGCAGCAGTGGCAGCAGCAGCGGGGTTATCTTAGACATCTCCACTCTGAAGATGGAGCAGCAGGAGAGCGAGGTGCCTCCTCTGCCACCCCGCTTCCGCTTCAGAGACCTGCTGCTGGGAGACCAAAACTTCCAGAACGACGACAGGTAGGCATTTTAGGAGACAGAGAGAGGAACGCTAAATCACAGGAATGGGTTCAGACCACCATCTGCATATAACATCTTTGATGTGATGATCCTTGTCCAGAGTCGATTTGCCATATAAGACCTGAAGTCCTTGTACATGAACTGAAACACTCCTCCAATGTTGCCAACAACATTTTAAGTATTTTACTGTTGTCAATTTAAATGTGAAGCTAACTTAAGTGTAACTATTTTAAAGATCCTATAACAAAGTTTTAGTTTGTGTCGATATTGGTGCCCCCTGTGGTCAGAGCAGTCTTTGCTGATTTTGTCCTGTAGGCCTACGTGTGAAAGCTTTGAGCTTTTTATCTTCTCCATCCATTATTCAGCTAGTCAACTATTTAGCTACCGACTTAAAACTATTAGCTAACCAAGTAAACAATAGCGCACTGATGATAATTGTTAGTTATCCATCACTTTTGGCGAACTTTTTGCTAATTTTTTTTTATCGGCTCTTAAAGAAATGTAGTCTCAACTTCAGGCTGTGTCCTACTCTGGGGACTGCAGCCTTGAAAGGTCCAGGCTTTTATGGCCTAGAACAGCTGTACTGAACTGAGTTGATCTACCCTCCAAAGGTTTATGCACTTGGGTCACCAGTCGTCCTTGCCCTTATGCTGGCATTACATACCGCCATATTTATCGCTTATAAGGCATGGCTACCGGGCTGAACACATCTGTCTTTTATGAGATTTGTACAGCTTGCTATTGTCCACCATCTCGTTTGAATTGATGAGCAAGAATCATGGATATATGGGGAAAGTAACACACACATTTAGAGGACCCTTAAACATCTTTGATGCTCTTCTGCAACACATTCGGTCTCACGCGGTCCTGAAAGGCTCAGGCCCCTGGATCTGGACAAAGCTTTGGACTCTATTCAACCCAGATTTTGTCTCAGTGACGCCCTCCGTTGGTTTCCAAAGAAGGCTTTTGAAGCCAAACAATGACAGTGTCCATGTTAGAAATGCTGACTCAACCTAACTTTTGGTCAACACAGAAACAGAGAAGCCTTCTGGCAAACAGCCACACTGCCCCTGCTTGTTGGTCAACTTCGCTGCGCCCACTGGAATGCAAATTCACGCAGGACTCTTTAGTCTGAATATCTTCAACATGAATGAGATATAGAAGGAATTCACCTCCTGCTCGGTGTCTATGAATAAAGAAATGAGCGATTGAGACCAGGGTGTACTCTTCATGGGGCTTTAACATGTGGCTTTGTGAGGATTTTCCCATTTCTGCAGCCAGTTACTTGAGGAACTGCAGTTTTTTGCACTCCTGCATTGGTTTCATGTGTCACCACTGGCCCTTGACTCTAAATTGGACATAAACAATATGGTCAAATGACACAAGTTAATCAGTCTGACAAAAACAGCCACAAACAAACTGTATATAAAAGTGTACAAATATCTCATATACCTCGACCTTTGTTGCTCGTCTTGTTTCACATTAACCATCAGTCGTAGTAGCTGATTGCACACCACCAATACAGCTCACAAATACCCACAACGCATCCATCCCTGTTTGGTTGACCTTTGCAGTAATGTTGCCGCTATTTAAAGTTGCACCACAGTGATTGTGCATGGACCTTTTACCTTGTTTACTGCCTACAGTGTTAGCAAACACAACAGTACATAAAAGGCAGTCTGAATTGCTCTCTGACAATGTGTCATCGATGTTTAAGTGCTTTAGATTTTGCCTTGACAGAGGAAATGAAGGAACACAGCAGAGTGTGGGTGCTGTCCATGGTGCTGAAAAACAACAGACTGAATTACGTTTTTTTTTTTAGTGCAAATAACAAAGTAGGCTTGGTTTTTGTTTTTTATTCACAGCAGACACTCAAAACCTGTAGTGTCGGGAGCACATTAAGACCTAATTCAGAGACAGAATGTAAAATGAGCTCTCACAATCAGGCCCTTTTGTTAAACCCTCCTCATTAACAGTTGTTTCCTTTTTGCGCACTGCTACTTAAAACAAGATCAGCAGCAGTTATCTGTTTTTCTCCGAGCTGCTTCATCTGTTTTTATCCTGTGATTCAAAACACAGAGGCAACAGAGATTCAGATCCATCTGCTTTTGAAGTCCAAAACAAAGAGTCAAAAAAAAGGTTTAGAAATTTGTGTCCCCTTTCCTGTTATTTCAGAGAGAGATGAATCCAACAATCCTGTGCGGTTAGTTATGTGCTCGTGTCTGCATATCCTACAGATATTTATTCAGTTTTATAATCAAGGATTCTGCCAGATGGACCTCAGGAGAGTGATGATCAAATGTAATTTTAGATGTGATTACAGCTGCAGCATCAAACCTTCGAGACCGCAGTGCTGTTTGTAATACTTGACATATCTATTTGACGCTGAAAAACAACACTCTCTGCCAGTGCTTTCACTCTAATGTAACCTTTTCCCAGCTGTCCTTGCAACCACCACTCTTTTTTTTTCTCTTCAATAAAGCCGTCTACAGTTTCAGCGCCTGCTTAGAGACTTGTTACTATTTTTCTGTTTGTTCCCTGCAGGTAAGCCTTTCCTCTGAGTTGATAGACAGCGTGTTTGCTCCTGCAGGAAAGCGATGTTGCACGTTAGGTTTTTGGTGGTCAGATTAATAAGCCAGGTTTAGTAAAAATGTGAGAACTCACAAATGTCGCATGTCACATTAATCACTGAAAAAAACAGAATGCTCATGTGAAGTGTCCCACTCACAAACATGCCCTTTTTCTCCCCTCAGATTTACCCGTATTTTAACATACTTGTTGCAGTTTCAGTCAATGTTTTCAATGTTTACCACTCAAAATGTAAGTGTCCTTGTTTTTACCAACTAAATTATCGTGCTTTTTTTTGTGATTTTCCAAGCAGTGAGTCAAAATCATAATATTTATACACCACATGCAAATTTACTCACAATACAGATGATTTACAGATGATTTAAAGCTGACAAAAACAGATTTTAATGATGTAAGTATAGTGTTAAAAATAAATGTAAACACTATATTCGATTGAAAACAGCACAAAGACAACATATCAGATTTTAAAACCATACACTGTAGATACTATGGACAACTTGGTCCTGCCTTCCACCAGTATACAGATTTGAAGCCGAAAAGCTCTCAGTATTTCTGCGTTTTTTCTCCACTTCCTGAAACCAACATTGTGCAGTAGCATTGTGCGCATTCGGCGGGTGAGTCGCCAAGAGTCGCTGTGATGACGCTTGGCTCAAGAGCTACAAGCTACGCAATCCCTGAACGCCCATAGGCTGTATCAGGTGTCAATCATAGAAAACATGAACCCCCTAATAACTTTTAAAAACGGAGCTGCACAGAAAAAAGAGAACTTGAGCACAAACCAGTCTTACTGTAACTACATGTCAACATTGCAAGCAGGTGGGAGAAAAAATTTGTATTCTTTGTAATTATTTCTAAAGTTTGTCCACAGCCCCAGAAGGATGGCTGGCGGAGGCGGGATTTATGACCTGTACTGCAGCCCGTCACCAGAGGGTGCTGTTTTCACGGTGGCTTCACCCAGCGAGGAGGCAGATGCTGTCCATTCTATATACAGTCTATGGTTAAAACTATGTTTGATCATTCTCATCAAACAACGTACCACTCCAAAAGTTGTCAAATGCAAAAAAAAAACTAGACCGAACATTTTTTATTTAAAGCTACTCTAAGAATTTTTTGGGAGTTTATGAAATAGACTGAAATTCATATTAATACCTTTCCCATGATATCCCATATATATAGAAGTGAAAAAAGCTTCAAATCATTGCTGGATGGTTGTGATCCTTGGGCCCCCATGCCACACTGCATTAAAAACAGACATGACTCTGTAGTGGAAGTTACCACATGGGCTTAAATCAATCCCAAAAACTGTTGTCTGCCCATTAATTCCAATGCCAATACAACACCACTCATCGTTAATACAAGGATATTAGATACAAAAAAAACGACTGCAGTAGATTAAAAGCATCTTTCCGAGCTGCACTCTGTGATATAGGTAAACAATGGGTGAGCCCAAATGTCTCATATTTTACAGGTAAGATTTATGGCTGAAGCTGTGAGCTCTTTGAGCTCCCAGGTGATGGAACACTCAGTGGGGTTTTATCACCTGCGTGGGTAAAAAGGGGGTCAAGTGGAGTGTCCTGTTCCGGTATTTTCTCTGACTCATGGAGGAGGTCATCTATAAATGACTACTTCAGACTCTTTCAAATTAAGAGACAACAAAAAAGGTGGGTAGGGAAAAGAGAGCGAGTGAGACAGGGAGGGAGAGAGAGAGAGAGAAAGAGCAGAGCCTCCTACATTGTTGATTTTCTTTTCATCTGTAATTTTCTAGTCAAATCCAAAAGGACAAAGAAAATGTGAAAAACATTGAACTTTCTCCCACTGTTGTCTGTCAGCTATGGTGTTTGAAACTCTAAAGAGCTGTGGAGGAAAAGGGTTTCTCTGAACAGAAAATAAACCTAAATAACAGATAGATGCCTGCTTTGGGGCTTGAAGTCATTTTGGTCTTGAGATGATGCGTTTGTGGCCCCTCTGGAAAATTGGGAAATGGACAATACAACATCTGATGATGGATGTCGATGAAGAATAAGAAAGCAGTGTTTGTATGCATCGCATTTATGGGACCATTCCTCTGCTGTGTCAATGGGAATGCTAACAGCTTTGACAGAAGCTGCAGCTCTGCTTGTTACATGGTTATCCTCTTTCAGACAACGTTGCTGTGGCAACAGGCCCGCGCACGAGAGCCACAGAGAGATTGAATGTAGCCTATTTCTAAAAATATTCCCATATGCACTTCTTATCTCGCAAAGATAAATAATTAATTTAAAAAAAATCCTTTCCGTTGATTCGATTTGAGGGTATTATTGTTGGCATGGGTGGATTTTGATTTTTTTCTTCAAAGTTAGATAAAACAGTTGATCTTCCGTGTGAAAAAAAGAAAACAAAACAGGGCAGTGCCTCGTTATTTAGAGCTGTGGGGAGGCGCACTGGGCACGGAGCTTTTCACTGTAAGAATAAGGACGGAGAGCACGACGCAGCCACAAGTGTCAATGGATCCGAGGATCGTCATCCCCACCTGGGTGAATCCGTCCGTGAACACATGGAGGTCGGACCCTTTTGGTGGTGACGCAGGGCAGAGGTAGGACCGACAAGGGACAAGTGATAATGTCTGAGCTGTCAATGCAGACAGAGGTAATCTAGCCAACCAGTTAGTGACAAGTTTATATAATATCACAATTTTACGTCTTGGCGGCGTTAAACTGTCGTCTGTCACCAGGCTACATTTACAGGTGAGCCAAAGAGGTGAGCTCGCGCTGTCAAATTTGTTTCACGCGCTCAAATCTGTGGACGCGCGAAGAAATACCTTCTGCCTACGTGCTTGTTTATGAAATTGTTTGGCATTATAATAGCCCCAAACTCTGTCTTTTAGCTTATTTTGTCTCATTAATACACCACTGTAAGCTTCAAACTCGAAAATTCGTGATTGACTTTACTGAACAGGCTATTTTTAGATATATATCTTTATTAAGGGTGTCAAGTTTGTCATTAAAGCCAAACGGACGTAAAGCAACGACCTATAATGCTACCACTATTTGAAATCAAAGGTTGCATCAAAATAGGCGAACTTAATTAAAATTTAAATGCAAATTGTTATAAACCAGCTGTCAAAAACCAAAAGATATTAAAATTCATATTATGGAAATGAAGCAAAAAACAGAAAATAGCTGCTGTCTTCATTTTAAAAAAGCTCATTTTGTGTTTGTTAACACTTTTCAGTGCATGTTAACAATCTATAGATTTTTTTTTCTGTTTTTTATGTTTTTTTTTTACACCAGTGTCTCTATTTGGAAACCAAATAAAGACACTTGAAGTTGCTTACTTCATGACCTTGACTGTAACTTTATTCATCAAATAAATGCTGCACTGCTGCCACTATGATACAAACCATAACCTTAAAAGTAGAAAATAACTTCAGTTTTACTATTTCTGTAACATGCACTGTTTATTTTGTATTCATTTTTATAAGATATTACTGTTACATGTGGAGAAATATTTAGGAGTGCATGCACAACCAACCTACTATGATATGGTGTGTGTTTATTCCAAGATCATTTTGATTACTCCCTGACGTCCAGTGATTCCTGAGTAATGCAACAGCATTTGCACTTGTCAGGTGTTCTGGTTTGGTTGCTTTCTCTGTTTCAGACAGGTCCCGTATGCTTGAATCTACTATTTCCTGCAATAGTACGGCAAAAAAACTCATCACAACATATCAACACGAGGATGTCCCTTAGATCTTAGTCACAGGTTTGTTGGGGATTGGCGCACTTAAAAATAGCGCTCTGCAGGGGTTTGTGATGTAGCTCCCCACCCAAGTTATTTAGTGATATTCTAATTGAGTTTGATACAAAAGAAGTTAAACGAAACCGAAGCCCAGTGGCGTTGTTACGTTGGTAGTAGCTATGGAGTGCGGCAAGGGTTGAAAAACTGCACATAATTTCAAAAGACATACAAATTTTGGACTTTCACTGACTGTCTAAGGGTAAGAAAAGCAGCAAAAACTGGATTTGATGTTTCAAAAACATTTTCTGACCACACTCCATCTTCCCGCCTTTATGCAGACTTACTGCATTCAAATCAGCAGGTTTCTCTCGTAGTTATGAACACCTCAGGCTGAATTTATCAGATATTACCCGTCTGTTTCAGAGCTGCAGAATGATTCCACTCGCAGAACTTTCTCTGCCGCAATTAGTTTTTAAAAAGATCTGATTACTCCCGGAGCCGAGCGTCTTATTGCCAGAAACTCGATGTGACACAGCAGTATGACTAATGTCAGACCACTTCAGCTGGTAATTGTGTGCTCAACAGGAGCTGATTATGGGCCATTACTTGCACCGCAACGTGTGTGCATGAGTGTGGATGTGGGTGGGTTAAGGGGGTTAGACCGACAGACAGAGAACAAGCTGTAGGACCCTCAACATGTGACATATCCCTGCTCTGCTGGTGGACGCATGTGACAGCTGTTTAGATCTCATCACCGAGGATCCCTCTGAAGGGTTCCCCTCTCTTCTGTGTGTTTTTTTTTTTTTTTGTACCAGCCGATCTGCAATAGCTGCTCAGCACAGTCGCTCCATCACAACTACCCACACTGTTTTTTCCTTCCCACTGTGATCATTTCAGCCACGATCACAAACTCTGAGTTTCTGCTGCGGCTTTCAGCCTTCCTCAGATTCCTCCAACCCATTTTGTGCTTGCTTTTCATTTTTCTCTGTTTGTTTTTTTCTGCTCTTTCTCCTGAAGGCAGCGCTGTGAAGATTATGCCTTAACAGTGTAAAGATTTCCCAGTGTGTTGCCAAGTTACCTGCTGTATAAGTTGTTTATTTTCTCGCCCTTTGTGCTTTGCTTTATCTGATAAACGCCACATTTACTAATGTACAGTAGCCCAAGATAAACATGCATCCATACATTTAATTCAGTCCCATGATAACTAGCTAATATCACTTGTTTGTTTGAGATCTTAACTCAAGTTCAGATGATCATTACTTGTATCCCAAGAGTTGCAAAAGCACCAAGCAGAGATAGAAAAGGCTTAAATGACCTCATTAGTGCAGGCAGTAGCACCGTGGCCCACCACAGCAACAGGACTGTAGTTTTATTTTTCAGATCACCAGAAAATCATACTGGTACCACAAGAAAACAAGCTTAAATATCTCAAAAAAATGAGCTAAACAGAAATGGAGCTTTAATGTAAATATTTTTGTAGTTGAAAAAAAAAACAGTCAAATAAAACTGCATAAATTAACTTTGAAGTTTTTTTCATGCTTGAGAAATACACAGAAACTCATTTTGATATATTATTATGATATCCTTAAGCAGACAAGACCATCAGTGAAAAGACTGATAATCTTATCTTATTGTTATTCATAATGTATGAAACTGAGGCAAGGGGTTATTGTCAGCGGAGCAGCTTAATGACAGCCCTGTTTTTGTAACTTTCATGAAAATATCTACAATAAATGACACATTTGACCTTTAAAAGTCAGCAGGATGAGAAATTTTGTCAAATGTCACTATTCAAGCAAGTATAGGACAACATAATCAATGACTTCTTTGGCCACAGGGGGCAACATAACCATCAAACTGAAAGTTTTCCACAGGAGTTTAAAAGGGACCATGTCCATAAACAACACCCTAACTGAAATGACAATATACCTGAGCTAGCCCAACAACTACTTTGCAGCCACTTAGTCGGATGTTTAGCATCATAAAAATTAGATGATGTGTTTACTGAAACTGTCCTTATTAGAATATTAATTATTGGTATTATGCTAAAAATAAGCAATCGCTTATAGCGTGAGTTCATTGTTGAGCTCATGTATGCCGGTTGTTCCATAAACTTTCAATAAATCCCAAAGAAATGCTGAAGGTCTTGACTCTTCAGGTTACTGATAAATTGAACATTTATACTCTTTCAGCTGTTTTCATTCAGTTCTGGTAATTACAGCCTACTGGAGGTCGCTTATACTTCAAAATAAAAGCCTATTTTTTAATCCTGGAAATAAAGCAACACAAACACCAGACAGTGGGAAAAAAATCAAATTAAAAGTGTGCCAAACAATTGTTTCATAGTCAATGTGTCGTCCAAAGCGATGTCATACATTTGAATGTAATAAAAAATAGATAATGACATTTAAGTTAATTGTGTTTATCGGTCAAATTTATGAACAGCTAATATTTATGAACATCTGTTGCTCCACTTTTGTCTTACCTGTCTCCAATTTTCTTTAAGTTGAAAAGATAATATTGTTATTGTGATCTTTTATGGCCAATGAAAATCATTAGGTGAGAATTTGATAGCCCTGATCAGCCTAGTTCAACATTTCAGAGTAATAATATAGATATATAGCTATTACACTCTTCCATTAGTATATTTAAAGATTTAATTGGTCTTTCTCAGCTGTATATAAATAAAAGCACCAAACCCCCATTCATTTATTTACTTTTATAACCTTTTTCTCTTTACACAGTACAGTACTGTAATTAAACTCCCTTTTTTTATTTCTAGTGATGGTTAAATTCATTTTTCATGTTGTCACAACTGCTCTTTGGGGACTTTTCTTCTTTCAGTTTAAGCTGCCTGTCCCACATTTACCCTGCCCGGTAACTGGAAACACATTTAGAGACATAATTACCAAATGCTCTTTGATTTGGAAAAACAACATTATGTGTGATCATGCTGTCTAAAATTTCAATTTTAAAAACTGCTCCATAACAAAACAAAACAAAACAAAACAATGCCTCTTTTTCTTTTTGATGTTTCCTCTCTGTCTCTTCTGTTTTAGGGTACAGGTAGAGTTCTATGTGAACGAAAACACCTTTAAGGAGCGTCTGAAGCTTTTCTTCATCAAAAACCAAAGATCAAGTAAGTGCGAGCCATCTCCTTACTAATCTGAGATTTATCTGTTTGGTGCATGAAAGAGTCCATTAAAGGATAACACAATGAAGCAGTCTCTATTATCTGTGCCTAATGAGGCGAGGAAGTGGTAGGAAAACAAAGCAGTTCTGGGGAATCACATCAGTTTCTATTAAGCCACTATGGGTTGAAGGGTAATAACACTTAGCTTTACTTATTGTAACACGACTCAGATGCATTAATGTCTCTTGTAAATAAAGTATGATCTTCTTGGCTATAAATTAAACTGTAGCATTTGTGTAGTAAAAGGTTGTCTCCTTTGCTTTTAGGTCTGAGGATCCGTGTCTTCAACTTCTGCCTGAAGCTGCTTACCTGTCTGCTCTACATCATTAGGGTGGTGACTGATAACCCAACACATATCGCAGGACCGCAAACTGCTCCCAGCGGCAAATGGTTTGTTCACAGGAAGGGAAAAAGTGACACGTTGAATCAAGATGCTTTTACGCTTTTCTTCAGGAAAAGTAGCATACACAGCAAGTTAAAGGAAAATGCAAAAAAGGATATGCGAGTATTAGCAACAAAATACCGGAAGATGAGAAAGTTGATCATAATTTTGCTTATTTGAAAAAAATTATGACCCAAACATTAAAGCTGGTTTCACATTTGACTCCCCAGCTTCATTAAAGGTCCTTTGAGGAACTTTCGGTTTGTCTGTTTTGGCACCCCCCTGCGGAAGAATTAATCTTACTTATTTTGTTTTCTAGATGCTAAAGTAACGTAATTCAACAAAAAAATCTAAGTCTGTGACCTTTGACACCCAAATGCATTGTTTTTCTCAATACTGTATTTTTTTTTCTTTTAGTTGGTACAAATGTGATAGCTTTCAATAACAAAATTGTTCTGTATGAGACTGTGTGGGCAGCTGTTTTAGTGATATCACTATGTAAAGAATCCATACCATACCATATCCTAATGAAATTAGTGTTAAACATCTAATACAAGAACATTGTTTGTGAAATCTCATAAAAAATGTTATGACTACACTTGTTTTTCTCTTATTTATTGCTATTTCTGTAGTTTTGACACCCAGTGGAACGGATCAGTGCAGGACAGAGAAATTAACTGGTAAGTTACTTCAATATATTTCTGGAGAAAATGAATAGAAAACTATTCTGTAGCCCTCTGTATCAGCAATATTTGTTCTAATTCACCATTATAGCTCTCTGTATGATATCTCATAATTTCAAACACCCACATTTTGTTATACTGCGACATGAGTCTGCAGTTTTAATTAGTTTGATTAGAGCGATAATAATGTTTACGTCTCTCCCCCTGTTCAAACTCATTTAAAGTTATAAAACCAGACCTATATATGAGTCTTGCTGTACCCCTCAGTGTCAGCTTTCAAACTTCACTTTCTCTATGACACAGTGTGAGATATTTCTAAGATGTATTTCCCACCGTTACTCAGAGTGTTGTGTGCTCTGTGTGACAGGGGGTTGATCTTCTGGGTGGAGAGAAAGCTTCCTGTCTGGGCCATTCAAGTGAGTCACAGGAGAGAAAAAACATTAATCAAAACTTTTAAAAACTTCAGTAAGTTCAGTGTGCAAGATGATTTTCTCCTGTCAACAAACCTGTGGCCTTTGCTCACGAGTTGAAATGAACATGACTTAGTGTTTTTTGTTTGAACAGGTGATTGTCGCCATCATCAGTTTCCTGGAGACGATGCTACTGATGTATCTGAGCTACAAGGTAAGACAAAAAAAACACACACACATAGCAGTGGGATTACTGTCATACAGTCAGGCACAATTAGCCACTTACAGTCTGAGAGATTGACAGCTCATAAGTGGCGTAATTAGCCAAAGTCATTTGTCAAGGCTACATTAAGGACAGATGGTAATTACAGGATCTGGTGGAGGCGAAGGATTAAGTGGTCGATAGAAGTGACAGACTACAATTAAGAAGTGCGTCTCAGTATGACTCACCGTCTATTGTGCGCTTACAGGTAAAACTGTTAAAGTGTTTTTCATTTCAGGGGAACATTTGGGAGCAGATTTTCCAGGTGTCTTTTCTTCTGGAGATGATCAACACTGTCCCCTTCATCATCACGGTAAAGCTGTCTTTATCGTGACAATACTGCAGTCCGTGGATCTTTATTTTCTCCCACTATGAGAGTCATGCTCTGATTTATGAGGAAATATGAGTTTGATTCTCACAGATGCTGAAAACCTAGCTGCAGTACATATTTCCGCTTTGTTTTAGGTTGTCATGTAGTTAACGGCTGTGATCCAGGCTGAAACTTATAAACCATGACTGCAGAGAAGTTGCAAACAATTTTTATTGGTTGTTCTTATCAAATTAACTTTTATTTTCATAGGTATAACAAAAGCCTGGACAGCTGATAATTATCAGACTGATATGCTGTTTATCATGCAACTCTCTCTGTATATCCCATTAGCACGACATGTTAGCCAAATTAGAATCGTTAGTGGTGGTTACCATCTTGGTAGACTGTAGGTTTCACAATAGTCTCAGTAGCTTTGTGTAAATTCCTTAAAAAGTCAGAATTTTTCTGTTAAAAACCTAACAAAACAAAAAAACTACATTATCATAAGTTTCAGCTGTTCTTGGTGGGAGGAGTAGTCAAACTGCGAGCTAACATGATAAACACAGCTACATTTAGCCTCAACATCAGCCTGCCAGGATTGTAGCATGTAACAGTAACTTGCTAGCATGAAACTGCTGTTTTTTACGAAAGAGGATTAGGGCCACAAGAAGAGAAAAAAATAAAAACTGAAGAGAGATTTTTTTTTATTTCCAGTTTGAGATTAAAGTTGAAATTTCAAGATTCAAGTCAAAATATAAAAAAGTCAAAATTTCGAGTATTCATGTTGACTTAAATCTCGAAATGGCATCTTTAATGTCAAAATTTTAATTTTTTTTTAATCTCGAAATTTTGACATTATTCACGACATTTCGTGATTTTGAAATCTCGAAATGTCAACTTAGATGTTAAGATTTCAATTTTTAATCTCAAAATGTTGACTTTTTTATTTACATAGTTTTGCTTTTTTAATACTGAAATTTCAATGTTAATCTCGTAATTTTAATGTATTTATTTTAGAAATTATTCACAACATTTTGTCATTTTGAAATCTCAAAATTTCAACTTAAATCTTAAAATTTCAATTTTTAATCTCAAAATTTCAACTTTTTGACACTATTTTGATTTTTTAATCCTGAAATTTCAACTTTAATCCCGAAATTTCGACTTTAATCTCCTTCCTGTAATTATTTTTTTCCTCTTCATGTGGCCCTAATCCTCTTTCGTACTTTTCCAATCTTGTGGAGCTACTAGCTTAGTTTTTGCATCTCTTCTTAATCACCATAAAATGTTAGCCTCTGAGAAAAGCTGCCGTTAAAACTGGGGAAGCAGCCTCAGAAAACTAAACAGTATTAATGACTAGTAACTGAAAAGCTAACCCTGCTCCATAGCGACCTTTTTTAAACTGTTACATCAGAGGAACAGGAAAAGTGACTTAAAACAGCACGTACAGTTTCCTTGTTAATGTTTATTTTTCAGGTTCACAGTGTTACCTGTTACGAAATAAAGCGTCTTGTTGTTTCTTCAGATTTTTTGGCCCTCAATAAGGAACATCTTCATTCCTGTGTTTCTCAACTGCTGGCTGGCCAAGTGTGCCCTGGAGAACATGATCGTGAGTCAAAGCTGTTAGCTTAATTGTTTCCGTTAATGAACTGTTTTTAATCAACATGTTAACAACTTTGTTAAGATCGGGCGCTGTGAGTCACTCCACAGTCGGTCAGTTCACAGCTGGTCTGTACCGCAACCACGTAGTTTCACTGATTTAAACAGGCCTTGACGCTCAGACTCCTGTACCGCGGCTGTAATAACACATCTTTTTCACATCTTTGTTTCTGCTCTCGCCGTGTGCTCTCTGAAGGGGTTCCCACTGGGTGCGAAATCCTGCAGCAGTTTATCACGCTGATTTCATGCTGTTTAACTGTATCCTGCAGCAAAAAGCTTTAAAGGATTGAGCCATTAAGACATCTCCGTTTGCAATAAAGGGCTAAACTAATTATGCACGTGGAGTTTTCACTTTCAGATATTAAAGTGTGCCATTGTTGTTGATACTGTTGAGTAGAACGATGTCCACAGAGCGATCCAGAGGACCAACTCGGCTATGTTCAACCAGGTCCTCATTCTTATCTGCACCCTGCTGTGCCTGGTCTTCACAGGGTGAGGCTGCTTTCTAATAGTTTTCAATAAGCGGTGTTGAATATGTATTATTGATTCATGAGATTCTGTAACACAAAAGGATCACCAGATAGATTATAGGTCCTTATTTTGCTGTTTTCACACAATGAATGCCACCATAGAGTTTATTTGTGATGTTTGATTATGATATGTTTTATGCAGCACTTGTGGAATCCAGCACCTGGAGCGAGCAGGTAAAAACCTCTCCCTCTTTAACTCTTTCTACTTCTGCATCGTAACCTTCTCCACCGTGGGCTTCGGAGACGTCACTCCCCGCATATGGCCATCCCAGCTGCTGGTAGTCATCATGATCTGCGTGGCTCTGGTGGTGTTGCCACTGCAGGTAGGACTACATGTCAGGTGATCTTCAGTAAGCTTCTCTTTTGCCTCGTAGTTTGACTCAGATTGTCGTTTTTTCAGTTTGAGGAGCTGATCTACCTGTGGATGGAGAGACAGAAGTCTGGAGGGAATTACAGCCGCCACAGAGCACAGACAGAAAAGCATGTAGTGCTGTGTGTCAGCTCCCTAAAAATAGACCTTCTTATGGATTTTCTTAATGAATTCTACGCCCATCCCAGACTTCAGGTACCAAACACAAAAGCAGTATTTCTGCGTCTTACAGAACATGCAGATTTCAGCACAAAGTAATGGTTCGTGTGTTGCTCTTCAAAGGATAAAACCCTCATTTGGAGGCATCATCTTTTTCTGCTTACTCAAAGTGTTTTTGTGTAATCTTACAGGATTACTATGTGGTGATCCTGTGCCCGACTGAAATGGACCTCCAGGTGCGAAGAGTGCTGCAGATCCCTCTGTGGTCTCAGAGAGTCATCTATCTGCAAGGATCAGTCCTCAAAGATCAGGATCTGCTGAGAGCAAAGTAAGGGTTACACATCTGAAGCTGTGATTATACACGCTACAGGCTTGTGTAGTCCAGTACCAAACACTGACTGCATGATACATGGATGTGGTCTCTGTGACGTCAAAGTGGAGTTTTGAAGCCAATCAGAAGCAGTCATGGTGTCAAAAGAACACAGGCCAGCTTTTGGGTGATCTAATTACAACTACCAAACTCATAACCTTAATATCTTTTAAATGAATGCATCATTAAAAAAATTGTCCAACCAACTTTTTTGTAAACATATTTATTTTTGCTGTAAATATGTGCTTTTGCAGCCAGCCTCTAGTGGACATTCAAGGAACTGCATTTTTTTTTCTTTTTTGCACCTTTGCATTGGCTTTATTTCTCAAGACCTGAAGTTGCTGCTTGGGACCAACGCAGAAGCCTACATGTGCAGCGAGAATCGCACCTCATCAACTTATCTAAATTTAATTTAACTTCACTCATAGAAACAGTGCAGACATCTTGTATTTGGTTTGCTGGGTAGGGATGGGAATCGAGAACCGGTTCTTGTTGAGAACCAGTTCCAAATGGTTCAATCCATCGACATCGTTTACATTTTATCTTAATAATCCCCTTAATGATTCCTTTCTTCCGATCGTCAGCCGCTGCTGCTCCGTCCCAGCAACGGCATGGAAGGTACGCATGTCCTGTGTTGACATAAGCACAGTGCATGCCAGACTTGGACTAACTGAGTTAGACGCGCATCAATAACACTCGACTCAACCCAAAAAAACCCTCAAAATTTTGCATGGGACCGCTTAGTAATGACCTCTTTTTGGGGATCCAGAATATGGTCATCCTAATTTGACTTAATACTGACCAAATAAACGCTATAGAAATAATTTTTTACAAATACTGTTATCAGAGACCCAATACAATTTTGAGTTAATGGTGAAAACCTATTGTCTACTTTTTTTTAAATCAAAGAAAGGCATTAAAAAATGGAATCGTGAAAGAATTGAATTGATAAGCAGAATCGATAATGGCATTGATATCAATAAAATCTTGTCAATTCCCATCCCTACCGCTGGGTTGCTTTGCATTTCTGTTGTAGCTGCTATTTTCAATGCTCAGTCCTCTCCTATGTCTTCTTTCTTTACAACTATCATATGGAGCTCAACTTATGCCCAACATTAGCCAAATGTAGCCATGTAAATTAAGTAACATGTACGGACTTTGTCCACAGGGGGCGCCAAAATCAACACCAATGGAAAGCACCCTATATGAGTTCATTCTTGTTGCTGAGCTGCTAAATTCTTTAGTTGGAAATAGGGCCCGACCGATATGGATTTTTTTGGGGCTGATGCCGATACAGGTTTTTTTTTTTTGGGGGGGGGGGTCCGATTACCGATTTCAAATTTTTTTAAGGAAGTTATAAAAAAAAATATATATATATATATATATATATATATATATATATATATATATATATATATATATATATATATATATACTGTAGATATCTACAGTATACTATATGCTGTAGGCTCTTCACGGAATCGTGAAGACTCATGTCTTTACTCACTTTACTCATTTCCGGTTCGGTCTCATCTGGAGACAAACAGCTGCCTCAGTAAGAGAAGTAGCTCAATCATGTAATGTGTACTGTTGTTTATTCTACCGTTACTAGCATGGCTAACATTGTAGTAAGGCTAAGAGCAGGTGGCTAACTCTAACTTTAGCTTGCATATTACATGGTGATTCACCGTTTACTCTGTGTGACCGAGACTAGCACAGCGGGGAACATCGAAATGCGGGGAACATGAACTGAAACTTGTTGACTTATTGTGTATTTCACAAACTGGTTTATTTACCGTTGAGGCGGACCATTCTCCTCCGTGTGTCCCTGAGCTGCCTGCTTTAGATCCATCACTCTGCTGTGCCGTGAGGTAGTTGGTGGATGAAAATTGTCATGAGGTCGCTGCGCCATCTACAGGATAAGTCAGGGGACTTTCAAATTGATGGAACATTTTCGAAGTGAAACCAAATCTTATTCTTCGCATTTTATTTCTGAAAATAACGGTGAAAATCAGTGAGTTTTGGCCAATTACCGATTAGTCTCAAACGGGCTAAAATTGTCCGATTTAATCTGCTTACCAATAAATCGATTGTGCACTAGTTGGAAATCAGTGTATTCCATCGTTCAGATCCAGCTGTTCAGAGGAATTACACTGATCTGTGTGATTGCGTAAATCGCTTATCTTAAAGGTGAAACAAATCAGCAAATTTTGGCTTATTTTCATCACTAATAAGACTTCTGAGGGGATGATTAGTAGATCTTGGTGACCTTATTCATAGGGTGGTGAAATTTTTAGTTCCTCATCCTTTAAGAAAATAATCGTATGGCTTCATTGATTTTAATGATGCGCACTCTCCTGCACAGGCTGTAGAGCTGTGTCTCATATCAAACTGTCTTAAATAAATACTTACTTTTTAGACTTTTAATGAACAATGAATCTCTTCAAATCATCAATAGGATATTAATCTCCGTTGTCCTCCCGTTCCCTAAAGTCACCCCAATATTCTCTCTTTCCTCTCGTAACAAATAGGCTTGTCAGAGCTTTTGTGTCGCCTCACAGTTACACAACATTGTAATTATTCATTCAAGCCACCGTTTCTTTTGAAACCCAGCTGGTAAATGGACCCTTTTCTCCGAGGGTTTTTATTTTAAGTGTTATGAATGAGATTATGAGGCAAAATGTAACAGGGATGAAAGGACTAAGAAAATGGCTGTCAGTCTGTTTGTCAGGTTTATTGATGAAGCCTTCATCGCATGTTTGACTTAAAGTACTTCACAGGGACATACCCGAACTTGAAGGCTAAATTTGAGTTATTTTGTATACACATTTTGGATAAGGGTTAGGGTTAGTGAAGTAACGGTGTCGCTTTAATGTCTCCTCTAGGTCATTTTAGAGCGGATTCTATATTTCGGAAGTCTGTCTCATACGTCTGTTGTGTGTGCAGTCATTGCCATGGTTGCATTTCCTGCTTTTAAAGGCTTGCTTCCTACGTGGCAGTGAACACACACACATGAGGATTGTAGATATTGAACATGTTTGATATTTATGATTCCCAGCTGAGGAGGCTCTGATTGTCCCCTGTGTGGATCAGCTGGTAGAATATTCACGCCTAACACCCCTCACATCACAGAATAATCTGAGAAGATCATCACTAGAACCAAGCGACAATCTGGCCTTTCCTCTCTTTTTTAAAAAAAAGGGGAATTGGTCCCAAAGTTGCATGATTACTTTGTAGTGTGTGCCCTGCTTAAGTTAGATCAAAGGTGATCTGTGATATACGGTGGCCCTGAGGTCCAAAACACGACAGCAAATCAGAAAACAACACAAGAAGAGAAAACACAGTGGTTAATGTTGTTGTGTTTTCTGATTTGCCGTTGTGTTTCGCACCTCAGGGCCACCGTAGTGATAATTTATGTGATAATTTTAGAAAAACAGTGTCATTTCTGTCGTTAGATTATTATGCTAGATAGAAGCTGCCACCTTTGTTTCGGTCTATCAATGAATCTGTGGTTGTATTTGTGATCAGCTGACCAGTTGAGGCCCAATCAGAAGCAAGGCTTTGTCCCAGCAGAGCAGTGGATGGATAGATTAGATCAGGGCATGATTAGCAGGATTGATAATGGCATTAGTATCAACCTACTGACAAAGTTATAAAGTGTTGATTTGCAATATTTCTCTTTTTTTTGGTTCGATTTGTTTTAAGAGTTGCACCTTTTTTTTTCTAAAGGCAGCACTTGTTTCAGCTTTTTAAACCACGTTTTCTTCTGCAGTGTCTATGCTGGAGTATTTTTTTTTTTTTTTCGTTTTTTTTTTTTTTTTACTTTTGCATGAGATTTTGAATTTGCAGCATTTGAATCAATAACAGTTGTGTTGTGAAGCCTCATCATAGGATAAGAAAAACTGTAAATCAAACAGCAAAGTCTAACTTACATGAAATCACTTATATAACTCGACTGTAAACATTTGGCAGGTTTGTGATGGAGCCATCAGAATTAGAGGACTGGGTGTGTGTGTGTGTCGAGCTTACATCCTGCATCTGGCACCATATCAAGTCCACCCACGCTTGTTTTGCATCCTGCACTCTCCTGGCTGTGTTAATCATATGCAGAATTGCTTCCACACTCACGGCACATATACAGGACAGTGCATTTCAAGTTAACTGTGTGTTTGTCTGAGAGCACGCAGGACTGTTTTAAATACTGAATGAAATTACGGATCTCTGAACTCCTCTTAAAGGTCTTCTTTTGATCGGCAGATTCTTATTTAGCTCAGTTTGAATTCTTTTCATTTGAAAGTTTCTTATGTTTTTAATTTGATAAGACTTAGTCTTGATATTTGTTACCTTATTTCACTGCTGCAGGATGGATGATGCTGAAGCTTGTTTTATTCTGAGCAGTCGTAATGAAGTGGATCGTATGGCTGCGGTAGGAACATCAGCAGCTTTTGTTTTTGAACTCTTAACTGTGATGAGTTTTCATTTTGTTGTTTACCCAAACATAAGTCATTAATGCTGTCAGTTATAAACAATCAGTCATTAATTAAAGGGGATTAATTTGGAAATGAAAAAGTATAAATATGTTGTTTTTAAATGTTTCCCCTCAGGACCACCAAACCATCCTGAGGGCCTGGGCAGTGAAGGATTTTGCTCCAAATTGTCCACTTTATGTCCAGATACTCAAACCTGAAAATAAGTTCCATGTAAAATTTGCAGGTGAGAGTTTTGACCTATCATTAAAATGTGTATCTACTCCCAAGATAAGGTTAGAAAACTCTGATATCTGTGCAGAAACACTACTGAGGCGAGCTGCCATAGATGGAGTATGGATTACATTAACCAACCCTAGAATAATCATCTCTGTCTCTGAAATTACATTCAGCTCTTCATCAGAGTTTAACTGCATCCTTGAGCTTCTTGCAAGGCCACTGTTACTGTAATCTTGTTTTAGGTTAGACTGCCAAAGTTAGTGGAGAATTGTGAAGCTAAAGAGTCTGGCATCTACCTTAGAGGTCTGTGAAACTAAAACAGACTTTAAAGGAGGAGTGAATACCAAAATTAGATTCTCCATGTTGGTGGAAACATGGCTCTAAAGGAAGCTTGAGCTGTTTTGTATATGATGCACATGTGAACATCAGAGGTGACATTGAGTTAGCAAAGAAATCCCACACGCATGTGGGTGTACAAGTTTGATGATTTAAATTGTCTCTAAAGAAATTTTGGGGTGAAATTCAGTAAACACATTCTTGGGGTTCCCAGTGGCTGTAAAGTGTTAAGAGCTGATACTAGATATAACATTTGTGAATAGTAAAATAAAATTCTCTGTGGCTGCTGAAATATTTGGCAGTAAAGAAAAGCCCTGAGAAGCCTGGTCTTAAATTTTTGTCCTTCAAAAATGTCCCTACTGATGAACTGACATCTTTTACTGTAAAAATTTCAGCAGATTATTATTTTTGCTGATTATTCGTGTGACAAATATGGCACTCCTTTTCACAAACCAAAAGCAGAAATAAGAACAAAAAGAAAATGAAAACATGCAAGTTAAAAAAAAACTGCCTTTAGACTAGAAAAGTATGCAAAGATAAACATTATTGGGAGGCTTGTAAGATGTGCCAAAAAGATTGTGAACTACACCTACACCACACCTATGTCAACTTCTGTTTGCTCTGCTGTGGAGCAAAATGACAAATTTCTCCCTTTTGGGTTTCAAAAGGTGTAGAACTGCTGCACACTGACCAAATGTCAGATTTATACAGAGGTGTTGCAAATAAATATAGTTCATATTGTCTATATTGCAGCTGTCATTGTCACCTGGGCCACCTTAGTGAAAAAGTCTAGACACACCCTTGCTGTCCAGTCATTTTTGTTCAGTAAGATAAGATACCAAACAGCTGTTCAAAAAAATTGATGGACAAAAGTGTCCCTAAGGAGCCCAATCTCTTAATATTTCTTGCACAAAAAGTTGCTTTTGGCTCCCAGTGACTGTAAAAATCTGGTGGCTTAAAGCTTGCCCAGTGTGTTACCCAGTGTGTTGCAGACAATGGTGTTGCTGAGGTGTCAAGAGGCTTTTAAAGGTTTGGCTGACAAACCCTAAAATCTGGCTTTAGCCATCTGTTGCATTTGTTCCAGAGGAAAAAAGCAAATTCAGTCCTAAGTTTATCCTGATAGTGCAGCTCTGAGACTTGGAATCAGGCTCAGATTTTTCAATAGATTTATATCCTCATCTACATCTCTGCACATTAAGTGTATTTAAAAAAAAATTGACTCTTTTATTTCACTATACTCGCCTCTAATGTCTATCAGTAGTACTTTAACTTCAGCAGTTCTTCTCATCGTGTTATTTTCTCCTCTTCAGATCATGTCGTGTGTGAGGAGGAGTTCAAATATGCCATGCTGGCTCTCAACTGTGTGTGTCCAGCCACCTCCACCCTGGTCACTCTCCTCGTGCACACCTCACGTGGACGGTCAGTCTTTGAATCTTCGGCTTATTGTGTTCTTCTTTGTGTGGTTCAAAGTTCAAACTCTTGATTTTTACTTTTTTATACATTTTTTCTAAAGAACTGGTTCACAAAGATTGCCAAAGCCAGGGCAGAAAGTCTCTGCTTTTTGTTGGAAACTGCAGGGAGTAAAAGAGAGTGCATTAAACTTACAAAATAGGAATTTGGGTCTGTGTTCTCTGTAAAACAGTGTGAAAAGCTCTGTGGAGGGAAATGATTTCTCACAGCATGGTGAGTGTCACTTTTAGAAGCCGATGTCAATGGCTCTGGGAAACCACATTAAGAAGCAATCAATAGGTTTTACCACTTACTGTGTTCTAGACAACACTCAAGAGGGTGAAACTTTAAGATCCTTTATGTGACGGGGTCGTACACGCTTTGAGAATTTACATGCTAGCTGAATCCCATAAAACCAGAGCACTTAAGAAATCACTAAAATAGGCAAATGACAGACAAATCTGTTAGTTTCCATCAGAGAGCCCAGGAGACCCAGTGAGACCTTGAGGATCTGGAAGGGTTGGGTAGGAACAGATGTAGACGTTTCACATGTCGATAAGGGTCGTTTCTGAACAACTATTTCTGAAAATTAATGTTTTGCTGCCCAGAGAGTTTTTCAGCTACCTGGACGTGATTGCATGTCCAAAATTTGGTTTATTGATGTGTCAGAATTGATTGTATTTTCCCTGAATGATTGCAGAGAAGGACAACAGTCCCCTGAGCAGTGGCAGAGGCAGTACGGATGTTGCTCCGGCAACGAGGTCTACCACATCCGAGTGTGTGACAGCAAGTTCTTTGGAGAGTATAATGGCAAAAGCTTCACGTACGCCTCCTTTCATGCTCACAAGAAGTGAGTTGACATGTAAGCTAAAGCATCTCTTTCAGATGCTGACAAGTTGAAAATTAATAAAACTTTGGCAGGGGTTATAATGCATTTCCCTTTCCTTTATTTTCATGTATTCATACTAAAAAAAAAAAAAAGCCTGATTTGTGGCATTTTATGGAGAAATATCTTAAACTTCTTGGCGTACCACTTTGAATTCTTTTAAGATTAGAGGCCTAAAACAAATAAATTTATGAGTTTTAGATACACTGGCAGGAGGTAGACTGTCACTGTATGGAAAGCCAAATGTGCCATAATTTTGGGTCATTCCCAGCTGTCTTGCTCGTTGAAATTTTTAGGCTAATCTGATGACAAGTGGAGCAGTGGTAGAGGAGGCACGTGTTCAACCCAGTATGGCTGCCTTTTTTGCGGCTGGCCCCTTGCTAGAGGCTCGTAAAAAAGCCATCACTGATAGGATTGCAAAATTTCGAGTGTTATCTGAACATTTGCACTTAATGTTCAATATTCGTTCAAATTTCATTTTTTGAAAAACTAACAGCTCTAGCACTCGTAAAGCAGGCTGGATAAAGGAAAAGAGGACTGGTCTGGAACACTTTTTTTCTGGTAACACTTTACAATAACCATGATTTATAAATGGTAAATAGATAGTTTGTTAATGTTTAATCATCATTAAAAAACAGCATATAGACCAGTTATAAATGGCAATGTTTATTAATGTAAGTTAACAGTTACTTAACTATTAACAAGCAATGAAATTATGATTAATAATTTTCATTAATTATTAATGGACTATTTATTAAAGGTTTTCTATAGGGTTTAAATATTGGTTGTAAAACATCTAGATTAAAATGCGTGTCAGTAGCACTTTGTAAATGGTTAATATTTAGTTTTTAAACCATCTATAACAATTATTTAGATGGTTATTGTAAAGTTGCAACTGATGTTTGTAATACTTAGTAAATGATTAATAAGTGGTTTATAAACTATCTATAAACATTACTAAGATGTTATTGTACAGTTAGGGTTAGGGTCAGGTTTTTAAAATTGTAAAATTTACAATTTAATACTGGTCGATATGCTATTTATAAATGATGATTAAACATTAATAAACTGTCTGCTTACTATTTATAAATGGTCTATTTACCATTTATAAATTATGGTTATTGTAAAGTGTTACCCTTTTTCCTCCCTTTTAAGGTTTCTATCGTGCATTTAAAGAAAACTATAGTATACTAATATGAACCATGTGGGATGCTGATTTGGCTTTCACTATGAAGACTGAGCTCAACTACTGTGCAGTTAGCTAGCAGGTGAAAACAGATTGTGTTAGGAAGAGCTACATAGTCGTATTAAAACTGCACATCCAAAAGTTGTGAAATAATTGTGAGACTCATATTCTGTATATTACAGTAACTCTATAAAGAGCTAAAATGGCAAAGTTCTATGTTTAAATAATGGCAGATGATAAGAAAAATTTGTAGTTAAAATCTATAAATAGGCGCTGAATAATGACACATTTGTCTTTCCATACAAGGCTAGCAGCTTTTGCGTGAGTACTTTAAAGTTAATGAATAAAATGTCTAATAATCCTTTAAACCCTGAAGTTCTTACCTGTTTAGTCTTGTTAATCTTCAGGCTCTGCTGTCATAGGGTTCACAGTATCTCAGTTATTAGATTCTAACAGCAGATATGTATCATGCAGGTACGGCGTGTGTCTGATCGGCATAAAGAGGGAAGAAAATAAAAGCATTTTACTGAACCCCGGCCCGCGTCACATCATGGCTGCCACTGACACTTGTTACTACATCAACATCACCAAAGAGGAGAACTCTGCCTTCATCTTCAACCAGGAGGAGAGGAAGGGCCGCACCGTGGGGGGGCTCTTTGAGGGACCCTCACAGCTTCCTGTGCACAGCATCCTCGCCAGCATGGGTGAGAGAGGACAAAGAGTGATGAATACACTCTTCCTGGTGATAAATTGGGCTGCTCAAACTCTGATTTATAATGTACGAATTAGAGGTTTGTTATTTTCAATTTCAGGCACTGTGGCGATCGATCTTCAGAACACGAGTCCACCTGATTCCTCAGGTGGGAAACTGGTCCCCCCTACAGTGAATGGGACAGGGGGCCGCCGGCCAAGCATTGCTCCAGTTCAGGAGATTGCGGATTCCTCCTCCATTCTGCCATGTGACCTCCTCGGTGACCAATCAGAGGATGACTCAGTGTTTACAGATGAGAAGGGACACTCATCCACAGAGTAAGATTCTCTGTCACATGCAATTAAATTATAGATAAAATGTTGATACTTATGTATTTTTCACTTCACTTTGGTCCGTGTATTATCCGTCCATTCAATTATTCCATTCAATCTAGTAAACGAAAAAACGAGTCAATATTTTGTTTGTTTTTCTATACCAAAAAATAAAAGATTAGTGTTTGTGTCGTATTTTCAGTTCAAAACAGAATATATAATAGAGATGGAAACGAAAACAAAATAATAAATCTAATTTTAATAGTTATTGATGTCCCCATTTCCCACGGTGCCTTTCTACTGTTCGCACATGCACATTATGCAACAAAGTAGCCAACAACATTGACCAAAAACTCCAGGCCAGAGCGGTAGAGAAAGGCAACCTGCTGTCATGGAGATGGACAGCATCTCCATTCTGAAGAGGAAGACATGACTGTAGAAAAAATTACAACCAGAGCTCTGTTACAACATAAGATTTTGGCACTCGAGCTGCTCTGTCGCATCTTTCGCCATGGTAACTGCTGAGGAAGCCCAATGAAGCCTCCATGCACGTATGCCCAAAACAGGCGCACTCAAAATCAAGAATTGTAAATGAGATTGATTATTTTGTTTTTGTTTCCTTCTCTATTATATATTCTGTTTTGAACTGAAAATATGAAAACAAACACTAATCTTTTATTTATACAGAAAAACAAATAAACAAAACTTTGACTTGTTTTTTTGTTTTTCATTTACTAGATTGAATGGACTAATTGAATGGATGGATAATACATGAACCCACTTAAATATTAGTGAAGCCAGTGTTTATTTCAGTCTAATTATAGTGGATGATTTAGTCATAATCCTTTTTTTGTCGATAGCTTTCATAGTTAGGTCATGGTTTGTCTCCAGAGAGTAAAAGTCTTAGTCAACAGAACACCTTCTGTGTTTAGTCATCTTGGCTGAAACAGGTTTTAGCAACAGAAACTATCTACTCACGTCACGAAACCACATTTATCCAATTATGTTTCGCTTTGTTAACTCTGAATGGAGCAAGGCGTGCTAATTGCTAACAGGTGTAAAGACAAGTCATGCTGCCCTGTGGAAAAATGCTGCCACAGCTTTAATTGATAGCAGTGCTGTCTTTATATATGGAGATTTAACATTTATTATTGATGGGCACAGCTGTTTTTTTAGATGTACTGAATCACTAGAATCAGTTCACTAAAAAGATTTGTTCAAAAGATTTGTTCACCAAATCACTGAATCATTTTGCGGAGAAGAATACGACTCCGACCTCCTGAACTGATACACAGCTGAACGTTTCAGGATTCAGTTCAATTCATAGCTTCTGGGACCAGGAGACGAGAGTGTTTGGCTGTGTTGCTTTGACAAATAGGTTTGTAAAAATGAACTTGTTTATAAGTCACAGTGTTTTAAGTGTACTGTACTAAGGTATGCTATTTATGAGGTCTGCTCGGTAAATTGGGGTCATTGAGTGATTTGTTCACTAAATGTTTAGAGGAATTCACACTGAACATGCACCGTTCCCTCACAAACCACTGCAATGATAGGATGCTGAGAGTTTAATGCACTACTTGTTACATGCTGTGTCCTATTGCATGTATTGCAAAAATGATTCCAGAGAGTGTAGTTCAATATGTGATTTGTTCACCAAGTGATTCAGGCGTCGGTGTATGTGGTCCCTCGTTCGCCGGCTGCTCGACTGGCAATTCTGTTTCTCACTTCAGCTCAACTTAAGTGAGAAATGAACGAATCACTCGAGGAAGTGATTCAGTTCAGTACGTTCATGTAAAAGATTTGGTTCTTTTGAACGAATCGCTCGCCAACACTAACATTTATATATGTCATCGAAACATCACGCATCACTTTTATTTACTTGTGCAGACCCTAAAGTTTGCTTTGTCTTTAGGTGCCTTTGTATTTTTGTCCATGCTGCCTTCATTGGGAACAATACACTCAGTTTATATTCAGTATTATGTAACAGAAATGTATCCACAGCTTGTCTCCTTCCCACTTTACAGGCTCTGCTGTAAACTTTTACTGAGATATCCTTTTTCTTTTTTTTGATACGCCAGCAGTGAGCAGTGTTGGGCTGGCTAGTTTTGGCGTCTTACCATAACTAAAAAAATCCACTGTTAAAGACAACAGGTTGCGATTTTGTCTGGAAAGACTTCTTTCACATGTGCAGGACAAGAGATGAGAAGTAGCACCGTCCACATAAGGCACCAGAACCAAAACAAACCAGAAGTTCCTCTCAGCAGCTTTAATGTAACATATACACTCATTTTAAATTTGATGCCTGCAACATGTTTAAAAAAGTCGAGACGAGGACAACACAGAAAAAAATAACGTAAAATTTGGGAAAACTTCTTTTAATACCGGTTTTCTTGCATGTTATGTTGGTTGAATTGCACCAAGTGAATGCTTCGTTCATATGTCAAGGTGGATTTTATTTCTAGGTTACTATGCATGGATGACTCACTTCTAGCCAACATTAATCACTCTGTGAATTTTGCATTTCTTCTTTTTTCTTTCCAAATGATTTCAACAGCTTTAGGTTTTTGTTTTTTTTCTTGTCTTGTCTCGAGAAGAAAACCTGACAAATCCTTGGAACACAGTATGATTCCATGAGATGTGTCACTCATGCCTTTTGGATTTGTTGGCAGGTACGTGAAAGGTTACCCCCCCAACTCTCCGTACATTGGGAGCTCGCCCACCCTGTGCCATCTGTTGGCTGAAAAAGCCCCGTTTTGCTGCCTACGACTGGACCAGGTGGGCAGTCGCTGTTCCTCCAACTTAGTCACTCAACTATTTACTGCCTCCCCCTTCCCTCTCCTTCCCTCCTCTCTCTTGTCCTTCACTTCCTTAAAAGCAAACACAAAATACCTGTCTCCTTTTTTTTCCTCCTTTGCAGGGATGCAGGCACAACAGTTTCGAGGATGCTAAGGCTTATGGTTTTAAAAACAAGCTCATCATTGTGTCGGCTGAGACTGCAGGGAACGGTCTTTATAACTTTATTGTGCCTCTAAGAGCTTATTACAGACCTCGGAAAGAACTCAACCCCATTGTTTTGCTGCTGGATAACCCGTGAGTTCACCTGAGCACACACTCAACACTTCTTTCTCCTCCCTTCACCTTTCAGTCTTTCTCAGCTCCACACTAGGAAACATGATGTATGCTAAAAGCTCACGTCAGCCGAGCACTTAGGACAAGGCTGCGGAGGTGGAACTCCATTGTCGCTCCTGATGTGAGGTTATTGCTCATGGTGACGGTGTGTTTTGAGCGACAAAGAAAATAAAAGAGCTGCACTTCGTAGCTCCAGACAGTAACCATAGCAACTTCCTTTGCCTTGAACCTGAATGATATATGTTGCTACGAGGGGAGAAGAAGATGAAGAAAATGATTTCTTTGCTGAAAAACCAAAGGAGCGTTTATTGACAACCCTGGTGTGTCCCTCCTCTGCCCCCACATGTGAGCGCTCAGGACTCCCATAGAAACGCGCTCAAAACAATAAACTCTTCCTCTCTCTCTCTCTCTCGCCCCGTGCTGCTCTCGCTCTCCCTCTGCTTTCCTATCACTGCTGCACACACACACACACACACACACACACACACACACACACACACACACACACACACACACACACACACACACACACACACACAGAAATACAAACAGCCCACACACTTGGATACGCAATTCAAGCACTTACGACAGCCTTGGGTCTCTAGTCAGCAGGACTGGGCAGATGCATAAAGTAATGTTCAGTTGGGAGGGTGGGGGGGGGATTGGAGGACGACAGCAATAAAGCGACTGAATGTCTCTGAGTGCGTTCAGCACCAGATGGACTCGTGCTTCATGCTTCAGACACACCAAGCAACAACTACGGTGCATTTACCGTACATCACAAATGAGGCGTGTTTCAGCATTGGCTCAAAGAAATTGTTTACCTTATTGAAGGACCATAAAGAGATTTGATTTTTGAGGCTGATACTGCCTGTAAATCTTGAGGGAAAAGTCCTATGATAGCTGTTATGGTAGCCGATACAGTGAGGTGGATGTAAATGGACATTTTATCAGGGATTGTGCAAAGGTCTTAACGATAAGTCTGTGCAGCTGTACTCAGCAGGCTGCACTAGGATGCATGATGTTGTTTGAGTTATATCAGTACTCTAAATACCTATAAGTACCCACTTGTACCAGCAGACATGAAAACATCAGCTGATATGCTGATCCTGACAATGTGATGGGATAATCAGACACACATGATGACAGCTGACATGTCACCGAGCTTCAGCGTGTCAGCTTTATGTGAATACAGTATTTTACTGTTTTTAGAACATGCAGCTAAACAGTTATTTACAATTCCCCCTCAAGAACTGACATCCTGGTGCCTGTAATTCTTATGTTTACTTTTATGAGTTTGAGTTGATATTGTTTATACCCATGTCCTCACCTGTTCTGGGACAGGGACAGTAGTTTGGTTAAATTGTCTAATAGTGTTAGACCCGTCGCTCAGGTTGACTGTGTATGTAAACGCACTGAGTCAGTGACATTTTTTACTGATAGAAAAATAAAATAACGCTGCTCCTGCATGAACAAGACAAGGTCGACAAAGATTAAAAATATACTGCTTTGTCCACAGACCCAACACAAACTGAAAATTCCTCACAGGAGCTTTAAATGGCCTGAATTTTCAAGGTGTCAGTATCTGGTTAACCCCCAAGACAGCCAATTTTTATCATTAGTTTAAAGGTTGTCAATGTCCTCCAGGGATTATTTTCTTGTTAATCCGGAAAGTCAGTTTCCTGCCATACATTTTGAAAAGTACTCCTAGAAACTCGTACGCTGACACTTTTTATAAATGATATCTCAATAGATATATCTGTCAGGCTCTGCTAAATAGTGAAAAGAAAGAGAAAAGGCTTTTTTAAATTTAATGTCATCTTGACGAGTCTTTTTTAAACTCTTATTCTAAGCTTGTCTGAGTAAGTGAATAAGTTTGATATCTGTTGATAACTTTTGAAAAATAAAAATTAGAAAAAAAAATTAAACAAATGTTCTCCTTTTTTATGCCATATGTTTCCCACAGGCCAGATAATCACTTTTTAGAGGCCATCTGCTGTTTTCCCATGGTTTACTACATGGCAGGTGCCATAGACAAGTAAGACCTCCTTTTTTTCCTCCTTATCTTATAACATGTTACTTTGGCTCTCTTATTCAAATACACTTGTAGAGAAGTTTTTGCTTCTCTTTAGATGTAAATGGATGTTCAGCGTGTTCCAGAGAAGTTGTATTCTGTTGTTTTTTGCTCATCATGTGTCTTTGTGTGTGTGTATTTCAGCCTGGACAGCCTGCTGCAGTGTGGCATTATCTACGCTGATAATTTGGTTGTTGTGGATAAAGAGAGTACAATGAGTGCTGAGGAGGACTACATGGCTGATGCCAAAACTATTGTGAACGTACAGACAATGTTCAGGTAATTATTCCTAATGACCGTTAATTATTCAGGACTTGCTTTTTAGACTTTGACATCTTTTATCCTCAAGTCCGTTTATTCGTCTGAGGGTGCGATTAAAATCACGTGTCAGATGCTGGATTGAAAAGTCACAACAGTAACGGTCGGATTTCATCTCATCCTCTGACTTTTTCCTTTTTTAATCACGCTGTTTTTCTCTCTGGTTAAAGGTTGTTTCCCAGTCTCAGTATCATCACAGAGCTTACTCATCCATCCAACATGAGGTTCATGCAGTTCAGAGCGAAGGACTGCTATTCACTGGCCCTCTCCAAGCTGGAGAAGGTAAGACATAACAAGAGGGCTTACAGGGAAGTGAATCATGTGCAGGAGTTGTAAACAGATGATTTTTTTTCCGTTAGTTTTTACATGCAATCACCCTGTCCGCCATTTCAATCTGTTTTCTGCAATCTCAGGAAAAGTGACAGACCTTTAAAAGCTGCTAACCCTCCTCTCCCCCACAGAAGGAGCGCGATAAAGGCTCCAACTTGGCTTTCATGTTTCGCCTACCTTTCGCAGCAGGCAGAGTGTTCAGCATTAGCATGCTGGACACCCTGCTGTATCAGGTTGGTACACACCTACAGTTAAAAACCTCAAATGACTCTTTTAAATACCAGGTGAAAGAAATGAATTTGTCATACAGCAGCAGCAGAGAAACAGAAACACCTGAAGAAACCGAACGACAACACAAACGTAGAGCTAAAGTGCCCTCTTGTGTTCAGGGAGTTATCAGACACTTCATCTTCTTTATTTCCTGTTTTCCTCAGTCTCTCTGTTTTTTTTAATCTGTAAGAGAAGCTGTAACAGTTTCTGTGGTTCCATGTCAGTCTTTTGTGAAGGATTACATGATCCTTATTGCAAGACTGCTGTTGGGGCTGGACACAACTCCAGGATCAGGATACCTCTGTGCTGTGAGTCATGGATAATAATGATTAAAAAAAAGAAAAACACACCAAAAGAGAAAGAAATGATCTGATATGGCTGCATGCTCAAATGTTTATTTGTTGCTGCAGATGAAAGTAACTGAAGAGGATCTGTGGATTGGCACGTACGGTCGACTCTTCCAGAAACTCTGCTCCTCCAGTGCTGAAATTCCTATCGGGATCTACCGGACAGAATCCCACATTTTCTCAACTTCTGAGGTGAGAAAATCCAAGATGATACAGCAAAATGGAAAAGTGTTAAACAAATGTTTGTATTCTCAAGTTTGAGGTCAAATTTCAACAGAACTACTGTTTATAGCTAGGGATGTCCCGATACGATATTGATATCGGATATTGGTCCGATACCAGAAAAAAAATGAATATCAGATTATATCGGCCTGCATCTAAAATCTCCGATATCAGCACTCCATTACAAGCAGTCCAGTCCAGGTTTCGCTCGGGCATCTCTATCTAGCAGCGCATGGATCTAGCATGCAGAGCCATAGACTGTATATAGAATGGACAGCGTCTGCCTCCTTGCTGGGTGAAGCCACTCTGAGAACAGCACCCTCTGTTGACGGGCTGCAGTATAGGTCACAAATCCCGCCTCCGCCAGCAAAGCTTATGGGACTGTGGCAGTATTTGTTGTTTAAGTCTAAAAAAGATGTTGCAGATGAGTGCAAAACTTGTCATGCACAATTTTGTGCCAATACCGGATCAATATTGGTATTGGCCAATATTGAAGGCTACAATATTGGTATCGTGTGGGATGTAAGACAGTTGTAGCGGGACACACCAATTTATGACAGAAATATGAGCCTACAGCATTGCTAGCTGCTTTGCTTACCTGAGGTGAATGCTTGGGATGTGCTCGAGAAATCAATTTAGTAATTAAACTTTGACATACTCACTTCTCAGCGCTAGAATTACAGTGTCAAAAAATCCTTGATAATTTCCTCCCTGAGATTACCTGCTTTAATCTGAGTTATTGCTGTGAACCTCCTGTCCCCCTTCGCCAGTCGCAGGTTTCCGTCAGCGTTGATGACTGCGAGGACACCAAGGAGAGTCGGGATGAGTCTCGCAGCAATGACCAAACCGATCACCCTCTGCTGAGGAAGAAGAGCATGCAGTGGGCTCGGCGCCTGAGTAAGAAAAGCGTGAGGTGGCAGGGAGTGAGCCGGGACTCCAGCAGGGACCACGCCCAGCGAATCGCTCAACAACGCCTCAACCTGTACCGACGCTCCGAGAGGGAGGAGCTGTCTGAGCTGGTCCGAAACCGGATGCGGCATTTGGGACTACCCACCTCTGGATATGGTGAGGGTGGGCTTTCCTGAGACAGCCCACTGTTGATGGATTTCTTTTTTAAAGTAACAGTCTGTTTTTGCCTAAAAATAATCTGTTTCTCTTCGTAGAAGACCTCACTAATCTGACAGCCTGTGATGTGATGAATCGAGTCAACCTGGGATACCTCCAGGGTGAGTGAGCGTTCAGGTCAGGTTTCTAAAATGAGATAATGAAAGTTGTGGGTGATTATTGATTTATTTGATCTTTGTGTTCTAGATGAGCAGAATGATCACCAAAACACGCTGTCCTACGTCTTGATTAACCCCGCTCCTGACACCAGACTAGAGCTCAATGACATTGTGTAAGAAGAACTACTTTCTATCAAATAATCACAAACATGCCTTTGTAGTCTTTCCTAGAACTTTGGTTCTACAGACTTCACAAGGGGATCTACTGGTCTGCTTTGAGTCCACATATTACCGACTGTGATACGTGAGCTACTGGTCATGATGATACTGTTCCAATTAAATACCAGTATTAGAGGAATATTCTGGCATAAAATTAATTTAGGGTCAAACACACCGAGTCAGACATCCTCTCGAGAGATGAATGTTGCTGACCGCTTGCTTCTCTAGTTGTACCAACTTTAGTAACGACCGCACCATAGCAATACACAGCGGTCTGAGGAGCCATAAACAAGCCTTAACCAAAAAGCCACTCTATAGCCACAAATAATGCTCAGAACAGCACCTAACTTCATCAACAGTACATATAGGGTCCTAGCCATAGTACTAGCCACCAAACATCTTTTTAACTTTGCCTGATTTCTTTAGAAAAGAGATTAAACACAACTCACCTACTCTCTTCCAGCAGCCATTTGTTTGTACAGAGACCTTGGGCGAGTCCATTACCGACTGCTGTGGGGTGCCACAGCTCAAGGAAGAACATTTATGATCATTTATTCATGGAAATGCAATCAGACAGAGACGCTAACGCAGAAGAACTACCGCGTCTGTAGTGCAAAATGATTAATATGGTGATTATTATTTCAAGGAAATGATAAAGAAATGATCATAAATGTTCTTCCTTGAGATGCGTCCCACCGCTGTAGTCCGTAATGGACTGGCCCAAGGTCTTCCAACAAACAAGCAGCTGCTGGAGGAGAGTGGGTAAGTTGTGTTTAGTTTCTTTGCTAAAGAAATCAGGCAAAGTTAAAAAGATGTTTGGTGGCTACTGCTGTGGCTGGGACCCTGTATGTACTGTTGATGAAGTTAGGTGCTGTTCTGAGCATTATCTGTTCCTATAGAGTGGCTTTTTGGTTGAGCGCGTGGCTCTCTGTATTGCTATCAGCGGTCGTCACAAAAGTTGGTATAACTAGAGAAGCAAGCGGTCGGCAACATTCATCTCTCGAGGGGGTTTCTAACTCTTTGTTACAGTGTGTTTGACCCTAAATTAATTTTATGCCAGAATATTCCTTTAAATTGATAATGTGAGGATGAGACTGGAAATTATGTTTGGTAACATCAAGCTTGTATCAACTGTACCACAGTGCCAAGTGCTCAAGCAGATGCCAGAGTTCCTTGTTTTCATAGAGATTTTTCTGTCATTTCTGCCCATTTAATGAGAAACTACCTGGTGAACCGGCATGCAAGCTAGGCTACAGTTTTCTACAGACAGGGGCAGAGTCCAATGCATAATTTGGGAACTAATTTTGGGAATGACCCAAGCTCTCATCATGGTTCAAGTGTTCACTCTGCTGAGAAGTTCTGCAGCACTTTCCCATCAGAAAGCCCATTTGTTTGGCCAAATGTTAAGTAAGCACACATAACCTCTACTGTTCTTTCACCACCATGCCAGAAAAGTTTTCTTCAGGAAACACTTAACAGTCTCGGCTCAGTGCATCTTTGAGAGTGAATATTATGTTTACTAGTGGGTGGCTATGACTGGTGGATCTGTATGGAAAAAAAGGTTAAAATTTGGTGCCTCAACACCATAAAAACACTTAAGACTTGTTTACACAAGAGAACAGACCCTTGCTGTTTTGTAGCGACTTGATTTTAACACAACAGCTTGGCTAGTGATGCCCCTGCTAGTATCCATGGCGATAGCTGTTTCCTGTTGGTGAAGAGTGGTGAGCGCACCCCTCGGGTTGCTTGTTGATTTCTCCTCTTAAGCACAAAGTGATTTTCGTTGCTTACAATCTGAGCTCGGCAAAGACAATTTAGTGAGTTCAGCTCTATTTTAATAAAAGAGTGAAAATGCTGAGCTCAGATTAGGCAGCTCCTCACAGCTCATTATGATCTTCATCTACCCCCCTCGCTCTTTCTCTCTTCTTTAGATACTTGATTCGTCCGGACCCTCTGGCTCACGTCCCAGAGGTGCCTCCGGTCCACAGCAGTAGCCTGAAAGAAAGACACGAGTCCAGCGTCGACTTCAGAGAGGACACTCAGCTCTGATACTGTCCTGACCTTCTCTGGTACTCTGCGTCATAATCATCCCCTTCAGCTGTCACGGGGTCTGGTTGGATCCCACAGGTCCAGACTGAAAGAAGACGATTTTTGCACCAATTGTTCCAGCACGGCGGTCCACAGCTGTATTTATATGAGTGCCTACTGCTTGGCAGATGACATTTGACATCATCTGTGACATTTTGTCCTTCTGCCACAGAATGTACTGTATTTAAGAAAAGTTTATTCACATCTGTGTAAGCTTTCTCAGATAAAGTTGTCAACAAACGACTTCAGATAAAAATATGACGCGTCGCACTTTGGTAAAAGGAAACCTGAAATTCAACATTTGATTGTATATTCTGTCCTGCTCCTTTGAGTGGTGAATCCCTCAGGAAAAGAAAAAGTTGAATATTAGGATTACATGTTTGCAAAGGACATGGGCCTGGGATTTATACATCTTTTTAACAGTAAAACACAGATACCCAGAGCTCATATTTCCCTTTTAAATAACCTTCAGCACTACGTGACTTACATAAAAGATGTGTGTTAAGGCTTTACTCTAAAGTTTTTAATTTTTTTGTAGCTGAAGTGTAGAAGTAGTATCCAGCAGTGCAGAGATATAACTAGTGATGGTAACCTGTATGTTTGCTACATTACATCTATTTATTTGGATGAGGTTTTGTGCAATAGCCTAGATCAGCCCTTTAAAGGGGCAATGCCATGTATATTTACTTGTGCCATAAGGATTTATTTGAATCAATTTTACGATACTAGCGGTAAGAAAATCTCTTTTTACTTTCAGCAGCTGCTCAGTGAAAGAATTTACATGTTGATTATCATGTGGCAGTTTGATTAAGGTAGGTATTTATAAAATACTAGATCTTATACAGAGGAACTTTGACTTTGTCTCTATATCTTATATATTTAAATGTTGGAAATATTTGTACTTGGCTCAGTCTAATTTGCACATTAAAATGCTGTGTTATGAAAACTGCCTGCTGCGTGACCATTTTAGCCCTCTAACACCACTTTTAGTAGGGATGTCCCAATATGATATTGATATCTGATATCGACCCTATATTAGCAAAAAACAACACAAGACAAACAAACAAAAAAAATTGGATTAAATTCCGATATCAGCAGTGCATTCCAGACTCCACTCCAGCACCTCTATCTTGCAGCGCATGGATCTAGCATGCAGAGCCCACCTGATAACAACAACAGTGTGTACTAAGGTACTAACAAAGTAGCAAGGAGTAGGAGTGATGTCGGCTGTGTGGCAGTATTTTTCGTTAAAGTCCGAAAAAAGGCGTAGCAGCCAAGTGCAAAACTTGTTATGTAAAAGTTTGTGCTATTATCGCATTAATATTGGTATCAGCCAATATTGAATGCTACAATATCAGTATCGTATCGGAAGTAAAATGTTGTATCGGACACCGTTGACTTTTAGTTTTGTTCACGACGAAAAACAGATGCCCGTTTCAGTGAACAAAGCTTATGAATTTCACATGATACAGCAACTGTAAGTGGATCATTTGACGATTTATGAGCCGTATTTGCCTCAGAAGTAGCAGGAAAGGGCAAAAGCAGAATATTAGTCCATATGAGTAATGTCACAATAGTATTGCATGAACAGGGACAGTTTACCTTTGTTTGCTAAGGGGCTGAGTCAGTCAGTACTATACCATATCTCTACTGCCCCCATGTGGCTGCAGCCATTACTGCTGAAAGAGACCCTTCCTTTGCTTTCCCTCCACATTTTCTTAAGAAAACCGTGTTTCTTGCAGGGGATTATGTGATTTTTACTAACCTGGAACAGTGACCTTCCTTTAAAAGCTACTCATATTCTGTTGTTTCTTTTCTTTTGGGAGGAAGAAATTATTCCTTTACTGTACAGTTGAATTTACGTCCAAAATAAAACGTTAGAAAAGTCCAGTGTTAAGAAAAAAGCAGACACATTTCATCAAAAACAAACCTAGTAGGGTTTATTAAATCTCTTCAAAATAAATTAACATAATGAAACACAATGAAATAAGACTCATAGCATCCCTTACAGCCTGTAACACAATAAACCTCAAAATAGTGCTTCCTTTTGGTAAACATAACTTGTACCGTAATAATGTACAAAAAATACTACTCAAAAATGTACAAAATGCAGCAAACAAATATCAAGTATTGTGCAGTTCTCCCCTCCTCAACATTACACCAGCTGCTGACAGTCATTACAGGGAAATTACTAGTGTTGGGCGCCAGAAGCTACATCAAATTCAAACATCTCATCTGCTTTAGTGAGCAGTCAATGAGCAGCAAACAGACCAGTGGCAGAGCTCAGTTCATTATACTGCAGCAACACGAGCCTGGAAAGGATCTCAGGTGGCTCGTATTTGAGGTGGAATATTATATGAAGATAATACATCAAAATGCACCACTGTACAGGCGTAGTCTGGAAAGTGCTTCCCATCTGGAGAAAATACTAGTACAATTTCCCCTGCTTTAAAAACATGATTGATCTCTCACTGTAACTGCAGCACTCAAACAAATCAAACGGCTGTGTTGCTTTGTTCCAAAGTCCTGTTTGCATGACAGATTTAAAGCATAATCAAAAGAGTAAGAGAAAACATTCAGAGCAGGATACACAAGTGGTGCATTAAGCTCTTCCCTCCCCCCCCAGCACACACATACACACACTTCTCCAAATACACGAAAATAGAAAACAAGACTGGACATTACCACTCAAAAACATCCACTCCGTACATTAAAAAAGTTTCAGCAAAGCTCCTCCTTCATCAAAGCTCTGCCCAGGGGCTTTAACTGGATAATACTGCGGGCAGGTTGTAGGCTGAGCCTCATAGCAGTGGCGTGTTGTATTTGCCAAGCGGAAACAGCTTTACGAGACATTCAGTGACTCTTCACCACTGCCTGTCTGAAGTTGCACTTGGTATCATTGATGTGCTTGCTTAATGTAAGTTGAATCAGTGCTAGTTGATATGTCCGCTCCTCCTCGCTGCTACATAACAAATAGTCCATCCTCATTTCCTCAAGTTCACACTGTGCCCATTTCACTAAGACATCATACAGAGAATAAGGAGCTTAAATGCCGTTATAATGAGTTACTATGTTAACAAAGGGAATTCATCTTGACTGCTTTCTGCTTATTTAGTCACTGAAAAAGACAGTGCATGGTGAAATCTGAAAGGACACTGATGCGTAACACAGGTTCAAACAACATATGTGATAACCTGTAAGCCTCTGTTTGTGCACAGCTAACATGAGAATGTATCAGTACTTAGCTAGTGCCGTTAAAGCTCCTGTAAGGGATTTTTAGCTGACTATGAAGTAGGTTGAAATCAATATTGGTGCCTCTTCATGAACTTAAAAAGCAAACAACACCATTAAAGAGAAGACAGATAATTTCTATATTATTATTTTCTATGTCAGGTGACGTGAATAACTGAACACTGAAAAAGGCAAAAAACAAAATACGACTATTACATAAGCTACAAAAAAACCCCAATGTTTTTATTAATAAACAAGAAGAAATCAGCAAAAAGATGAGAGGCACCACTCTGTCCACAGGGGGCGCCAAAATCAACATACACTTAAAGATCCCTACAGGAGCTTTAAAAGCACAATATTAGCGGAGGATTTTAGTAACAGTACTGCTACCTCACCAACAGTAATGAGCTGTGTCCCAACCCGGGGGCTGCACCCTTGATAGGACCCAGTTTTGAAGGACTTGATTGTTGTAGCCTATGTAGACCAGTCTTGCCAAACTGAATTGAGATGGTCTACCCTTCGGAGTGCTGAGTGCTTACATCACTACCCTGATGATGGCATCCAACAGCACTAATTGGCTAACAAGCTAAATATCTAGCATCGTCAAAGGTGTACTACTCAGCACCTTGAGGGTTCGCGATCTTAACTGTATTAGTGCAAAGAATCCTGGGATAAGTGTGGCCATGAGGGATGCACCTGATGCAGCCTTCATGGCCCAGGAAAAGGAGGACAAATTTGTTGACCACATTTGAAGGAGCTCTTGAAGCGCCGCTGTGACACAGTGGGTCTTCTCTGAGGCCTTCGCTCAGACCTAGATTGGGACACAGCTATGGTTTCTTATTCGTGAGCTAGCAGAAATGTTGTAATAGTAAGACGACCATGAAAAGCTATTGAACAGTAATATGACTGGTTGGATTCAGATGAATATTGTTGTTGTTAAGGTGTCAATGTGGGTGTACTTTCAGCTACAGCGCAGTGTGACTGTGGTCACCGCTTTAAGCTGTCATTTCAGGTTTTGATCGATAGCCAAAGCGTTCTCTTCCCAGTGTTTACACAGTTTGGCAGCCTTATTCACAGCTGACGCCATTATATTAACATTTAAGCACTCTGAATAGTTCCTAATAAATGTAGAATATATAAAAAAAACTGAAACAAAAAAGTGTCCCATGCAGAAGAAAAGCTAACAAACAAAAAAGAAAAAAAAAACGCCAGTGGGCAGCTGTTTCATCTTCAGTAATAGACTGGCATCTCCACTGATGAGCAATCTCCCTTATTCAATCAGTCCAGTGATCACACATCAATCATCTTAAATTATTGGGTCCTGCCCAACATAAATGGATAAAACAGAAACTAAATCTACCGTCGTTCTTCCTTTCCTTCAACTCCTGCGTGCGCTTCCTGGTCTCTTGACCTGCCACAGGTGATTGTGGATGGTCAGGGCGTCCACACTGACGGACACACTCTTAGCAGGGATGACAGTGAACTGCTTCCGGTCTGAGCTGTATTTGTAGAGCTTGTCGATCATCTTCCGGGTGATAGCTCGCGGTCCTGTACCCGTGAACTTGATGATCTCCTCGGTGTCTGGTGAGAATGAGTAGATGGCACGAAACTGACACCCGCCGTCTCTGAAGAGGATGATCAGATGGTTGGACTCACACTTTTCCAGCTCCTGTTTTCGGTGAAACAGAGAGGCAAATGTAAGTTTGGCAGAACACACGTGAGAAATAACTCTGCGAGGAGGAATTAATGAGAAAGACTTGAAGGGTGGTAATAAAGTATCAGTTACAAATGATTGCACTGACCTCCAGAATAGCGTTCTTCGGGGCCTCATTAACCTTTCCAGCCAGACAGCAGTGAGCGATGGCGTTGATGATGATTGGCTTGTTAGACTTGGAGCTTGGCTCTTTGAAGAGTTTAGGACCTTTACAAACACAAAACAAGACTAAAGTTCAATAAGACAAATGCACAGAGCTTGTAAATGCTTTATTGAAAGAGAAATGTATATCTCAGGGGCCTCTTGTTCTGTCTTTGTGGAGTAGTCTTCTCTTTGAGGCAGGTGATAAAATAACTTTTGATAAAAATTTAAGATATTGTTGAAAATGTCATGATTACCACTGTACTCCATTGAAGGGATTGAAGATGTTATCGAACCATTCTCCCAGTCCCTCTCCATGTTCCTGCTAGACGCTCTGCTCAACATGGGAAACGACTCCACGGAGCACACGGATCCAGCCCTAAAGGACACACCTCACAGTCAATTCAATGGGCATGAAGCGACAGAGAGGGACATCATCTTCTTTCTGACACAACACAACCCTGGAGGTCTCACCTTTGGGACTCCGCCCCTCCAGAGATGACACTGTCCCCCTCAGTCGCCAAAGAGAGTGTTGATCCTCGATGACTGGAGCTAAGATCAGCTGAAAATGACATAGACAGAAGAATCAATATCATCTACATCATTTAAAACATTAATATATCCCCATACAATCAAACTGTAATCGAACTATAACCTCAACTGCATTAGAGTTGTGATGTTTAAAACGTACAAACTCAAAGATAAAAAAAGAAAAGATTTTGATGGGTTGCAAATAGTTCAAACCTGATGTTTGACAGGGGAATATTTACCATTGTTATAAACATTTTACACAGTGTTCAATCTCTCAAGGGATCAGGGAAGTATCAAGTTAAAGGGATTTTCTGGCGTAGAATAAATTTAGGGTCAAACACACTGTAACACCGAGTTTGACACCCCGTCGAGAGATGGATGTCACCGACCGCTTGCTTCTCTAGTTATACCAACTTCAGTAACGACCGCACAATAGCAACACACAGTGGTCTGAGGAGCCATAAACAAACCTCAACCAAACCGCCAATCTATAACCACAAAAAATGTTCAGAACAGCACCTAACTTCATCAACAGTACATATAGAGTCCTAGCCATAGCACTAGCCACCAAACATGTTTTTAACTTTGCCTAATTTCTTTAGCAAAGAGACTAAACACAACTCACCTACTCTCTTCCAGCAGCTGCTTGTTTGTTGCGAGACCTTGCAGGGGTGACGCAGCTCAAGGAAGAACATTTATGATCATTTCTTTATCATTTCCTAGTAATAATCATTTTGCACTCCAGATGCAGTAGTTCTTCTGCCTGAGTGTCTCGGTCTGATTGCATTTCCATGAAGAAATGATCATAGATGTTCTTCCTTGAGCTGTGTCACCCTGCTACAGTCAAGGTCTTCCAACAAACAAGCAGCTGCTGGAAGAGAGTAGGTGAGTGTGTTTAGTCTCTTTTCTAAAGAAATAAGGCAAAGTTAAAAAGATGTTTGGTGGCTAGTACTATGGCTGGGATCCTATACCTACTGTTGATGAAGTTAGGTGCTGTTCTGAGCATTATTTGTGGCTATAGAGTGGAGTTTTGGTTGATGTTTATTTATGGCTCCTAAGACCGCTGTGTATTGCTATCATGCGATCTTTACTTAAGTTGTTATAACTAGAGAAGCAAGCGGTCGGCAACATTCATCTCTCGAGGGGGTGTCTAACTCTGTGTTACAGTGTATTTGACCCTAAATTGATTTTATGCCAGAATATCTCTTTAAAGTAAAAGTCAAATTTACTGCAAATATAGCAAACAGTTTATGACAGTTTAACAGTTCGGAAACTAGAGGGACAAATTATTCATTTGAGATTCAGAATAATTAAGTGTTAATCTCCCAAGTAGGTAAACAAGCACCCACTCCTCAGGGTTTGTATCAGTAAACTGTGTATGCTTAATTTCATATCATGCAGAGCAGGTTAGAAGGTTCACCTCCCCTGCAGCCTGCTGCTGCTGCTGAGCACTTCCCTTTGATCAACATGGACCCCTTCAGAGAATTACCTGCACAACACACATGTACACACTCAGAGGGTGGCGGTGAAGAGAACTAAACTGATTACACATACACACAAAAACACGACAACAATCAGATGGTACAACTGCATGTAGACAGGCACTCACAAATAACACAGAGCGTTGTACATAAGATGCGTTCTTACATGTGGTCGATCCTTTCGAGAGGCTGTTGGACCCTTCACGGTGCAGAGACTTAGGCCGCCCCCTGCGAGATTTAGTCCGTGGGCGGGGCTTGACCAGGCCCTGCTCCTCCATCAAGGCTTGCTGCTTCCTCCGCAGGTATTCCTGCTTTATCAGCTCTCGCCGCACCTTCTCCTCCTCCTTACGAACGCGCTCCTCTTCTGCCTTCCGCCTTAAAAAGGAAAGAGACAAAGAATCTTCGAAGCAAGTTCCTCACTGCAGATACATCCCTGTTGACCTGGTGTGAAAAACTTACTTGGCTTCATCACGTTTGAGCTCACTCTCGACTTCCTGTTGTTGTTTGCGTAGTCTGGCCTCCTCTGCTTTACGCTGCTGTTTGAGGAGGAAGGCTGCCCGACGTTTCGCCATTTCATCTTCTGCTTTCTCATCATCCTGCAACACATAACAGAATCTTTATCTAACCAGCAATTACACTTGGTTATCTTAATATTCAAGGATAAAGCCGTAATTTAACTAACATTTTTCAGTCTACAACCCCATATCTAAAAAGTTGTGACACTGAAAAGTTGACGAAAAAAGATTTTGACAGTTTGAAAATAAATCTAACCTTGTGTTTATTGGAAATATTATAGACATGAAATGAAATGTTGATGCAGAAAATGTTTTTTCAGGTTTTCAGCAAGGTTTTCTTAAATTCATAGACCAATAAGACAAAAACTAATACTTAGAAAGCTGTTTACATCAGTGAAATATTCTCCAAGAAAAAATATTTTTTCCACTTAGTAAAACCGACTTTTTCTGCAAACAAATGGAACCTTGAAAAAAAAATGTATGATGGGTTTTTAATAACCAAAGGAGGATAAACACTTCAGACCCAAAATGGATCATCAAAGTTGTTTTGTTTGTTTGTTTTGCCTCTGAGGTAAAGTTTACGCCCACACACGCACGTATGAAAAGCAGAAATCCGGCGTTTTTACCTTGAAGAAGAAGCCGAGCACATTCTTCTGCTCGCCTTCTGCTGCGCCGTCTGCAACATCTGCGCTGTCGTCCTCAAGAGGGTCCTTAAGCTCTGACAGGTCAACTTCAATCAGCTGGCCTTTGACCTTTGTATTCTCATCCCCTCCCACAGCCTCCTTCTCTGTGTTGGCAACATTATCCTCTGCTTGTTCTGGGGACGTTTCTGTAGTTGTGTTGACTTGTAGGTCCTCTGGTTGTGTTTTGTCTGGTTCAGGTCCGGTTCCTTCTGTGCTGCTGTGTTTGTAAAAGTCATCGTTGACTCTGAAGGTGGCTTTTCTCTGAATTCTGGAGCTGTCGACAGCACCGCCCTCATTCTGCTCTCCGCTTGAGTCGTCTCTAGATGGATGAGTGTTCGACTTGCTCGGGGCTCTCTTCTTGTTGTCTCTGCTCTGGTTTTGCTCCGAGGTTTTGCTGCGTTGGCTGGAGCTAAGTTTGGGAGGACGGCGCGTCGGGGTGGAGCTGCTCCCACCGATGTCTACGAAGTGAACCGCGAACGATCTCGACTCGGAGGTCGAGGAGGAGGATTGTGTCGTGCTGGGGGTTGTGCTTGCGCTTGATTCCACTTGTTCTGGAGGGGACACCACACGCTTCATCAGCATGTCCTGCTGCATAGAGAGCTGCATCATCTGCTGTTGAATCGAGCTTATGGCTTCGTTGAGGAGATCGATGGAGTGGGAGCACTCATTCAGGTCAGGTTCTGTCGCACCATCTGGAGACACAACACTCAGCCTGTTGTCTTGGTTAACTTGTCCCCCCGCTGGTTGACCTTCTTTTACCTGGAACTTCAGAGCGTCAAGGCAGGAGTCGTCTCTGCAGGACTGGGTCTTGAACCTGCTCCTGTCTGGAAGCTCTGTGGACTGGGAGTGTTTCAGGGGCAGTGGGAGAGTGTCGCTCCTTCCTCCGCCCTTTTTGACGATGTTCAAGAACGCAGCTTTCCCGAGTTTTAGCCTCTGCCGCGCTGACAGACTCTCCATCTTTTTCTTCTGATACTCGATAGCGCGTCTTTGCTCCTCCAGCTGCATGTGAAGTTGCAGCAGCTCTGAAGGCACTACTGTTGGACTCACTGCCAAACTCTTCCCCAACACAGAACTCTGCTCCTTCCCGATCCAGCCAGAGGTGCAGTCACTCTTCAGCTGCCAAGGAGGGCAGGAGGCCACCTCGGAGCCGTCTGGTGTGGTCTTCTGAGAGCTGCTGGTGCTTGAGATCCCGTCGCGAAGGCCGAGTTTGAGGAGCTTCCTCTCCGCGAAGCTTGTCATTTTGACACTGGTGCTGCCTGAAGCGCTGCAGCTGCTCGCCCAGGATATGGTGCTGAGGCAGGGGCTGGAGCGCCCGCTGTAGTCCTCCTTATCGTCCCGCTCGCTTATCTTTGAGTCCTCTCTCAGTTTCGCTGACTCACCCTCGACCTCCCCGAATCCACACAACTCTCCATCCTGTAGGTATCTGTCTTTTACTCTCTGTGCCATATCTTTGGTGAACTCCATCTGGTCTTCCTCTTCTTCATCTTCTTCAAGGTCTGCAATGTCCGAATCAGAGTCGAGCCCGCCCTCTTGTGCGGAGAAATGGTGCTCTGGCTCTCCTGACAAATGCAGATAGAAACCTTGGGGTTGCTGCGAGATGCCTACTGATCCGTCTGCGGGTGATCTGAGAGATCTAGGGGTTGATTCAAGCACAGGTATGGGTGTGAAGGTGCTTCTGCTGGACTCAGCCACTGGGCTTTTCCTCTGTGACAGTCTTGGGATGTTTGATGATACTTTCCTGGCAGCTGCTGCCCCTCTGCAGCGACCCTCACCGCTCTCCTCCTCCTTGTTCAGGCTGATGCTCTTTTCTTTGGCTGGCTTGGAGACCGCAGGCATCAGAGGCTCCAGGTAAAAGCTGTTCACCTGGTGGTCCAGCATAAAGGGACCCCCGCTGTTATTAGAACCCCTTGAGGTAGTTGTTGCGCTTGGGATTTCCAGCTCATCCTGCTCCATGTCACTCTCAACTCGGCGGCGAGAAAACACAGAAGGGTGAATCACAGAAACCAGCTCCTCCTCTTCGATTTCCTCCTCCTCGTCCTCGATGCGCATGTGACTGAGCAGGCTTTGACCGCTGAGTCTGTGATGAGATCCGGGGCCCAGGATGTGTTTGGGGGTGATGCTGGAAGCCAGACTGTCTTTGCTGATGGAGCGAGCCAGACTCATACTGTCTGGGTCCTCCTCCAGTGGGTAATGCAGGGCGTAGGGTGCTTGCTGGGATAAAGGCCTGGACAGGAACAGAGGCAGACTTACACTTATCATCACTCTGGAAAAATCAATCGGAGAAGCACTGCCGTATCTGTACATGCAGATACAATAAATTTACAAGTTCAGACTCTCACCTCTGCCTTCTCTGTGGCCAGGCCAGTATTGAGCTTTGATGATGCCCATCAGGACATGACATGGAGCTGGACCTCTTCCTCAGCTCTGTACAAAGAAAATAAACCACCCATATTTCAGAAAAGACTTATCAAACATGCATTTTTAGTTTTATTTAGTATTCTTCTTTTCGAGGATGAACTTTAGACAGAATGCACAACAAGTTTTTTTAAAAATGGGTATGTGGTGTAAACTGACTTTCATAGTTTGCAAATTACATCAAATGTTGAAACTAAAAAATGTACTGTTTTATGAAACACATACTGATTAATGTAGATTAAGCAAAAAAATAAGAAACTGTCACGTAGTCTGACAAATTAAAACATTCTTTTGGGAATCATGGACGCTACAGCCCCTTCCTCTAGAGCAGCTAAAATCTTACATCAGGGGCAGATGGGACCAAGACAGGATTTTAGCTGCTCTAAAGTAAGGAAATGCAGCATCTATTTCTCCAACATTTTTGGATTATGTTTGTACATGATTGGTTTCTTCTTCTTTGCATGGTACATTTCTAACCTGCGTTTGTGGATGGAGCAAAAACCTGTGTTTGCAGACCCTCTTTTTTGAGCCCATGCTGTGATTTCCACTACAGAGTAATGTCTGTTTTAGTAACATCTGAGCTCTTGGAGATCATGGCCATCCAGTGTTGTTTTTTTTAGCCTTGTCCCTTGTGTGTTGAGATTTCTTCAGACTCTCTGATTTTTTGAATATAATTTACTGCAGAAACTTTATGCTCAGAATTCTGAAATTGTCAAACCTTTCACTTCTGCAGTTTCTCTCATAGTGGCAGACCTCTTCCTTATCTAGACTTTCAGCCTCTCTGGAGTTGGGAGATGTTTTTATTTTAGCATACAAATTCAATGTTTATTGTCCTTGTTCCAACTTTTTTTGAAACTTTTTGCTGGCATCAATTTGAAAAAGAGCATTTTTGTTCCATAAAACATTAACATTGGTATGTTGTCTTTGCATTATTTTCAATCTAGACTTTCAATGATCTGCAAGCGTACAAAATCTGTTCCTATCAACAGTTTGCACCCTGAGTTTTTGGGAATTGGGGTTGTAAAAGTAACTGCTTTTTTAAAACAAATAAAGAAGTGAAGGACTTTGTGATGTTGCAAAGCTAAGCAGGACTGTAAAACCATTTTAGTGTCTGGTTTTGTTTTGCTAGATAATGGTTTTTAAATAAGGTTATACAAGAATGAAACAGCTCAGCTTGAAGACCCTGAGGATCGTATCAGTCCTTCTCCTCTCTTATCTCCCCTTTTCTCTTTTACATACTTCTGAGGACCTCTGTGTCTCAAAGCAGCAAAGCCTGAGTAAATTACCTAAAGTGCTGTCCTCAACCTCTTTGGGTTGTCTCTGTCTCAGGGGCAGTAACGAGCGAGATGGGCTTAATGAGTTTGGCCTCGTGCTGTAGAGGGAAAAACAGGAGTTTAGGTGTAATAAAATCACAATTCTGCTTGTGTGGCTCAAAATAATCTTGATGTCGAGAGATTTTATGATTCAAATAACTACGATAAAGAGAGACAGATAGAATAATACCTGAGATCAGGGCTCTGGGGCGTAGTTAAGACATCGGCAGAGTTCGATGATGTCAAGAAACCACGCTTGGTGGCGCTGGAGATGGGAGCATGGGGGCGGGATCCTTTAGGCTGCAGTAGCAATCTCACTGTGGAAAAAGGTTTATAGAGAAGGTTATCTATTAGAGAGGATTCTTAAATCACAGCGCACCTTCGTTTAAAGGAGGAAAACAATAAGGTGTTTTACCATCTCTGATTTCCTGCAGGTCCCTGGGCTGCACAAAGTCTGGTTTCACACACTCAAACCACCAGAAGAGCTCAGCGATGAAAACCATCACGTTAGTCTGCGACAAACAACAATCATGTATGAGGTCAGTCGAGGTTGATGAAAATGTTATTGAAGTCTGTTTATTCCGACATGGTGAGAGGGTGTGCAGTGTTTCCCGGCTCACCTTTAGTACTGGTGGAGAATACAGCATGTCCTCAGGCTTCAGATGGAAGCATTTGTTCAGGTATTCATTGGAAAACTCTTTCAGAAGCTGGATGTTGTAGACACTGTCTGTTATGGAGAGGACCTCCTTCAGACATATATCTGCACAGAAAAGACAGCAAAGGTCAAGAGTGTGTAGTAAAGGAGTTAAGTGTTCGGTTAGATTTGGCATTCTCACGGAGGTCACCAAAGAAACGCTTCAGTCTGTGGTTGAAAGCGTACAAAGGAGCTTTACAAAACGTTTTAATTGCTTAAGAAAAAAAACTCCACATTCAGCCAGGCTCTCAAACTGTTTCTGCTGGAATAGGTGAACGAATCATAAATTAAATAGAAGATAAAAAAAAGTCTAAACTTTTGAGTTCAAGTTTCTATTTCCTAGATCTAAATGCCGAACAGTGCTGCACTACAAGATGCCACCTGTCATCTGTTGCTAGTTTACATCCAGTGAGTGAGGTGTTACAGCATTTAAGGCCTACATTAACTACTCAGTTACATAATAACTCAGCTTACAGTCTCTGAGAAAGTGTCAAGCTGTATTTCATGTTTCTGAAAGTAGCAGAGAAGTGAGTTGTGGCTAGGGCTGGATGATAACCGAAAATTTATAGATACCGTAAATTACGACAATAACTGACGTCATTTTGCCCATGTCTATATATTCGGTGCCAAAAATAAAAAATAAAAGTTGGTTTTGGATGTGTGTAGGTAGGCTATGGTCTCATGTTCCTTTAAGACGCTGTCCTATGTTGGAGATGGGACTCCACTCCATCCAGTCCGTAACAAAGAGGGAAAGACAGGTGAGGAGATGGAGGACGGTTCAAAAGTTGTAGCGGCTGGAGCGGCAGCTGAAGTAGAGAAAAGTTAATGTGGGAGGGGGTGGGCAGCTTGTGGAGTAGTTTATCGTCCATTTATCGTTATCGAGGTGAACTGCTCAATATATCATAATATTGATTTGAGGCCATGTCGCCCAGCCCTAGTTGTGGCTCTTGGGAGTAGAACACTATGGTATCTTGTCCCTGTCTTCAGTGGATCTAACAATCGGAGTGTTATCGTACCTTCCAGCCTGATGAGTTCCGGACAGTAGAAGTGGATCACAGCCAGCAGAGCCGTGCCGTCACAAACATCCTTTAACAAGTCCTCCAGCAGAGGGAAGTGCTGCAGTGTGCGACCTGACAGGTGATCTCTGCGGTATCGGACCTGAACAGCAAAAGATGGATCAGGTTTTCAAAACAGTACATGGGTCTAACTTATCAGGACATGAACACAAGCTCTAAATGTCTTTGGCTCTCTTTAACACATACACTGTGGAGTAGGTATCTCTTATAACATCCTGGACTTAATGGCTTTATCTTATCAGATATCAGATGGTATCAGGGAAAGCTTTTGAAGCGCTATCTTGTGAATTTATTGGGTCTATTAACTACTTTCATTTTGGCTGTAACAGAAGTTGTAGTTTTAAGGCTTGTGCATGTGATAAATGGTAAAATAAGGGGAAAAGACAAGAGCTGAGGATGAAATGAGAGTGAAATGGTGAGCACATTACCATGTGAGAAAACTCCACAGGTTCCAGTACCCAGTGGGAGAGGGCATGCAATAAATCAGGCTGGTGGGGAAAGAAAGAAATGAGCTGATCGGCAGGGAGTTAATGAGAAAAAGTGAAGAGGAGATAAAAGCTCAAATGGAAAGTGAAAGAATAGAAAAGGGAAAAGCAAAAGAGAGGGGCCAAAGGTTTTATAAGCCGGCTGCTTCTTCCTGACTCAATCCACTCACTTGATGTTGTTTTTTTTGCTGTACATCTCATCACTCTAAATCTTGCTCCTTTCTCAGCTGTCTGATCTGACACAGATAAACCCCCACACACACACAAAAGACAGACACTCGCACAGAGGAATTGCAAGCAGTTGCACTTACAGGTACAAGCTTCCAGTACCATTTGGAGGGAGACTAGCATCCAAGAGGCAGGAAGGAGAGGGAGGAAGTTTTAGAGGACACAAAGAGGAAAAGCAGCAGACAAGTCAAGGATCAAAAACAGAGACGAGTAATCAGATCATGGAGACAGATCTGATATAAAGACAACCAGAAAAGATCGAAAAATTCTAGTTTCACAGAAATATGACACACGAGGAAAAGACCAGAAACATTTTCGTATTGTTAAGGGTTTAACAGCAGGGGTTATGGGGGTGTTGAGTATTTATTTGATCAAATGTAGAAACAGAGGCATGACATGACATAATGAAGTCCAGTAATTTTTGGTTCAGCTTGGCTTCCACTCCCTCAGGATATCATCATGTCGGTCTGCATGGCTAATAAACATCCATCAATCCAGTCAGGAATAACAGTAAACACTGCTCTCTACAAACCACAGAGTGTAATGTAGAATCCATCTCTCATTACTGTGGCATCTTGTTTCCTTTTTATGCAGTGGATGCACTGTCGTATCTGCCTGTTCAACCCAAACTATGCAGGGTTTTGCCTTTAAAACTGAGAGTGAAAGCCTGATGTCAAGAAAATTTGAGCTTGACTTGAGCTTGAACAACTGAACAACTTTTCCCACCTGAAAATCCTGAGACTCCAGCCGTACATTTAAGGGTGTAAAACTCTAAACTAGAGGTCAACACTAACAAAGGAAACACTATTAAACAGAGAGGACGTGCTCACTCTTGGAGACAGTGAGTCAAACAACATAAGCACAGTGTGTTACCTTCTGATGACTGGGTGAATCTAGCAGATGTTGCTTCATTTTCAACTCTTTCTCCACTATCTCTCTCATCTTTATGTTCACCTGCGGAGACCAAAATATCATGAGTCGACACAGAACACACACACATCCAGATGATATGAGCACAAATCATCTCTTTACCCTGTTGATCCAAAAGATCATCGCATCTTCCAGGTCAAAAGGCAGCTCCTTGGAGGCACTGAATTTGGAAAAACGCTTGACACTGGACACCACCTTCTCTATGCTGATCATCTCAGCTGTGTAAGCCATCATCAGGGCGTCGATAAGGTGGATGTGTGAGCTCTGGAACAGAAACAGGTGTAAAAACCATAAATTACAAATCAATCTTATTTCTGTATTTGGAAGATGGACCCTTTTTGGGGGCTTAAAATCTCTGTCCAGCATTATTTATAGCCGCATTTGTGCTTCTCCTTTGACAGTGGAGACCAGGCTGATTTTACAACCATCAAAGATGCTCCATCACTGAGTTGCCATGGAAACAAGGTAGATCTATCCTGACTGAAACATTCAAACTCCTACCAGCAAAGTCCTCATAAGTCATAATGTGAGACAGTCACTCTGTATTCCTTCGTGACTCACATGTTGTTTTTCAATTTGTACAAAAAGGCCACTGGTGCTGATTAGCAGAGTTTCCTGGAAGCCCGGCACATTAAGTCACAAAGTGGACCACTTACTCTGAAAAACCTCATAAGATAATAGATGGTTGGTAATTGGTTGTGAAAGAGCAGTAATGGTTTTTTTAAGTCTCGTTGATTTACACACTCAAGCTCTCTATAAATCTGTAGTTATTAGCGAAAAATGCACAGTGACACCTGAATGCACCATAAACTGCTGCTTTTGGAGCAGCCTGTTGCCTCACACCTGTTCCTGATATGACTAAAACCTTGGAAGCGTGGGTTCGTATTGAATAAAACAAAAAGTGCTATCTCATTTTTTGGTTCATTTTGTTTCATGAATATTTCATCTGCACACTTTAAAAACCTGCAAAGCACCAGCAGTCACTGGTGCATTATTTATTTTATAAAACTCTTGGCTCATATTTAGCTCTGGGAAGAACAGCCACAGTGTGGGCTGCTAGTTCACCACTGTAGAGACAGATAACCCTCTGATTTATATATGAGTGAACACTGACTGACTAATTATTCAATTGTTCTTGAAACTTATATTTGTTACACATACACTGAGGGGACTGGAACAAACCCAAATTGATAAACTGATAGTTTTGACAAACAATTCATATAAAAAAATAAATAAAAAAAGTCAAATTCTGACTCGTCAGAAAAAATGACAGTTTTCTTCCTTGACTAAATCAGAAGTTGGCAGCATGTATAGATAAATTCTGCTCTGCATTGTATGGTTCTAACCTCCACTTGTGGATGCAGCAACAAATTTTGTTTGCAGACTATGATATTTTAAAGCAATTTTGAGCCCATGCAGTGACTTCAACTACAGAGCCATGTCTTTCTTTTTGATGCAGTGTTGTCTGAAGGCCCAAAGAATTCAGTTTAGTTTTTAATGTTGCTTTAAAATGTTATCTTTGCACTGTTTCCAAATAAATAGAGGGTGGTAGTGATTTGCAAACCATCAAAGTCTGTTTTATCTACATGTGACACAGTGAACTTTCTGGAATAAGCATTAGCATCCAAAAACTCAAAACCATGACCAGGCTTTTAAAACCCAGAAACTGTGGCTGCATCGAGTTAATCCAGTGAGAATGAGTGTGCATGTGTGTGTAAAAGCATAGCTGGCATAGAAGTAGCTGTTTTTGTAAAGGTGGGATCAGTAAAGTTACACAAAATAGTCCCAGAAATGCACAAGGCTTTGACTGATGTTCCTAGAATCTTTAAACCTGGTTATTTATACTCACATGTATCCTAATTAATAACCTGACGCCAACCATGAGCATTACTGCTTATTATTTTAAGTCAAGGGAAAAGAAGATCAACCTAAGCTTGAGAAGAATCTATAAATACAGAGGCTCTATGAATCAGTGTGCCAAAAACTGGATTGCTTATGTTGTTCTATAACGAGACATGAGGTTCAACTACCCACCATCTTAATGGGAGCTGAGCTCAAGTCCAGGTCAGAGACAGGTGAGTTGTCTGCCTGCAGGACGTAGATGCCTTTCCGTGATAAAGCCTGGATGACAGACTGGTGACTGTGGAGCGAGGCGGCGTGCTCGGCGTGCAGGATGAGCCCACACACACGGCAGTAAAGCTCTCCAGACAGTAGCAGGTGGATGATGGGGGGCTTGATGTGCTCCTGCTCATACTGGTCGGTATAGAAGGGGTCCCGCAGGTCTGCAGGGATGTGATCTGCAACAAGAGAAACTTCTTAGAAGTAGCTTGAAAACACATAAGATTACCTTTCACTGGTTTGTTTAGTCACAAATCACTGCATGACACCACATACCCGCCATCGAGCTATTTTTGTGCGCACACACACGCACGTGTCCACTGATGCCTCCTCATGTTACATAACACTGACGCTCCCAGGACTCTCAAGGTATTAGACTGTCTAAGGAGAGTGACAGGGGAAAGTCAGCGGTAAAACAGCCGCCCAGGTAGCGACGCTCAAGGCCGATAGGTGAAGCATAGGCTTTAAGCCAATGAGCTAACAGGACTTAGCGGTGATGCTTAAGCTGATGGTGCTGCCCCAGCCCATGGGGTGTTTACCTGCTCGCGGAGATAGACATGGGGCGGCTATTTTTATATGCCTTGGACCTGTTAATCCAGAGTTAGCACCTGAAACACTCACGTAATTTAGCTTCTAGTGCTTTCTGGGTAGATTTAGGCAGGAATAAACAGAGGGACTACCACCTGATAAAGTTAAGTGCTTGGACAAGATGAAAAGAGACAAAACAGCTGGTGATAAACTGAAGTAAAACTGAGTTTAGCACGAGTGCTTTAACCAATAACCTATATTACTCTACATCATTTGAAGGTAAATACACTTGTCAAGAACAAACCAGCACAACAGCCACTAATGTTAACATGCTTTTTCTGGGTAACAAAGGCATGGACTAACATCCTCATGCAGCTTCTGGTAAAGGCAAATCCTATGTAATAGAAATTTCTCAACTATTTAAGCAAGGATGTTTCAGAGAGACTAATTTTAAACTTTTTTGAATGTGAATTCAAAATCTAACTAACTGAAATGACTTGTAAAGGGATAAGAAAACACTTGTAAAACAAATAAAATTGTTACCTTGGCTTAACACAGGTGTAGCTACCATTAGCAGAGCTAGCATGACTAACCTTCAGTCTGCCAGCTCATGACTGTTATTTTGGGCCTAAAATTACAAAAACAATCATAATTTATCTCACTGACAAGTAATTCTGTTACCAAGCCACTGAACATTTTTTGGTCTAAAAGAGGTCTAATAGGCGTCTAAATGTAGCCTAGACGACTGGGCTAAAATCAGGCTACCACAGGTCTAAAAATTTAAGTTTTTTTGGACGTCCAAATTTAGACCAAGTTTAGACTAGCCGTTTAGGTGTTAGTGTTGACCAAGTTTAGGCTAACAGAGGTCTAACTGTATATTGCTCAATGGCTATCATAATTATTTTAGTTAAGTATTTGGAGATCAGTTATGCAACTCACACTTTCTTTTTGAAATAAATAGTTATCGAATAATGGGTTAGAGTGCAATGTCTAAATTCCGTCTAAAAATATACAAAATCTAGACGGTTGAAATTAGGTCTAGACCAATAACTAGACCTTTAATAGCCGTGTCCCTTATATTTAACCATTTAATCGTCATTTGATTCCCTCAAGTTTAACTGCAAATATATCCATTTCCTGTTGCTTTTATAGCTAAAATATGAGACAGGGAGAAAACTGCCTTTAAAAGTGGTGTTATCTGTGAAATTTATGTTTAAACTGTACGATTAAATCACAGAAATTCAAGACAGTGTGTGAGAATACAGGCAGCAGGCTTTAAAACAACCGCATCTGAACAATGCTGAAACATCAACGCTCTGCCACTTAACAGAGCACCCTCTCTCATTATGTCTCACATTAGCAGCGAGCTGACTGAGACGAACAGACAAGCAAGACGTCCATTAGTGCAAAACACACATACACAAACACACAGCAGGCTCAGGCTACACTGTGAAAACCTCGGCTGTGATTTTCACAGCAGACTGCTTGCTTGGCACTGTGTACCTTCAGCATCTATCTCACTCTCTGCTGTTGTGCAGTGCAGCCATATGGACAGGAGACTCACAGATCATGTGAAAAAATGCTCATTATGCATCCCCACAGTCCTCTCTTTCTTTTCTCTGAACCTCCTGAAAAAAAACAAATCTTTCATGTCTGCTTCCAACACTCCTCTCTTTACTCCGCCACTTCCTCAGCCTCAGCTGTCCAAGAATGCCCCCTTTTTAGCCTCGCTGGTTGCTGTGGAGATGGTGATGGGGGATGCCAGCGTGGCCGGAGGTGGGGGCTGGGTCGCTGTCCCTTTGCTTCACAAGAGCCAGCTCACTGGATCGCTTTACGGCCCCTGACATCAAGAGGTGGGTGTGTGCATATGTGAGCGGTGGGAAGAATAAGAGGGGGGTGGCAGAGGCTCCTCTTTAATCCCAGTTGCTAACTCTGCTTAGATATTTATCATCCACCTGATCCACGCGTTAAAGCCCACCCTGGTGTCCATGTGTGAGTGGAGGAAATTAAGAGGAGAGGGGGGGTGGGGCAGGCCTTTGTTCCTATTCTCTCAGCCAAACAGAAGGTCAGATTGATCAGTAGATATCTTGCTGACAGTCAGGGCAGAGCTGTCAGAGTCTGGGCTCTGCAGGAGAAAGCCACAGCCATGCTAGGCAATAAGAGGGCTTAATGGACACTCATTTAAAAGACAGTATGTTGGGTAAACATAGCCGTTAAGCTGATGCACCCTGTAGGGACAACGCAGAGGTATGACCCTGCAGAAAAATAATGTGCGCTGGCATTTCAAGCCAAACTCAATCAATGTTCCATGGACCACAGAGTTTTGATGCCTGGCTCTTAAAGGTGCAGTGTGTCGTTTTTAGAGCCATATTCCTGAACTGGGCAGAAACAGAAAATAATATTCACATGTATAGTGCTCAGCATGAATTAATTCCCCCCTTTAAAGTTGTCAGAAAACCTTTACTTTCTCTTTAAAATCAACATTTTCCATGTCAGACTATACAACAAAATACCCCCCCAAATGTACGCTATTGATTGGAAACAAGATTTTTTAAGATGCATACAAAAATGCAAAATCAGGATGCTAAAATGAGTACACCCCAATCAAAGTTCCAGGAGCAAAGCTAAATTTTAGTTACCATATTGTCCTTATTGTTATCTTATGATAAATAAAATGTTATGTTAAACTCAGCTTTGTCAAAACTTTTGAAATTGTACTTTTGCTCATCTAGGTAATGAGTAACACATTACTTAAAATAGGGGGTGTACTGACTTATGCTGGGCACTGTATGTTTGAATCAAAGAATAAAAACATGTTTTTCAATTAAACTGAGAATTTTATGTCAGTAATTGAGAAAGTAAAGCTGGGTGAAAGTTGTAGTAGAGAAATCCAAATTCTGGGGAATGGGGAAACATCCAAACAAATTAAAGTTGCAAGAAACATCAAATAGTTTCATAGTGATATCCATTAGGTGTGAAGAAATAAAAGATAGTGAAGCTTGTGCAGGGGATCTCATGGGCACAGTGACGTCAGGAGGCGCCAATCAGATTAATGAAAGCACGAAGCCTAGAGGGAGGTAAAGGTGATGGTTTGGTGTTTATACTGGGGATTTGGTCTGTACTCTGGAAAAAACAGAGTTGGATAACTTTTAGGTGAAGCTTTATTTGCAAAGCTGGAGTCCTGGATATTTCCATCAACGGCTAGTGACACTGGCAAACTCAGGCACTCATAACACCTCCACTCCAGCTGTAGGGAGATAAAATCATACTCCAGTTTGGTGATACCGTCTGTGGATGTTAGACTTTTCAAATTTAGGTGAATAACTCTGAAAACTCACCTCACCACAAGCTTTGGCCTTTGATACTCTCTCTGATTCAATTTACTGAGTCATCCACTGCAACACAGTAGACAGCTCTGCAGGGCAGGAAACACTAAAACTACAGCAGCCATAAACCTGAAATGATGACCAAGTCCTTTTCCTCCACTGAATGACTGCCCCCGTCTCTTTCCCTCTCACTAAATGTCTCATTGTCAGACTGATAATAAAATCGGAGATGTGTGGGCTCGCACCAACAGCACGACTGACCTCCTGCTCACACTCCCCCCGAGAGCGCTCATTGGCTGACACAAAAACCCACATCTAAGGAGGAATCGTTTCCAGACATTTACTTACAGCATGGCGGTATGGAGCCATCACTTTGGATGTTTCAGAAGATGATGTCAGGACTTCAAAGCTAGTGACCTGGGAATAAAAGACTGTCTGATCACGAGATATCGGCCTGAATCTTCACTCAGGACCATGAAGATTTCTACTATTACTATAAGATGTAGTAATTCTGTTTGAGGGAGTCTGTTCTGCTATGGAGCAGATAGTTAGTTGTCTCTAAATTAAAGGGTTCTCATGCTTGATTGAAAAGGATGGGAGAAGCTCAGCAGAGACACTCATCCCATCAGCCCTTATTCTAATATCAAAGCTCTACTGATAACAACCACGTAACCTTTAATGTCCCCTATGATCCCAACATGAAATAGGCAGGCAGTGGGAGCCAGTACATCGCCAGGATTATCAAGGGGGCAGTTTCCTACATGGCGTTTCCTCAAGTTAAGCCCAGGATGCTTCAGGTAGGCTCATAAGTTCACTCCACCATCCAAGAACAACTCCTTGCATACCAGCTCCCACCCCCCAAAAGAGTATTAAAAGGAGAAGGGACAAGAGAAGGCAGAGCCAAGAAGAGAAAAGCCTGTTTGGGTCAGAGCTGACCCCTGCCAGCTCGGCTATGTGCTCTACCTCCCCATAACTCCCTCGTTCTCATGTCTGAGAAGTGGAGGTAAAAAGAGAAGATGACTAAGGAGGCAGAGTCAGGGTGAAAGACGCATGTTAAGGCAGGAGCCCATCCCTCCTTTCGTGTTTGGCTGTACACTCTACCTCCCCATACTCTCTTTTTTTCATGAGGTAAGGGTGGAGGTAAAGAAAGAGAATGAAACGTGAGAAAGAGGACAGAGAAAACAGAGCCTGTTTGGGCCAGAGTTCACCCCTGCTAGGTTCGTTTATATGCTTTACCTTTCCTTACTCCCCCATTTTCATGAAGGAAGAGAAGAGGAGAAAAATTGAGGAACGATCCTTCTATGGTTCTTAGTCACATTACCTGCCTTGCTCATTGCTACCTTTGATAGCTGGTTCTCACTCTTTTAAATATATTTTTGGGCTTCTTTACCTTTATTTAGAAAGTATAGGGCCATGGAAAAAGGAGGAAACTGGAAGAAAGGGTGGGAGGTAAAATGCAAGAAACAGACCGCAGCTTGGTATCAAATCTGGGCTTCCTGCTTGAGGACTTGTACATGAGGCAAATCGGCACCACATTGCCTCTAACTTTGATCCAGATGCCCTATAATAGTTGATTTTTTTAAACCCTTAAACACAATTCCAGTCAGTGACATTGAGCTTATTATAGGTTCTCTGTTTTTACTCATCATTAACTAATAATTCTATCCAATCCACTGAGCTGGTAAAATGCTCTGACAGGGATTTACAGCACAATGGTTCAAAATTCAATTAAGGTAACCTCGTCCCAAGGTGATGAGGGTGTGCTGGTGCCATGACTAAGATACAATGAACAGGATTTGCATGCTGCAAACTCTTCGTACAAGAGTATACAGTATATCGCATATATACTGTCAAATATAGATTACAACGTGCACAGCTGATGGAGTGTTGTCTGGATATAAATATTGACCATGTGGCTTGCACTCCCCAGATGAGCAGGCACAGATTTAACATACATCACCACCCTTATAAGCATGATTTTAAATAGAAAATAAAGAAAGCCTTACCTATACCGTAAGCTTTGGCAAACAGCCAGCGGAGATTTGCATCTATTTTGGCTCTTGCAGAGTCGTAGAGCTCCAGTGGTAGGACCTGAGCCTCCATGCTGCTTCCTCCTCCTCCTCCTGCATCATCATCTACTGCTGCTGCTGCTGCTGCCGCTGCTCTCCTCCAGGTGCTGTCCCTGCCAGCACTCACCTCCACATCCATCCTGCATGGAGAGTTACAGCCACAGCAGCCTGCATTACATCATCCAAATGAGGAAGAATAACAACCAGCAGGGCCTGGCTCCCTGACAGCACCTGTAATACTACTCATAATACACACACTATACACTAGAATATTCAGCTGATAGGGCTTGTGCCAGAGCTGTCAGTCACTATTGATCACTGTGTCAAAATAGCCATGTGTTTGCACTTTCAAATCCAAGACAAATAAGATTTATTAGCGTTTTTCAGCTTGCAATGAGCTAATAATGAGTTAGGATAGGAGTGAAACAATGGGAGCATTTTTGATAATGAATACAAGATAAATAGGGTTTATTATCTACAGAAATAAAAGCATGAATTAGCATAATTTCGCACTAGCTCCTGTTATTCATTTTCTTGCAAGGTCCGGCTGAGGGTGGACATGCTGACCAATGAATGACCAAACAGTATCCTAGCAACATTAACTTAACAGCCTATTAACGTTAGCTAGGAGCTAGCTGAACTGCGTACACACACGCAGCGAAATACACCGACAAACATGACAAAGACTCACCTTTAAGACTGCATTTGTTCCTCTTCACAGGTCTAGGAGGGACGTGTTGTTATAAAGCCGACATGCTGGCCCTGGTTCAGCTTCACACTGGAATAACAGAGGACTCCTCCCTGCCCAGCGACACAAATCTCCAGTCCGGCCTCCCAGGATAAAGCTGCTGCGGTTAGCGGCTGATGGGGGTTAATCCAATAATCAAAAAAATCTGTTTGGCAAGCATACGGGAGTATGTTTTCGAGGAAAAAATTAATATCCAAATGCCTGCTGTTTTATTTCAAGGCTGTCATCGCCTGTGGGAGACGACTAGCTGGTGTAACGGAGCCTGTAGTAGGAGCCTGTCTCTATGGGGACGACTGTGAGCTCCTGTCAGCGCCGCTGCAGCACAATTGTTCACCTGAGGAGGGCGCTGCAGAGCCGTACAGAGAGAAACAAGAGGTACTCATCTAACAAAACCCAATTCCATTCGTTGGGAAATTGTCATATTTACAATGATTTGCAAATAATTTTCAACCTATATACAATTGAATACACTACAAAGACAAGATATTAAATGTTTAAACTCATAAATTGATTTTTTTTTGTTGCAAATGATCATTAACTTTAGAATTTGAGTTAATTAACATCCCACAGGTGAGCAGGCTAATTGGGAACAGGTGGGTGCCATGATTGGGTATAAAAGCAGCTTCCCCAAAAATTCTCAGTCATTCACAAGCAAGGATGGGGCGAGGTTCACCACTTTGTGAACAACTGCGTGAGAAAATAGTTGAACAGTTTAAGAACGTTTCTCAAAGTACAGTTGCAAGGAATTTAGGGATTTCAACATCTACGGTCCATAATATCATCAAAAGGTTCCGAGAATTTGGAGAAATCACTGCACGTAAACAACACGGCCGGAAACCAACATTGAATGCTCGTGACCTTTGATCCCTCAGGCGGCACTGTATCAAAAACCGACATCAATGTGTAGTGGATATCACCACATGGGCTCAGGTGCACTTCAGAAAAAAACACTGTCAGTAAATACAGCTTGTCGCTACATCTGTAAGTGCAAGTCAAACTCTTCTATGTAAAGCGAAAGCCATTTATCAACAACATCCAGAAACGCCACCGGGTTCTCTGGGCCCGAGCTCATCTAAGATGGACTGATGCAAAGTGGAAAAGTGTTCTGTGGTCTGACGAGTCCACATTTCAAATTGTTTTTGGAAATAGTGGACGTCATGTCCTCTGGGCCAAAGAGGAAAAGAACCATCCGTACTGTTATCGATGCAAAGTTCAAAAGCCAGCATCTGTGATGGTATGGGGGTGCATTAGTGCCTAAGGCATGGGTAACTTACACATCTGTGAAGGCAACATTAATGCTGAAAGGTACATACAGGTTTTGGAGCAACATATACTGCCATCCAAGCAACATCTTTTTCAAGGATGCCCCTGTTTATTTCAGCAAGACAATGCCAAGCCACATTCTGCACGTGTTACAACAGTGTGGCTTCGTAGTTAAAGAGTGCGGGTACTCGACTGGCCTGCCTGCAGTCCAGACCTGTCTACTATTGAAAATGTGTGGCACATTATGAAGCATAAAATACAACAACGGAGACCCCGGACTGTTGAACAACTGAAGCTGTACATCAAGCAAAAATGATGTACAGCTTCGAAGCTTCAACAATTAGTCTCCTCAGTTCCCAAATGTTTATTGAGTGTAGTTAAAAGGAAAGGTGATGTAACACAGTGGTAAACATGACCCTGTCCTAACTACTTTGGTACGTGTTGCAGCCATGAAATTCTGAGTTAATTATTTGCAAAAAAAAAAAAAAGTTTGAGTTCGAACATTAAATATCTTGTCTTTGTAGTTTATTCAATTGAATATAGGTTAAAAAGAATTTGCAAATCATTGTATTCTGTTTTTATTTACGTTTATCACAATTTCCCAACTTCAATGGAATTGGGATTTGTACAAGGATGTTTGTACAGCAGCTATAATAGTTATAATTCGTAGTTCAATACTTTTATAAAATTCTTAGCAATATTTGATTTAACAGAACACTAAAATAAGGGGGTTGAATTATAGGTCATAATGTCTGTTTTCAATAAATTTTATTTTCTGTGAATTTACATAGAAAGATTTACATTCTCTCTAACTCAGACAAAGTTCACCCGTATGAAAGAACCAAGCAAAAGCTTTAGGGAACAGTTCACTAAATATTAAAGAAAGAAAGTTTTACAACTAAAATAAACTGAATCAAAAGGGTTATTGGGAAAACAACCCAAGAGACCAGAAAATATGTCAATGTGAGTTAGTGCTGGTCGATTAAACGATAACGATATATATCGAAAATTAATTTCCCTCAATATCAATTTAAAACATGGTCCATATGCTTTTTCAATAGTCAGTATTAAAAAGGAGAAAAGTGCGTTCTCCGGGATTCAGCTGGGTTAAGAGCCACAAGGTGTATGGTGTGTGTCCCTGTTAAAAAACACAGACACAGATGTCCAGTTTAGTGGTGGAATTATTTGACTGTGGTTCAACAGATAAAGATACAATGGAACAATCAGTACAGCTCACACCATACATAACATGAACATCAAGTAGCATGAAATAGCATTCTTGGTAAACAATACATTCATACAAGCGTTGGACAAATAAAACTCACCATAAAACACAATATAGCTGAACGGTATTTACCTGAAAACACCTAAACAACGTGGGCTTTCTAACAGGCATTCTGCCATGTCTCTAGCGCAACACTTTATGACAAAACGTTAAAAGGACACACAGACCTCACAGATGCAGTTGCTTATTGTATTGCAAAAGACATGCCACCAATAAGCACTGTTAAATTTCAATTTTTATGTCGTGATATATATCAATATCGACTGATATGAAAAAAATAAATCGTGATAAACTTTTTCCCATATCGCCCAGCCCTAATGTGAGTCTTGGTTATAATAATAATTGTACTTGTATAGCACCTTTAAAAACAAGGTCTTACAACGTGCTTTGACATAAAGACAAAAAGCAGAGGAACTCCAAAAACATCATAACTTAGTAAAAAATAAAAACAACCCACAACAATTCAACTCTTCAGCAACAATTGTGCAACAACAAATGACTCAGTAGCACAGTATAAAATACGGGAACACAATTTTAAACTCTGAAATCACTGGATCCAGATTTCCTACAAATAAGCAATATATTTATCATATTCATTGTAATTAAATTTCCAACTTCCCAATACCAAGATACTTATTTTGCTACTTGCTGGCTCAAGAATTCAGATGAACAATGAGCATGCCAAATTACAGTCCTGAAGAGGGCGCTATGGGTCTGTACATAAAGAAACAGGGTGGACTGAGCCAACAGGATATGATACTGTAACAACTAAGTTGCCTGCAGTTTTAAACACTTAAGAGGTAACACAATTAGATGAAGTATCCTGTAAATCAATTCATTTGAGATCACTGGACCAAAGTTGGTTAAACTATAAGATACAATATCTAAAGTCAGACCATTATCATAAAATTGATTAAATCAATTGTATTTTTTTTTCATCAGATTAGAGATATATGTGTTTCTATATCAGTTTTTTGTCATTATGGTGTTCTTTAGTTTAAAACATCTAGATTTTCCAACATAAAATAAAGGTAGACTGTTGATCATACCCTTTACACCTGTTATGAGGGAATTCCAAACCCAGATAAAAATAAACCCAGACCACACTTTCAAAGCGGTGTGTAAAGGTTAATCCACGAATGACGAAACATGTCTTTACATATGTGAACGATTCATGCAGAAGCTATTTCAGGTAAACTGAAAACAATGTCTCTAAAGTAAACTTGTAAGCAGATAAATTTTGTCTCTTCATGTATACTATATTGATCTCTGATATTTGTTTCTGTAAGACAAACCAAAATTAGCAGCTTTTTAAAAGTCTTTCTTAAAAAGTTGTGTGAGTATAGAGCAGTAAACAAAAGAGAGGAATTACTAGTGTAACTGTAGTGTTTTTCTTCTGTAGTATTGTCTTGTTATTACCACTAGAAGGCATCAGATGACTGCACCTGAGGTGATTTACAGCAGTTTCTTTTTTGGAAGCTGTAAATGCTGAGGATGATGTGCTCTATAACATGAAGTGTTAATAACATTAGTAATATGGTATTTCAGCAAAGACAAAGAATTGAAGAGACATTTTAAAGCTTGACAGCAATTTATTGAATCAAGACAATTTGTACAAAACATTTTAAAGCAGGAAATACTTTTTTTGCAAACTACAACTTTGCATGAACATTGATTTTGAGTTACATCTTTTTTCTTAAAAACTTCTTTATCTCTGAATTAGTTTATAAAACATGACATTTTGACACCTTTCACCACACTCCATTAAAAAAGTGCAGGTAATGTCGTTTAACACGCACGCACACAAAGGTCCCCATTTCTTGTACCAAAAAAAAAAAAAAAGTTCTCCACTTTGAAAACCTTTTTTTTTCAATTGTACATGAAATCTCACAAATATGCTGCTTTTCTTAAGAAAAACAAAAATCACACTGGCACTATTTTAAACTGTGGCAAATGTAACAACTTTTTACAACAGGTCTGCTATTTAACACTCAACAGGTTAAACATGGTAACCATTATTACTGATTAGAGATACAACATGAAAAAAAGAAACATTCTTCGTTCATTATTGATCAAAAATCAATCACTCAGCACCAGCCAAGACCTACTTAATTCGAAAAACATCTCTCAACCAATACGGAATATTTTCCCTGTGCTTTAAGGTCCCAAATCTCTGATGTAAATTATCTTAAGCTGTCTTTATAATGCAAGTAAAAATATGAAAGGTGAAACTTTAAATATATATTTGATCATTTTCTAACTCAGACTCAGTGATAAGACTTAGTGAAATGTGGTTCGGTAACAAAACCTGCGTAACGTAAAACGACAAGAGGTTAAGATATAATTAATTAATACTGAGAACTTTAAAATAATCTATAAACATCAAAAAAATCTGTACAAATATAACGTAAATCCCCAAAAATAAAATTTAAGAAGGTCAATGCATCAAAAGATTGAAATAAATCCAGTGAATAAAGCAACACAAAACACAAATAAATAGCCAGTGTACACATCAAGGAGCTTTTTTTTCTGATATATGCTCATTTAAAACAGTTTCTAACCTTACTGTTCATAACAGAACAAAATAAAAAATAAAAAAAAGCATAAATATAAAAGCATCTTCTTTATATTTCAGGTCAAAAAAAGCACATAAATAAATACAAAATTACTAAAACTGTTCTTGTCGTTAGTATAAAAACTGATAATAAAAAAGGAGGGTGTTCAGTCTTAGGAGAGGTTTGTCACCTTTTCCCAGAGGTTTTATTTTCTGTCCATTTTACTAGTCTTTATTTAAACTGGTCTGGGATCAGGTTCATCTGTGAATGGATACTCGTAGGCGGGCTGGAGATGCCTTCAGACCAATCTGACATGTTGGAATGTGGGGACGAGCTGGACCACTGGTCGGGTGAGCCAGGGGAAGGGGTTAGGAACGGGTGGTCGGGCACCTGGAGCTGGTGGCTGGGGGTGTTGTCCATAGGGCCAGAATAGCTGTGCTGGGAGGGAGGGGTGAGGAACTGGGTGCCGAGGATCTGAGTCTCCTGGGGCATGACGGTGTGGATTGGCATGGAGCGAGTGTTGTTCTGCTGCATGTCAGCGCCGTTTTGCTTCATGCTAGGGAAGCCCTGGCTGAGTGGCTGCCCGGCTGTGGCCGAGTTGGAGTTCTGGTGCTGGAGTTGCCGCTGCATCATATGCGCGGTTGAACCGAGGTGGCTGGTCTGCAGGTTCTGGTAGCCCATGATTTGAGACAGAGTGGCGGTGCTGACCCCACTCAAAGCCCCCATCATACTGTGGGGTACTTGAGGTGCCTGTGTGAAGCCTCCTTGCTGGCCTACACCTGGGTGCATCCTGGAGACCCAGTCACACTGGCCTCCTCTGCTGCCACCTATGGATGTCGTGCCCTGACTCCCGGGGCTGGACACGGGCAGGTGGGAGAGGCGGGGTACGTTAGGGTCAAAAGACATACAGCTCATGTCTTTACCCAGGCTCATCTGGCCCATATGAGAATCCCCATTGCCTTGTAGGTGATTTAAAGACATAGGTGGTGACTGTTGGAAGGGGGATGTCATAGGAGGGGAGGCTACATCTGACAGGTAACCATGCGGTGACTCGAGGGAATCCACCGGGGATAGGGCGGCTGATGTATCCAGCAAGCTACCCTTTCCATCTAAGGACTTCTTCTTCTTCATTCTGTTATCTTTACCCCCGTCCTTCCCTCCCTTGCCAGAGCTGATTTTGCGAACTTTCTTGGCAGAAAGTGTAGGCTTGAGGTTGCTAAGGTAGTCATTGGGCGAGCAAAGAGGTGGAGAGAGGCTGGCGGCGCTTAGGGGAGCGCTGTGAAGCCCGGGACTCCTGACGATGTTGTACTCATCCAAAAGACGGACGATGTCATGATGCATACGCTCCTGAGCAATATCCCTGGGCAACTGGTCGAGGTGGTCGGTGATCTCACGGTTAGCGAGGTGCTCAAGAAGGACTTTGGCTGTCTCAAAGCTGCCTTCACGGGCTGCAAGGAAGAGCGGTGTCTCTTCCTAAAAGGCAAAACAAGAAAGGTAAAACTTTAAATTTACAGCTGGAAATAAATGAACATATAAAATTTGTTATATAATTAAAGTTAGATCTCATAAAGCATAAACTGAAATCTGTGTGGAAAAAGTCTTTTCTTGAGAACATGTCATTTATCTACTCTACTCCACGTTTTCTGTGTAGCAAGTCTGAAAATTCATTCCCATTCATTGTGAAAAGCAACCATTGTGTTTTTTACACTAAGTACTGTAGTACACTTAGCAGCATAGTTAAGGCTAGCTTTTTTCAGACAAAGTCCTGGCATCTAATCTTTTTCGTTTTTACCCTGCGCTGTCAAGTTACAAAATGTTTAGCTAAAGACATCATAGCAAGCTGTTAGCATACACTTGCAGCGTTAGCTAGTATACTCCTATTTATTCTAAAATCTTTTAAAGCAATTAAATAGATAGCTTTAATAGTGTAAGCTTGTACAATATTATTTTGCAACTTAAACCCTTTTGCTGGTTCTAACACTTATTAAATAGCTCCATTATTGTCTCAGGACAAATCGTACCTTGTTGTCTTGCATGTCCTTGTTGGCACCATTTTTTAGCAGCACCACAGCAGCCTCCACATTGTTTACTGCTGCGGCCCAGTGAAGAGCAGATTTACCTGCAGAGATAGTGAGAGAAGAAGGGGTTCGTTATCAAAACAGCCCAGCACACTGAAGAATCTTTATAAACAGTGAGAGGTTATGAAATCATAAACTACCAGAATCATCGGTGGCATTAGCGTTAGCATGGCAGTTGATAAGCTCTTCCACCATGCCATCTACAGCAAGTCGGGCTGCCAAGATCAGCGGTGTCGTTCCGTCATGCATTCGGGCATCAAGATCAGTGGCACGGTTGCGGATCAAAATCTGTAAGGACAACCGCTTGTTTAGTGGGTGCTTTTCAGAAGTATAAGGAGCAGACATCTCAAATAGGAGATCTAGGAGACTTCTACAGAGGTAAGGGTTACCTGGAACACTCCCTGTGCATCAGCAGCCACAGCAGCATGAAGCGGGGTACGGCCCATGTTGTCCTGAACGTTAGCATCAGCACTGGACTCCAGCAGGCGTTTGGCAGCATCAGAGCGGGCGTATCGAGCAGCCAAATGAAGGGCTGTCTCGCCTGTCCGGTCGGTCTGGTTATGAAGGTTTGCGCCTTGGTAGATGAAGTCAGAGATGATTTCAGCTGAGGGGTCTTCTTCCTCTTCACTGTTGCCGGTCTCGAGGCCTCCACCGCTACAGGAAGCGATCATTAGGGGTGTGAAACCATCTGAAAGAGGATGTGAAAATATTATGTAAGTTCCCAGTCATGTGGTGGTCACTTTTCCCAGACGATTTCATAATCTTTCGAGAGTGGCCGTTATAATGGATCAGACATATTTCCCTGAAGTAGATGTACAAACCTGGGCCTCTGACATTGACATCCATGCAGTCATTTTCAATTTCTCCTTGAGGAGGGGTCGGGGCAATGGATGCGATTCGCAAATCAGCTGCATCCAGATGTTGCTGTGTCCATTTTCTGTGGTCGGTGTGGTCACTCAAATCCAACATGGCCTGCTCCTCGAACTAAAAGACACACCAATCATCCAATGTCAGCAACAGAAGTGTGTACAAAAACAGGTTTGTCACTAATACTAGTTGTTTGGCTCATGTCAATCTTTTCTTACCCTGAAGCGCCTGCAATCTGGATCTTCATCATCCCATTCGTTTTGATTGTCATCCATGAGATTGATGTCTGAATTTTTCATTGGCCTGTTTAAACAAAGAAAGCAGGTTGGATTAATTACACAGCGTGAACAAAAGCCACACAATTAAGAGTGCAGCAGCCAGGCAAGGTGACAACAACTCTGGCAGCTATTTTAGCTTCTTACTTGAGTCCAACAGAATCCTGTCCCAGTGGCTCTCTGCGTTTCTTCTTACTGGGCTCTGACACCTTGAATCCCTCAGGGAACCAGAGCTGGCCATGCTCTCGACGCCTCTTACGGGACACCAGAACACCGAGGCAGATGAATCCCAGTGCAGCCAAACCAAGGAAGACCACGTACATGGGGTAGAGCTCTGGACCAGATGGGCTTGGTCTTACACCTTGAAGACAGAAAAATCCCCGTTCATGACTTGGGTTTTTAGCCTAGCAACAAATTTAGACACATATTTGGGACTTGGAATAAGTGACATACTGGTGACAGCCTCGATGTAGGGGACGTTGAGGTTCCCACTAGATGCAAGCGCTCCAAGGAATGCAGCTACATCTGTGGCGCTCTGGAAACATTCACTAGACTGCTGGTAGCACTGACGGTTGTCAATCTCCAGGTACACTACAGACCTATGAGCAGGAATGAATGTTAACATCGAAGCTTAACACAATATGGATTCATTCTGCAAACAAAACACACAGTGAGGCCTACCCTTTGACTTGCAGAGGATCTAGCTCTCTGCGCTTCCGAGGGCTGACCATGGAGGACACACTCTCCTTCATTTGACCCAGAACACTGGCTGGCATGGAAGCCCACTCGGGCCAGCCGTCTGCAGAACGCTTCAGCACATTGTGTTTCACAAGGTCCTGTTCGTTTCCGTAATAAGGGAAGATCATCGGTTCGCCTTTGGAGTCACGGCGGAACACGACGTTGGTGTGCAGGACGCTGCTGAGCTCTCTGAGGAAGGTGGAGGAACGGTTTTTGAGAATTTCTGGGGGGATATGCACCACCAGCACCAAGTGACCATCTGCAAGCTTCTCTGGCATGTTATTGGCACAATCCAAGCCATCCCATTCACACTCTGCATTGTTGCAGCCTTGATCGCAGTGATCGTCTGCGTAATGGTCCTTGCAGTACTGGTCATAGAGAGGGCTGGAAGAAAGGGAGGAGATTTGGTTAGTACTCTTATTTGTGTTCCTGCAAGAAGCTCACATGATTGTTTTATGTTTTCTAGACTTACTTGCATTGTCCTTCCTGTCCCTGACAATCAAAGCCATCATAGAGACATCCAGGGCTGTTGCACTGGCCATCACACTTCCCATCGTTAAAGTAGCGCCAGCACTGCAAAGCTGCAGAGCAGTTTTGCCAGGGATCGTCAAAATTCAGAGAGCAGTCTCCTCCATCCCAGCCGCAGGCATGGTTGTTGCACAGCGAGTCGCAGATGTGGTTCCCTGCCCACTCGTCACACTGAGGAATCTCGCAGCTCACCTCAACTTTCGGAGGTGGGGTGATGTCCCGACCAAAACCTCCCACAAAGGAGTAGTCCAGGATGTGGCAGAGCAGGCCGTTGAAGTTGCTGGGGCAGCTGCACTGAAAGAAAGGTGATTCTGGGGTGATCTGGCATGTCCCGCCATTGTAGCAGGGGTTTGAGATACAGAGGCTGTCAGTGGGGGTTTGGCACTCAGGGCCAGTGAAGGTTGTTGGACACAGGCAGCGTGGGCCAAGGTGGCCTGACACACATGTACCACCATTCCTGCAATTCAGACTTCCACAGGAGCGAGAATCATACTCGCAGGAAGAACCAGTGAAGCCCTGGAGAAACAGAAATGGACATGGGTTAAGATTTTTGCACCATACTTAAGAAAAAAAATGAGTTTGAAGGGAGAGAAGTGGTACTCACAGGTGGACATTTGCAGATGAAACCATGAGGAGTGTTACTGGCAACAGCACAGGTTCCTCCATTCCTGCAGGGTCTTCCTTTACAGCCATCAAACACTTTATCACATCGTTGACCTGGATAACAAGAGCAATTTGTTTTAGTCACCTTTTATACATGATTACTTCACTTCAAAAACTCATATTGCAGTCTTTAACACCCTGCCAGGCGTATATCAGTACCTGTATATCCAGTGCGGCATTCACACCGGTAACTGTTGGTGAGCTGGATGCAGTTGTACGACCCTCTTGGGTCACATGGGTCCGACAAACACTCGTTGACATCACCTTCACAGCGCTCTCCCACATAGCCTGGTGGGCACACACACTGGTATCCTCCGATGCGGTCCACACACCTGCCGTTATTGAAGCACTTTGGCTCGTTGGTCAGTGGATCAGTGGAGGGAGTGCAGTCATCCAGATTTATCTCACAGTGGACACCTACAGTGGAAAGAAACACAAGGTTTAGCAAATCCATCCACTTGTCCATGTATATCACGTTACTGTAGATGCAGCACCAACCCGCCTGTGCCAGAATCCATTTTATCCTCACTCACTCACAGAACCATGGATACTCCTTTATTTGGTGAAAAGTCTCAAATATATAATCAAACATTTGTTTGACTGCAAACATGAACCATGTGAGTGTCAATGTGCATTCATGTACAAACCTTGTGTTCCTCTGGGGCAGGAGCATTTGTATGTGTTGATGAGGTCGATGCAGGTTCCTCCATTCTGACAGGGCTGAGACTGACATTCATTGATCTCTTTGGAGCAGTTCACACCATGGTAGCCAGGGACACACTTTTTTATAAAAAAGAAAAAAATACATTTTAAGAATAGCATAATTACTTATTTATTTATGGTCACATTTTTGATAGTAACTCTTAACTCTTTGACTGTCCTCCACTTTATTTAGAGATCAAATTTCTTGGCTCAACCTACCTCACAGCTGTAGCCTCCCAGATAATCCGTACAGATGGCTCCATTCTGGCAAGGGTTTGGCGAGCACTCGTCCACTTGTTCCTGGCAGTAACTCCCGGTGTATCCGGCCTGGCAGCGGCAGTAATGTGTGTTTCCAGCGTCCAGACACTGACCAGAGTTCCTGCACAGGTGAGCCACCTCCACTCCTGGAATCAGAAAAGAGAGAGTTACAGATTGAAAGTTTCACACTCAAACATGAAGCTTTATCAAGTTAGTTAGCTGTGTCACATAAAAAAAAAAATGAATAAATAAATTAGAATAAAAAAACTTGAAGGTCATGGTTGTACCTTGCTGTTTGGCTGCAACCTCACAGGACACACTGGGGATGTCACAGTATAGACCGGTCCATCCAGTCTGGCATTGGCAGGTGTAAGAGGCTCCCTGCTGCCAGCATGAGCCTCCGTTTTTACAAGGGGATGAGTCACACCAGCGCACAAGATTCTGACAAGAAAGAACAGAGAGAAATATTTTAAAATATACTTTCAAGAAACTTTAATGCATAAAACAACAACAAAATGGTACATATTACTCTGTCATGAGGTCATTTCACCATACCTGGCAATTGACTCCAGTGTATCCATGAGGACAAGTGCACTTGTAAGTCCCATAACTGTCAAGGCAAGAGCCTCCATTGAGGCAAGGTTTGGAGTCACACTCGTTGATGTCATATTGGCAGTAGCTGCCGGTGAATCCAGGTAGACACAGGCAAGTGAAAGCATTGATCCCATCTACACATGTGCCTCCATTGAAGCAAGAGCTGAGCAAACATAAAGGAAGAATTGTTTCAGAACTCCATATCACACTATTTAGGATGATAATGTGTCTTTAAGTAGAGATGCTCATTTGGGAAATTGAGCTACCTGTCAGTGCAGTCATTGGTGTTGATCTCACAGTTGATGCCGCTGAAGCCAGGTGGGCAGGTGCACGTGTAGCTGTTGACGCAGTCAGTGCAATTGGCACCATTCTTACAGGGGTTACTCTCACATTCGTTGATGTCCTGCTCGCATCTCCCCCCCCGAAAACCAGGCAGACACGTACAGGTGAAAGAGTTGATGCCATCGTGGCACAAACCACCATTACTGCAGGGATCTAAAACACAAAACGGAGGATTAAAATCACTCAGAATTTTTTTTTGCAAAGATGAGATCTGGCAGTGATTTAATGTTTCTTACTTGGTTTGCAGTCGTCAGTATCGGTCTCACATTTCTGTCCGGTGTAACCCGGTTGGCACTTGCACTGGTAGCCACCCATGGTGTTGTGACAAATGGCACCGTTGCGGCATGGGCTCTTCACACATTCATTAATATCGATCTCACATGTTTGACCTTTAAAAGAGGAGTAGATAATTAATGGGAGGTTGCCTAGAGTGTGCATGTATTTATAGAGATTGTGCATTAAACAGAGGAAATAAGAAGTGTTGATGTCTTGATACCTTGCCAACCCTCAGGGCAGATGCAGGAGAAGCTCTGGTAGTCTTCGGACTCCTTGCATACTCCACCATTTTTACAGGGTCTGGGGCTGCAGGGTGCCAGCAGAGTCTCACAGTTTTCCCCTGGTGGCAAAAAAAATGACAACATCAGTGTTTGCATTACATAGAGCAACTGCTGCAGACTTGAATTTTCAACACAAAACAGATTTTTGAAAGTCTATGTCACCAAACTGCTGCAAAAGTTGGGTTTTCAATAGCGAAATAAATCCCACTTTCCATCAACTTCCTTATCCATTTCCATGACGACTAAACCAAACAGGAAGGGCTTTCCTGTTTCCTGCTATTGTGTGATTGCAGACAGGAAACAGGAAGTGGGAACTGGGCTTGCAGCAGGCTCCAGCTCTCCTGCCTATATTAGCCTTTTGTGGTATGTTATTCCAGAAAACACACACACGCACTTGTATACTGTTATCCCGGCAAGGCATATAAGCTGATCTTTCCACACAAAAATGACCAAAACAGACATCCCAGTTAGTGGCCACTGGCTAATGTTTTCTTAAATAACACCGAACAGGACGGGATAAGCCTTCAATGTGGAAAATGGAAGATTGCCTTTACAGTTTTAGATATGTGCAAACAGCTGAGTAAGCATTGGACCTAATTAAACAACCCAGGGATCAGCCTGGTTCTGTAGATGAAAATAGGCAGCTGAATATTGTACCAGTGTAGGGCAGCAAACAGTTGCACTTGTATCCAGCCACGTCGTCGATGCAGGTGCCCTGGTTGAGGCAGGGGTTGGAGGCACACTCGTTTATGTTAGTTTGGCAGTTAGGTCCTACAGCAGTGGGATTAGAGAACACACTGGGGTTAGACACAAGCCAACAAAGCAAAAAAACCCACTCAAAGTGAGCAGTAGAAAAGAAAAGACCTCAAAAAAGGGGTCATAACTGACCTGTGAAGCCGGCTCTGCACGTGCAGTGGTATCCGCTGGTCATGTCCTTGCAGGTTCCCCCGTTCATGCAGGGGTTGGACTCACACTCATTGTTGTTGATGTCACAATTTGGGCCGCTCCAGCCAGAGTCACAGGTACATTTGTAGCTTCAGAAAAAAAGACATAAGAGGTAAGATTACTCCAGAGGTAAATATGAGTAAGTGCAACCCTTTTCTTATTCCACATACCCAACTCTTTCTGCTCTTAAAACCAGATCTGTACTCACCCATTGATGAGGTCCTGGCACCTGCCATGGATACAGGGATTACTCCCACACTCATCCACCTGAGACAGACAGGTGGCATCATTGTAGCCATCTGGGCACAGGCAAGTGAAGCTGTTGATGCCATCTACACATGTGCCCCCATTGTGGCAGGGGTTGATGGCACACTCATCGATGTTGATGTTACACATTGCTCCTAAAATAAAGAGACATACAACTTTAGGATAATCCTGTTCACCAGGACACTATTTTACAGCATTATCAGGATACAGTGATAAATGCAAAAGAAAAGGACATTTTGTGCATCATTCCAGCTCTTTGGGGATCAGAATTGTATATTTTAACAAAAGTTTTGGGCAATTTGACAATGAAAGTAGAGACTGAAATTGGGGGCCATAAAGGGGGAGTAGGGAGTTGATTTGCAACAAAGAGCCAGGATCAAAAGCCAATATAAAGCTGTACTATATGAGCTACCAGGTGCCCCCTGTTGTTTTTTTTTTTAGGTTGAAAGACATGAATTAAAAAATAGCATCACTGGCCATTTTGAAAGCCCCACAGCTGGACTCTTGGCTCTCCGATGAGGTTTTCTCAGAGCCTTTTTAAGCTGCTAGCTGAGGTGCACTGTGTGGCTTTTGGACAATAGCAAGAGGTAACACTAAAAGCACCCAGATCATTCAGCAGGCAGAAGTTGTAGCAGCCCTAGTGTGTGCCTATCCTGGTGGCCCCTGGAGGCCCCTCAGCCTCTTCTCCATTGATTGAGTGGGGCCCTGTTGAATAGGCAGCAGGAGGATTTCAGCTGGATCTGAGAGGGGGGGGTTACTGCCAGGAGAGAGGGGGGTGGTAGTGGCTGCAGCTACTCTCCCTATTCACACCCACACAAACACTACCCCCCGGCCTGTGGGCTGTTTACAGGGACAGAAGGCCAGACCATTTTCACACACAGCCGAGTAACAATTAAACCCCCCTCTGATCCTCCATCCAGCCCCCCCCCCCCTTCTCCTTTACTCTTCATCAATCAGGAGGGGAGGGCCCAACTGCCTGATCTTCAGCCACAATAGCCCTCTGTCCCTGTGTGTCTCAGTCCCGCCATGCCCTCCACGCTCACCCCGTCAGCACAAAAAGATGGAGGGGAGGAAGAGGAGGAGGGATGCACAGAAGCCTGCACACACACACTTGTCCTTCCCTGCCCCCTTTCTCGCATAATCACACAGCCACTACCAGTCAGAACCGGCTTGGTTGGGCCATGAAAGGGAGGAAGACAAGTGGGGTACACTTGTTTGGACAAGACTTTTACACCAAAGTTTTGTTTCCTAGTGAGTAACGGGTGGATTCGTGTAAGTGAAGATTCAGGTGAGATATTTAAAGGGATTTGTCATGCTATTACACACCAATAAACATCAGCCATATGATTAAAGGCCAGGCTGTTTGCCTTTTATAAGTATCACCTTACGGACCTGTACAGACTCAGCGTCACAGCCTTTTCAAATCGCAAACAAAGTTAGTGCTTTGTGTGTTTGTGTGTGCGTATCAGGTTGGAAGCTGTGTTCTTTTTCTCTTCCCCCGCATCCCCTCTTTGCACTCCTGCAACCTGACACCATTGTTCCACTGGAGTGGACCCGCCAGCCACCTGTCCTACCTGCCCCTCCCAAAGCTCAGGGGACCATCCCCCATTGCACCTGTAAACTCCACCCACGCTCACCTGTGTAGCCTGGCTCGCATGCACACTCGTAGCCATTGATTTTGTCGATGCATCTCCCATAGTCGCAGGGTTTGCTCTTACAGTCGTCAAGGTTCACCTCGCAGTTAAAACCTGCAAATTTAAACAGGTTGAAGCAAACATTTGGAGGAAAATCCTAAAATTTTGTATGAGAATGCGAGAGCTAAAGAGCTCGCAAAAAATCTCACCTGCAGTGCCTTTGGGGCAGGCGCAAATATATGTGTTCTCTCTGTCTTGGCAAGTGCCACCGTTCTTACAGGGCTGGCTCAGGCATTCATTGATGTTGGTTTCACACAGGCGGCCAGTGTATCCAGGACGACAGTAGCAGGTGAAGGAGGCGAGGCCATCCTTACAGGTGCCATAGTGGCAGGGGTCGGAGTAGCATTCGTTGATGTCAGTCTCACAATGCTGGCCTGTGTAGCCTGGAAATTTTAATGAGAGATCTTAATAGCATTGAAGATATATTTTAAAAATGGGACAGAAATTGCAAATGTCTCCAAAAAACAGTCATGTTTACCTTCAGCACATTCACAAGTGTATTTGTTTGGACCATCTGTGCACTTAGCGCCATTCTTGCAGGGCGTGCTGGCACACTCATCAATATCCACCTGACACAGATTCCCTGAAAAACCTGCAAATGCATCAAAATGACAAAATATTAAAGCTTTGATCATTTGAAGCCACAGTGTGCATATTGCTAAAATGGAGGACAGGAAGCCTGATTTACATCTGAAGCAGGTTACAGGATTCTGAGAGTCCTAATGAACAATCCACAACACTCTTTCCACCTCTGCCCCCCCTTCCTCCACTCTCACTGTGCAGTGAAATCTTTCTTTCAAACCACAACACAATGGTCTCCAGCTTACCGCTATAAACCAATCCCTGCCCCCTAATTTTGGTGCTAAGCTCTAACTCAAGCTCTCATTCCCGCCAAATATGCTAATGCTCCCGCGACCTGATCCACTCTGCCCTGTTCACCCCTGAAACCCTTCAGTGACACCATTAGGAGTAGTAAATCATTTACATTCAATCTGGGAGCCATATAAGGCGTGCTATACTTATTGACAGCTAAGTTAATGATCCACTCTTTTATAGCCCCTAGGCTGCCCCCATTGACTGGAGTTAAAAGAGACTAAAGACGATCGAAGAATCTATTCCTTACACTCCATTAACTCCTTCAACTTTCACATTCCCTGATGTTTTCTTACCTTTGGGGCACTCGCAGTGGAAGGAGTTGATCTTGTCAATGCACTTTCCATTGTTGAGACAAGGTTGGCTGGCACACTCGTCTATGTTGATGTGGCAGAACACACCGTCATATCCTAAAATCCCACAGATGCAAAGGTTAGATTTCTTTCTCCAATTATGGTCAGGGCGCTTTCCATGCAATATGACCTGATGTTCTTACCAGGCATGCAGATACAGTGGAAGCCTCCAATCTGGTCCAGGCAGGTGGCATCATTATGGCAAGGATTTGACATGCATTCATTGACATCCATCTCACAGCGAGGTCCTTCATATCCCTGAAGACACTTGCACTTGAAGGAACCTTTGGTGTTAAGGCAACGACCACCATGTTCACAGGGATTTGCACCTGTAACATTCAAGACACAAGTTGTTTAGGGCTGTCAAGTGATATTTTTCAAACTCACAATTAATCGCTACACTTTGATAATGCATCCTGATTAATCGCAATGAATCATGATTAATCGCATATCTATTATTCTAATATTTCTCATTACAAAATAGTTCTTAGTCCAATTTTACCTAGGGCACACTCGTCAATGTCCAGGTTGCAAGCTGAACCAGTGTAACCAGGGGGGCATGTGCAGATTGCTTTGCCGTTAACTGGGTTGGTGTCACAGTTGGATCCCTTTTGGCATGGATTACTAATACAAGCGTCATCAAGGTGGCACAGCAAACCTTTGGGCACCACAAAAAGAAAATAAGTGTTCAATAAACGTTCCAAGATCTGCATGTTCGGTTTGTCTGAAGTTGCTAAAGTTGGCCGTACCTGTGCGCCCATGAGGACACTCGCAGAAGAAGCTCGCCACACGGTCATGGCAGGTAGCCCCATGGTAACAAGCGGCACTGGCACAGTCATCGATGTTCTCGCTGCAGTCGTCTCCAGTCCATCCATTGACGCAGACGCAGTGATAGCTGCCATGAGTGTCGTGACATGTCCCTCCGTTCTGGCAAGCGTTGGGCATCAACTCACACTCGTCGACATTTTCAGTACAGTATTGACCTGAAATGGTTAAAAACAGGTGAGAGAAGTTCAGTTTATTTCTGTTTTTCTATGTATTGTCTTTTGATTTAATTTGGAAGTTTCATTAAAAGAACATCTCTCATAGGATACCTGTGAAATGAGGAGGACACTGGCAGTTGTAGGTGTTCACACCGTCCACACACACTCCTCCGTTCTGGCAGTTGTGGCCGGGACAGTCATCGATGTTATACTCGCAATGGGGACCTGTGAAGCCTGAAGCAGAAGGAAGCCATGAGGACAATATGAGAAAGGTGTGGACTTATAAAGATACACAAAAAGATCAAGCATCAGTCAATTTTAGTTAATAATCAGACCCTCTTCCTTTTCTTATCACACTGTACACTTAAGCAGAAGATAAAGTCTCCACATCCGCGTGGCAGATTGTTTTAATGCCCCGTAGATGACAGGCCAACTTGCCTCCTCCTTAAACATCAAAGACATGAGTGGGTGTTTTACAGCCATGATAGTCTGATTAACTATCAACTCGGAGCTCTGCAGGTGCCCATGCAGCTTTGCTATCTTACCACATTCCATCACCCACGAGAGACACCCATTGTGGGTTAAACTTTAACAGACAATCGCATGAAAGGCCTTATTCATCTGCATATCTAACAGATTTTTCTTCACGATCATGCAAAAAAAGGTGCCCAGGGCAAAAATTATCGCAAAATATTTCAGAAAATCTTTCTGCACAGCTGCCGTTATTGCACAAATCGCAAATGTTCAACTCCAACCTGAGTTTTGCACAGCGCTACAACTGCTTTGGGTGCCAACACAGCCACAACAAAAACAGACATTTGTGTGCTCATGTAACCTTGTGAAAGTGTGTTTCTATACATCTGTGTGTATGTGCATATCCCTGGTGTTGTAGGAGCTGGGCGGTGGTTATCAAAAGGAAACGCCTGCATCCTGCCTGGAGAGGCTGGCAGAGGGAGATTGGAGGTAGAGGGGGTAACCAGAGATTACCCATTCTTCTCAGTCACATTTTACTACAACAACAGACTGGTTTTTAGGTCAACTGATGTAATCAGAAAACAAAAGTGTTTGTTTCATTGTTGCACTAGGCGTGTGCAACACCATATGTCAGCAGAAAAAACAAGATCTTCCTTGAAAGCTTTAAATTACTTCAATTATGTTCTAGCCAGTTATCTAACATCCTTCCAGCTTTATAAATCTCCATGTTTTATGCAGAAATTCAGGGGAAATGCAGTTTTAATGCTTGTGAACTCTACAACCTGTCTCTTTGCAAAATCATATTGTTAGTTTACAGTGACTACCAGAGTCGTGTCTGTTTTTGTATCAAGCCAGATAGCTAAATTCTTACAATGATATTTTGTACTGCATATGATGGAATTTCAAAAGTTTGTGTCCAATTTTACACAAAGAGCCCAATATTTAATTAAAAAGAGTGCAGTGTCTTGGAAGTTATTTGCAGCTGATGCAGTGACTCCCACTATAGAGTCATGTCTCTTTTAATATCATGGCAAGCTATCTGTATTCCCTTAACAACATTATTGACTGTAGATATCAGACTAACCCTAACCCCAAATTTTTGTGGGAAGAAAAAACAGAAAAGCTGGACTCCAAGTACACTTTTCTTAGTGTTTTGTTGTCTCTGTTCCAACTTATCACTGACATCGATTGGAAAACCAGAATATGTTTTTCATAAAACAATTTAAAAGGTTTCAGTTTTCAGATTTAATATATTGTCTTTGGACTACTTTTGATCAAATATTTGGAAATGTTTATGGTATCTTACCAGGCAGACAGCTACAATCATAGGAGGTGTCTCCCTTCTGCACGCAGGTGCCTCCATTCTGGCACGGTGAGGGGCTGCACGGCAGGTAAGCGTTCTCGCAGTGTTGGCCAGTGTATTCCTGAGGGCATCGACAGTGGTAAGAGCCCACCTCGTTTACACACACACCCCCATTTAGGCAAGGGGAGGGAGTCTTGGCGCACTCGTTGACATCTTGTTTGCAGGTAAGACCCTGGAAGTTAGTCGGGCATTTGCAGACGTAGGTGGAATCATAGGCTGAGCACTGACCGCCATTTGCGCAGGGATTGGAGGCGCAGGCATTGGCAACCTGGCAGGTTTTACCTTAAAAATGTACCAAGAAAAAAGAGTTAGACTACTTGCCGACATTATTCATGTTGAAAAATATGGAAAGAATGATGCTTTTATTTTGTACTTACCTAACCACCCAGGTGGACAGCGGCAACTGTATGAAGTGAGAGTAATGAGATCACATGTCCCCCCATTGCGACAGGGGGAGCTCATGCAGGCATGGTTGGTGGGGGTCAGGCACAGCCGGTCACTGAATCCCAGGGGGCACACGCACCTAAAATCAAATGTGTTGCCATGGGAAACAGCCCGGCATTCCCCACGGTTTTTGCAGGGTGAAGGACTGCAGGGGCTTGGATACTGGCACCGGTTGCCTACGTAGTCACTGGTACACCTGTGAGTAGACAGAGAAATGGGGATAATTAGCAAAAAATGATTTTTTTTTCTCTTTTACTTTAAGTTATGGGAACAATTACCCAAACAATAGAGGGAATAAGGGGAGGGGGTGTGGGTAAAAGTTTCCCGCCTAAGCAGGTCCCACTGCAGCAGCCATGGGGGGATGGCATGTTGTTGCAGTGTGTCTCTCTGGATTAGACTCCCTCAGAACCCTGAACACACATTCTGCCACCACAAAAAAACTCCAGTGGAAACAGCTCATTCCCATCTACCTTTCCCCCCTCGGTGCTGTCCACACTCATCCACAATGACTCTGGAGATCAAGGGGACTGTGCCGACTTTGGGAATCTGATTTGAAGCTCTGGATTCAGGCCTAAGCCCCTGTTTGCTTCCCTGCTATCCACACTAAGGATAGATGCTGCTACAGTCACATAGCTCAACTTTGAGCACAAAGACTGGCCTCTTCTGCAGAGTTAGATTACTGAATCTGCAGAAAAGAAGTTTAGTATGCTTTCTGTCATCTTGAAGGGCATTTAAAGTCACAAAAATGTGTTTATGTTTGAATTGGAGCTTGTGTGGAAGTGTGTAGTTGCACGTAGAGGCCAGTGTGTGTTTATGTGCAGGGGACGGCATCTGTTGGCCTCTGAGGATCTCCACAGGGAGCAGGTGCGCATGTTAATGAAGGCAGCTGTTGGACAGGGCTCCTCCTCCTCCTCCTTCTCCTCCCTCCTCCTTATCCCTCCTTCCACCTCCCTCCCCTCTGTCCCCATGTCAGATGGGGGTGCTGACAAACCAACCTCTCCTCCAGGGACAAAAAGGACCCATGTGAAGTCAGCTGTTGCAACTTCTGTCTCTTCACCCCCACCTCAATCACCAAACTCATTCTTAATTCCTCTCTTCCCTACCTGTTCCTCTTTTAATTTCCCACTTTCTGGCTCTTTCTACCCGCCAGTCTTCTATCCGTTTCAGCTTTTCACTGCTGCCTTTTCTCATCTCACTCCCATGAGGCCTCTTTTACAGCTCCCAGCAGTTTGCTTTTTACAGCGTTCCCCTTATGTCACACGGGACTGCTGAAAACTGCCTTGTTGACTTAGTTAGGTGAGACCAATCAGAGAGTTTTTAACAGTCTCCTGAACCCCACAGGGGGCCCAGACAGTCCCAATTGGCAGAAGATTGTAAAAGCATTTGTGTTTTCTTTGAAGTTTCCTCACTTCCTAGCTCCCTTTACCATGAAAACACACGCGACATGAACAAGAAAAGTCACAGTTCTGGTTTCAATCACTTTTCTAAATCGAGTGTAATCAGACGAATGTAATTAACAGGCTGTGCACCCGTGTGTCACCCCATGCTAAAAACTGTAATAGATCCTCTTTGTCAGTCCAGTCTGAGATAAAGATCCACCCACATGCTGAAAAGCCAAGCAGCACACACCACGGCAACAGGTCTCTCCCAGCGCTGCAATGTCCCCTCAGGCCAGAGCAGATGCTTCCCCGACCCCTGACCCCAAACACTTTTGTGACTGTGGGACGGCCTCTTTGCCTTCTCTCCCCCGCTGGGTCTGATCTACCATCTGCCACACTGGGGGTGACTTTATCCTGTGACACAAAGCCAAACACACTGTGTGCTGGAAATGCCACCGCTGTGGAAAATGTTATGTAAATGACCGACACGAGTGTACAGTAATAACGTCTGTGAGGATGACTTATACACTCCTGGTGTTGATTTCAGGTTTTTGTGAAAGTAGGACACCCCCTCCCTTATTTTTCATCACTTTCTGTAACACTCACTCCCCCTGTTTTCTCTTCGAGTGGCCCTCTCCCACTCATTTATTTTGTCTAGTTAGCTGATGTGTCTAATCATTAGCCGAGGGTTGAACTCTGGGGTAAACATCTGTTAGTCAGACCAAAGTAAGAACACATAAGTGAATTTCAATTCAAAGACTTGAGAAATGGAAGAAGGCAAACCACTGATCAGCACTTAATTTGAATCAGTAGGCTGGAGAACAAGACTTTAAATACAGACATGTGTTAAAGTCACGAATACCAGACATTGAAATCTTTGGTCCTTCTTTAGTTCAACAGTTTAACTTCTAATATATCCCACAACAAACTTTGCCTATATCCAGTTATCGGATTTCTTTCTATTTGTCTGTTTTACTATCCCGCTTTCTTGACCCAGCCGGTCCCAGATGATGACAGTCTAGTACTACTCAAGGTCCTTCTAAAACTTGGATTATTTGTGTATTCATGAGAAGAGATAGATCGATTAATATTATTTCGACATCATAATGTTTCTCTTTCCACGTAAAATCTTCTTTTCCCCATCCCCCCATGACTGCATATCACTTAGAAAATATTATATAATATGGGGAACACTACTGAGTCAGTGAACAATGTGAAAAAAGTCATAAGATCGCGCCTTGTTTCCTTTTTTTAGTTTCTGTGTTTGTGGCTGTGATGTACTTTAACTCAAGAGTTGAAGCTGTAATATTTATAAGATGTGATTCAAAAATTGCTGCTGATATCATGTATATGATGAATTTGAAGACAGAAGCAGATAACCTGGTTGAGGCATTTTATCAGACCCTTCCAAGTGTTGTTCTCGTCTTGTTTTCATCTTTGTAATCACGACCGATGGAAAAATCACAACAAAGACATCACCTCAAGAGGGATTACGGTACTTCCTGTCTCACTTTCTAAAAGCAGCAAAGTGGTGAGATTTATGAGGGTCAGTCGCAGCGTCAGGGACTGAGCACCTGCTTGACTAATGACTAGGAGATCACTTTCACACACAAATACCAGTAAACAAACTCTGAGACTGAACTTTCAACAGGATGGGTGAGTGATGCACCTTTTTTCACAGGTGGCTGTTTTCACCTGGAACAGTTTTAATCTTTCAACCAAACTTTATAGTCAAATATAAAGCCTGAAAGTGACTTCCTATGATGGTGATCACGAACATGTTTGCCTAAGTGGTGTTGACGTGGAGTCTATGAATCAGGCCAGTGCACAACAACGTAACCACAATGCTGTGAGATCGTATTCAGATGTCTTTCTCTTATACTATGTTGTATTATAGTCAGACTAAGGATAATGAGCTGCTACTTTATGTCTGAGCTGATATCATTTCCTGTCAGGCTTAAAATCAAAACAGATAAGGAAACATGGATTACACATGTACAGGCAATCTACCCCGTTGCCTCATGCCAGATGCAGCACTGGCCTGCTGTTAGATTTGGCCTTTCTGCCTTTGACAGCCTCTGCTGGAGCCTGTGAACTTTCAGCACCCACTACAGCCAAATAGCTTCTTATCTCTCTGCCCTGACAGCACAGCTTTGATCGGCCCGCTCTGAGGATCTCCAGACTTGATCAAGTCTGCCAGGGGGGGCCTACACTGCCACTTAACGTGCAAAAATGTTTGTATGCTTTTGGAAGAGTTTGGTTGTTTCAGGAAGTCAAAGTTAAAATGTCATGTTCCTCCATCCTTGTTCGTTGCTTCATTAGGGGGCTCCTGGCATCTCAGGAATGGGCCCATCCGAGGGAGTGGCAGCCTCGGAGCTTAAACCCCAATAAAAGCCCAACACCAGCAGGGCACACTTGACCCAGCAGTGCTCCCGATTCGCTTAAGCCCGCAACGAGCTGAGCCTCAGCAGAGACCTGCTTGGTAATCCTATAGGAGGACAAATGAAGAGCAGCATTCCTCAAGAGAGAGTGGAACATCTTTTTGGTAGTGCTCTAGACGGTCTTTACGGGTGAGACATTTTATCATCAATATGCAACACTAGACAGCTCTGTGTAAGGTCAGAAAGGCCTCACTACACCGACCACAGCAAACTTTCAGTCAATTTTCTGCCTCTCATGTCTATTTTTGCCAGACGTCTTGCAGCATTCGAAGTATGTAGTGAGACAGTTGAGATGTTTCTGGGTTTATTATTAACAGCCACCTCAGACCAAAACAGTGTCTATTTCAGCAAAGCAGCATCAACATGCGCTCAGTCATGCACAGGCAGGGCTGAGGGCAACAACCTTTCAACCTCTACATGCCCTCATTACTGTGTCACAAATGGAAACTAAATTTGACTCACGCAACGCTGTGCCCTTACACATTTTAAAGCTGCCTACACAACAAGACGACTGCAGCACCATGGGAAACAGGAAGCCCCAGACCTTCAGATAACCTCTTACTTCGCAAAGCTGTGACTGACATGCTTCCTCGTTACAGTAGCCTGTTTTTGTCTCATAGTCTCTAATACCCTAACCACAAACAGAAGTTCACTGTTATGTCTAGACACCACTCTAAATATACAAAATTAACCTTTTGCTAAGGAACCATGAATGATTTTGTGGTGGAAAGACTCAAAGAAAAACACAGCAACCTTAAAAAAGGCTGGGAGAGTCGAACTCTTTGATTTAAACTGATTATAAAGCAACAACAATCTGTTGACTGTACTCTACAATAAAAGGTCCTTAAGCTAAATTTGACAGCTAAAAATATTCTCTATATTTTGTTGTCAAAAAAATCAGCTTATAACCAAACCACATTTGTCGACATTAAGTTAAAAACACCAGTATTGCCAAAATAATGCAGGGAATTTGTTTTTAAATGACTGTTCAGTAGTTCAGGAACAGTTTGGCTGTGCTAGATGACAGCTAGCTAGCTAGTTGCATCAGTTAAACAGCTTTTTACTTCCAGTAGATTTAAGTGTTTTGCGGTTTGGTTACTATTGAATGATGTAATAAAAATATACATCCAAAAGTCAAACCAATGACACAGCTAGCTTAAATCAAAGGAGCTTGGGCTAAAGCTAACAGTATCGGCCCATGGCTTATTTAAAGCTAAAGCTACTTGATATCAGAAATAGCCAAGATTGTCTAATTAGCATTACCTTTCTTGTGGATATAACACTGTAAATAGGGGCTTGGTGACTTGTAAGCAATTCATGGTTGGCAGTAATTGTCCGAGCAAGCTAAGTTGGATTTTTTTTACATCTTTTCTCAGTTTTCTTAACAACTTCAATCACTTTACCTTCTTTTTTTTTGCAGCTTTTAGCTTCTGTAGGACTGATGGAGGTGACGAAGGTAGCCCAGAACAAAAGCTGGGTCTAGTTATCCTTGGAGTTAAATTTACAGCAATTTAGTAAACAGGACACAAGTCAGTTCCTGTTTTCAGAAGTGATCCATAGGCCTACTGATTTAAATTAAGGGTGACCGATTTTAGAACCAGGAAGGACAGTAAACATCCTTTCCTGTAGGAAGGGGGGGCTATGGGATACCAGGTTTGTTTCAACATGGATTTAATTCCACTGAACCCATCCATTAGACATCCGATTATCGCAGTTCACACCAAGCATAACCTTGTTCTCTATGCCAGCATGTGATCTCACTTGATCTCACACTCATGGGAACGGGGCTAAAAGAGGATTTAGATCTACCTTACTACTCAAACCTGCGGCCCTGTACAAAAACCACAATGCACATGTGACTCAGTGGGAACTTTAAAAACCAGGTGTGTAGTTTCAAATTGTTTTGTAAGTTTGTAAGCTCAGAGGGGATAGATCTTTTTCTGTTGCTGCCCCAATTTTATGGAACAAGCTACCCCTCCAGATTAGAGAAGCCCCCACACTGTCCATTTTTAAAACTCGTCTTAAAACCCATTTTTATTCATTGGCTTTTAACCCTCCATGAGACTCGGCTCCTGTTTTAGTGTTTTATGGTTTGTAGTTATTTGTTTCTATGTTTTTAAATTAGTTTTTAAAAACATTGAAGCTATATTTTATTATTAATTCTGCTTTTATTTTATCCATTGTTTTAATTGTTTCTTGATTGTTTTTTATCTTGTTGTTTTTGTCCTGTTATGTACAGCACTTTGTACAGCTGTGGTTGTTTTAAAGTGCTCTACAAATAAAGTTGAGTTGAGTTGAGTTAAAGATGACTGTAAGGTTAACACAGTTTGACTGAAAGTTTAACCTAGTTTGACTGATCACACCTTTATGTGGCAAAAATCAACCCCAGAGGAGCTTCTCCTACCTTCATGTAGGCACACAAAAACTTTGGCTTTACCCACAGGGACTTTCCCCCTTCATCATTTTACTCTACAAGTGTACAAACTTCCAGTCAGTGTGGCACAAAAAGAATAAGAAAACCTTTTGAAACCCCTCCTCCCCTGCAATAGACGCCACGTTCTGACCCCTGATGACTCGTGTTGAATCCCCCACTGCGACTCATGACTGATGGCTGCCCAGCTTGGCAGGGATGAATGATTAATGGCAGGAAAAGCGAGGAGGAAGAGGGAGAGCGAGGTTGGGTGAAGTGATGCTCTCATCCTGTCTGCTTTGGATTGGACCGAGCAGAGGTGGGGAGGACAATAACAGCTTTGTGGGTGCGATGGAAGGCGGAGGTAGAGTTTTTGTGTGTGCGCACGTGTGGGGGTCTGTGTGTGTGTGGGGAGTGTGCAGATTAGATATTGTGAATTAGTGGCCCTAGGCTAGCGGTATGGACCCTTCAATGGCTCCCCCTTGTCCTCTGTGGACCAGAGAAGCACCCGCCATGACCAAAAGTGCCCTGAGGGTAAACCAGGCCACCTCTGAGCTGCTCTGCAGATGGACAAATTTGATGCCACAACTGCAAATCACAATAAAATGTTTGAAAGTGCACAAACCATATGTTGGCTATTAGGACCGAGATCAACCCTTTGCACGAGAAAATTTGAATGAGTCAGCAAGCTCAAAGCATCAATAGGAATATGTTAGCATATTAGGTTTCTCACCCACAAATTATTAGCACCAATGCACAGCCAAAACAAACAGCCCACAATCTGCCTCTCCGTCTGCTCCCACTTGTTTGCCTTCAAATTTCTGCACTTTATTCCAATTAATCTCACTCTCTTGACATCCAATCCAATTACATCTCACAGCCATCTGGCTTTCTAATGGAGATCATAAGCGGGTGAGGCTGGGGGTGAAGGTGGAGAGGGGTGTCTCCATTCAGAAAGCAGGAGACAAGCCTCTTGGAGACAGGGCAGGGTGGGGTGGGGGGGTTGTGGCAGGGGTTTGGTGTGTGTTGTGGTGTTTGGGGTGGCTGTGGCATGATGGGAAGCCCCACTCAGATTAGTCACACAGCATTATTCTGACTGCAGGACAATGGGTGACGGGCGGCGGGCGAGCCCCAGCTGTCGCCCATGAAAGGGCAGAAAAACAAGATTTAGGACTGGACGCGTCCTCTCACTTTGCTTGGGGTCTTGCATTCATTAACGGGGCCTACTGATGTGGGAGGGGGGGTTGCAGAGCGAGGGGCCCTTTGTCTGACTACTCTCTTGGAACTTCACTCACTTTTTTTTATTTCTTCACATCTTACACTCTTTTCATTTTCGGGGAATGTGTGCAGAGCTGCGGGGAAATGCGGCACACACCGGCGCGAAGAAGAAAACTCAAGGGCCCCTGGTTGCCGGGCGCAGGGGCCAGCTCAAAGACTGGAATGAAAGGAGGGATATGTGGCCCCTTTTTCTTTTCCCAACCAAAAAGCACTTTCAAGTAGCAAAAAATTACACCACACTGCACTTCTGAGGCTGCACATATTCCACAGCATGCAGAAATAAATGAGTGCACACATGACCATAAGACAGGATGTGCTAATGCTTCGTGGTGAGCTGCAGTGTAAATTCTGTTGCATTGCAGTAACCTGCTGCTGGTTTACTTACTTGCATTCTCCATTTCCATTGGAGGTGGCTTCACACCTTCCTCCATTCAGGCAGGATTCAGTAGGCAGGGAGCATTTAAGACCTGTTGAGCAGAGAAAATGTGAATTAAAACAAATCAAAACATCATAAAACGCAGGAGGGGAGTGAGCCATCTGCACTCTTACACTATCTATGAGGATTAGCAGGGATTAGTGTATAATACAGGGATTAATCAAAAGTGAAATTATTAAATCTATCTTTATTCACAGGAATTCCTCTTTTTTTAATGTACACACACACACACACTAGTGCGTGCACACGCTGATCTTTAATTGATTTGTTACACAGTTGTCCATAGGGGATATTGGTTGGGAAGGGAAGCCTGCTGTGGACACCGGTGAGGGCAGCAGAGCGCGTGGTGCGTGGCTTTTTTCGAGGGGGGGTGGGGGGCACGCTTTTGCGGGGAAAGCGCAGCAGCTGTGGGGCTCAGATGCGGAACAAAAGAAATCAGAGTCCAGCACGAGCCATAAAACACTCTCCTCGGGCATTGTTTACCGGCAGACGGGAATAACAGCACCTCCTCCAACCCCCCCTTTACGCACAACACTGTCCCACACATGCAGACAAAAGGTGCCCCCTCCCCCCCCCCCCCCCCCCTTCCAAGCGTCCCCTTGCACCGACACACGCACCAGTACCCTTTATCCCCCCAAAACCGGTTCTTAAAGCAGTTTAGATAAAAGTTCACCAAAGTTATAAACAAAGACTTTTATTTTGAAATCGAGATTGCGTAAATATAACTTCAGGACAGAATGGAAAATCAAATCAAGCGAAAGCTTTTAGTTCCTTATTCTTGCATTTCAAATGTAAGTTCGTATGCACGAGTATTGCCTGATCTGTTTTAGCAGATAGTACAGCAAACAGTTAACTCTGTAGAGTAACTTTAACAAGCGTACTCGAGGGGAAGTCAGCAGCCAAACGCACCGCAGCACTTGGCTCCTGCACTTGTAGTAAACTAATTCCCACGACTAAGAAACGTACTCAAAAATCACTACCAAGTTTCTTAGACAATAAAAAACTTCACTCTATCTCTTTACTTCAGTCTTTGATATGATTTAGCATTGTGGAAAAGGCTGTATTGTTTAATTACACGCTGATATTGATTACCCATAACTTCTCCAAAACCTAATTTCATGCCGTGCAGCCTTTATCCCTAGCCCCTGATGAAAATCTCCAAGAAACACTTTTTTTACCTTGTGAAATGACGATCGCAGGAATCAGAAATGTTAGTTTCACAAAGAAACGATACATTCCTCCTCTTCAGCTTCACAAATGTCGTTGATTCCCACGTAGGGTGCGCATAGATCCGCAGTTGGGTAGACCCCAGATGTTGTCTAAAAAATCAAAGTCATGAAAAAATAAATATCCTTAGCAGGAGGAAAAGAGAGTAAATCCAGCAGAATGAGAGCAAAAGTCTTCAGGAGGGCTCAGCTCATGGATGTTAACCTGCTGCTTTCCGAGTTCTCAATGAAATCTGCAAGCAACTCTACAAGTTCCTCCCACTCCCCCACTCTCATCCTCCTCCCCCTTTCTCAGGTCAAATAAAATCTCTCTCTCTCTCTCTCTCTCTCTCTCTCTCTCTCTCTCTCTCCACTGCACATGCTGAGGAGGCAACACACACATATGACCACATTCACTTTTCAGTATAAGAAACATAAACATTACACATTAGTGGAAAATTACTCCTTTATTTATCTAAGAGATAATACTATTATCAGATCTGTGTCACATACGAGGCCAGATTTATCTAACAGCTTTCATTATTTCAGAAGGATTTTTTAATATAGATTAAATGATATATACTTATACAAATAATAACAACTGCTTATCAGGAGTAAGAAATATATCATTTTAAATCACATTTACTTTGCTGCGATACAGACCCTCATTTTAAAGCGACTTAAAGCTCCTGTGAGGAGTTTTTTTTAGATTTATGAAAAAGACTGAAATTCATTTTGCTTCCCTTTGGATATGTATCAACATAAACAAGACAATCAAAAACAAGACTGATGGTTTTATATTCTTATTTTTAATGCCTAAAACCACTGCAGGAGGGTCAGTGTCCTGTTTTGCATTTTTTTCACACAAAATATTTATAATAAATAGTAATTCTGATGGTTAAAAGTCAGACAGCTTACCTTTTTTTTGTCAGAGAACACAGAGTACAAGATAAGCAAAGACAGTTTTCAGGACAGTTTGCTAAAAATCTTTGTTTTAACTTTCATCTGTGCTTAGTAACTTTAGCTCGTAAGCTAACCTGTTCAGATACAACATACCATATGTATTTTCACTGTCTCAAACTCAATCGCATTGTTGTCACAGGTTGTTAGGTCTCTGTTGTTACCCTACGTTTATGGATTATACTTTAATGTACTTATCTGGTACTGACCCTGACTCAGTTCATGCTATCATGACAGACAGTCATCTCAACACTAGTGTCTAATCAAAACTGAAAAACAGTCAGTCTGCTGTTGTGTCAGTCTTCTTACTTCCACCTGGGACGCGTCTTTTTCCCCCCCAGAAAGTCGCAAAATCGCATCGGGCTTGATGTGTATAGTCAGGTGCGTCAAAATTTGCCTCCGAATATTTCGTAATTTCGCGTTCTATTTTTGCGTCGGTCCCGCTGTGTAAGAACCTTTAATATAAAATTTGCTTCAAATTTTCCAGCTACACTTTAAATAACTGACTATTTTTACTAACATGTCTTCGTAAAGTGAATAACCCCCTGCATTTGCACATGAAGTAGGGCACTTGTGCGCAAAAATGGTTACCTTGCGCACAGGTATCATTTTCTTATGCACACAACATTATTTTGTATGATATACTGATGAATCATATAGTCTTCACAGGTTATTATGTAGTGCCCACAATATGATGAAAATGTGCAGGTAAGATATAAAATAATCAAAATGCATGCAAAAAATACATTTTGTGCACAATGTCATAAAGGTTAAAGAGCTTGTGCCAGAAGATGATTTCTTTATGCGCACAACATAGAAAACGATAAAGTGCACACAGAACAATGTTCTCCTGTGCACAAGGTGTGAGCACAAAATAGTAATTTTTTAACAATTTTCAATGGCCAAAAACAAAAATCATACTGTGTGCACAATGCAATCTTCTTGTGCACATGATGACTTATGTATGAAGCAATGATCCTGCATGCATTTAATGTCTTTTTGTGTGTGTGTGTGTGTGTGTGTGTGTGTGTTTGTCTGTGCGCACAATTAAATCTTTTTGCATGCACATATATATATATATGTCTCACAAGATGATAACTTGTGTGTACAATACAGTTAACTGTAAAGCCCAAGTTATCTTTTTTGCATCATAAAACCTTGTGCACACAAAAGTTATATTGTGGGAACAATAGGATCTTTTTGAGCACATAAATATTTGCATAGAAGTGTATTTGATGCCCACAATACAGTTATCTTTTCTGCACAATACCAATTCCTTTTGTTCACAAGTATCACACTCTGTTGGCACAAAACAATAATCTGGCCAAAACACATCTTTCTAGTGAGCAAAAATGTAATGATTTTTTTATAACACTGTGCATCTTTTTTAACAATGCATGGCAGCACTTCGTCCGATTAGACTTGAGGCAGTTTGTGGCATTTGCTCATCTACTGCTTGTGCTGTACTTAATCTCAGATTGTGCATAACTTTTTAAAAGAGTCTGCTTAGTGACACACTAACACTACGTTATTCTTTCTTTTTTTCACAATAGATTGATTTTTAACCCACTAGTAAATTGTATTGTGTGCACACTTTTTACATACAATTACTTAGGTGCACAAGTCATCTATCTTTCATGCACAAACAAGTATTTTCTTGTTTGCACCACTGATTTTTATGTCACACACAAGAAAATATATTGAAAGAACAATATGCGTATAATACCCACAATGCAGTTATCCCGTGTGTACATGCTGTCATGCTTTCATGACACAAGTTTCTTTTGCACAGAAGAAATCTTGAATATTGATGTGAAAAACTTACAATTTAAGCACAATTTTTGCTCATGCTATAATGAAATATGCCTGCTCTGAACTTCCTTGTGCACATATATTGTATGCAAAGATTATCACTTTTGCAAACAATATAATACTGTTGTACCCACAAGATAGAATCTTTACCCTCTGGGGTTTCAGAGGCTCTGTTAGTGAGCTTTTCAACTTGTGGCAACTTTTTATAAGTTGTTCAGTGTTAGAAGTGTCATTATTAAAACTGGTCATGGAGTTTTTGCAATAAACATGCAACGATATTGAAAATAATGTTGCACTCATATCAGCCTCTCAGCTACATAACTAACATTTATATTTTTGACTGTATTTTCTTATTAACTTTAAGCAGGCGCAATGACCTGCATGCTTTCATATCACATGCACCTGAGACGGCAGTTTTTTTCTGTTTGTTTTGAAGCTTCATATTTGTGCATCTCACATGAGCCTCCAGCTCTTCTGGTGTCTGCATGAAATCGGATATTTATAAATACAGATCACTAACTCTTTATCTCATGACATTAAGAGACACTTCAGTTACTGTTACAGTCCCTTTTCTCAGACTCTAACTTGTTCCGCAGAATCTCTGAAATGCATGACAGCTTGTGATGTGTCGGGTGAAGTTTCTCCACAAGCGTAGCATGCTGTTACAGTCCCATAGTGTTTCTGTTGCAACATACAGAGCCGCACTGACACAGAGTGCATGTCTGTGCCAGATTCCCATTATTCCCTTTCTCTCTTTCTCGGGGCGAGTGAAACTGTCAGGGAGTAGCTGCAGAGTTTCAGCACCCGAGGGCAAAGATTATTTTATTATGGAGCCTACACACATGCTGGTCCTTCTGTTGGTGTGGCTGCCAAATGGAGTGACGCCAAAAGGGGCTCGGTCTCTGGAGGTGCACGAAGTGTGGGAAACACCGGGAGAACAGAGGAGGAAAAAGAGGGAGTGTAGAAGCAATCAGCTACAAATGGATTGCATAACTGAAAAGTGTTGAGGGAAAGTGTTGGATGTATGAAATGAAGAAAAAAAGAGGATGTGCACAGGCATGTGGCGTGATATTAGGAAAACACCTGACCCACCGTGAGAACTGTCAAATCCATCAGGCACACGCTCCTTTCCAGTCATAGTAAGGAGTGGTTGTCTCTTGAAAGCAGAAAGTGCTGGTGCGTGCTGTCTTTTATCTGTCATGAAATCAGAGCCTCTGTTTTTGCTTATGAGACTCTGTCCGACTTGAGGAACTTATTTGTTTTAAAGGGGAAAAATTTTAAGGCCATGAGAAAATGCTCAGAAGTGGATTCACAAGGTTTGAGAGGGGATGACCCAAAGCTCGGAAAACAAACTTCATCAAAGCTTAATATAGAAACCAAACCCGGAGAGGTTGACACGAAGTGCAGGAAAACAGAGTGATTTCTTTGAGATTATATATAAATGCTGAATGAACCCGGGTCGCTCGGAGCCCGACCAGGAGCAGATTACTGTTCCTTTAAATCAGACTCCCTTCCTTCCTACCGTGGATCAGAAATGGAGCAAGGTCAGAGACCACGATAAAGAGTAGCTCCGTTTGATAAGGACTACATGATGTCATTCTACTATCAGACCCGGCAGTCTGAGCAGAACTGGAGGTCTTTTCTTGGACTCCACCCAAACACTTGCACCAAGTCTCAGGGAGGGACTATGACACAGATAATAGCTTAACAAAAGAGTCGTTTCACAGAATTTTAGTGTCTGGAAAATGTAATTTCATTCTCTCTTGAACAAAGCTTTAATATGTCTCCCAGCTTTGAACGATTAGCATGCTTAGCTGAAGTTGAATTCTTTATTTGTCCTGCTAAATCTAGGTTTCAGTCCATGCTGTCCAGTAAGTCTTGACATGAGATTTAATCAATCTTTCAAGTATTTCTCGCTACATTCACACTCACTGCTGGTTCTTGTGTAACAGATGTGAGAAACCACAAGCATCGGGGTTTCATCACACAATCAGTACAGAAAACCTCAACAGATGTTTTGAAAGCAACCATGGAAATTAAATTAGGAAATTTGGAGCTCCTCGAAAAGAAAAAAAGCCTAGTCTAAGTAGAAAAAATAAGTGCTCTTACATCTCTGTTGGCCTGTATATCGTGTGGCCAGTATCAGTAAGTCATTAGTATTATGCTTTAGATTCAGTAGATTACATGAGGCACCAGAAGATACACATGTATACACCAACAAACAAAACATACAGTGTGTCTCACAAAAACAACCTCTTCATCACAACATCACTATGCTGCTATGCATTTTTCTGCTCTTTGTCAAGTGGTGTTGTGTCGTTCGCGAACATTTCGTTCAAAAGACCCAAATCTTTCATGTGAACATACTGAACCAAATAACTTCCTTTAGTGATTTGTTCGTTTCTCACTTCAGTTGAGCTGAAGTGAGGAACAGCATTGCCAGGCCAGCAGCCGGCGAACATGGGAACACATGCACT